TATCAATACTGCTAAATTTTTGAAATTAACAAGATAAAATACATGTTTACGAAGATCATTAGCGCCATTTCAATAACAGCTATTTAAGTCAGTAATTCTCTCCTGTAAAAATGCAATAATGTATTAAAATTATAACAAATATATCGTCCAACGAAAAAAAATATCTCGACTATATTGGTTTCGTATAATCAGCTTACGACAAGTTTAAATCCCCTGTTGTCGGTTAGGTGAACTCGCTGTGACGTGTATGTCCACTTACGTACATGTATACTGAGAAATTAAGGCCACATGCACGAACACATGGCGATATCAGCTGGTCCTTTTAAATATAACCTGGCCTAATTTGTGGTCATAACAGTAGTTTGGACATTGTCCAAACAAACAAAATGGCGTCCAGGACATATTGGTTTTTGGTGATCGTTCTTTATGACTTTTTAACTGGTAAGTATTTTTTTTAATTTTGAAACTTTACATCTTTCTTTCTGTATAAAATATGTTATTAAATGTGATATTTTTCTTTCAAATTGCGATTGTCTTAAACAGAGATGGCCAGATCTACAACTCTATACAACCTCTATCTTGTGTTTACAGTGGACGAATGCGCTATCCTTAGGCTACCTAACTATAATACTAAATGACTTTTATCGAATGACATGAATGATTCTTTATAAATTTTTATATCAACATATTTTAACATTTGCGATTTCTTTTATCATAAAAAAAAAGAATTATACGTTATAAACAGATTTACTTGTGTTGAGCCCTAAGGCAAGAATCAAATCCGAAAGGTCAATCACACATGTACTGAATACAACACTTACATCAAACCCATTAATTAGAAATGGACACTCCGAAGCTCCATGGCTTATCTACTTGTGTCCGTATAGAAAGTCATATTAATCTTTGTTAGTAATAAGAAGAAAATAATTACACTCTTTATCAACTGGTTAATTTGTACAGCTCATTTAGATTTTTCCAATTCACACGTACTTATATTTTCAAAGTACATTAATGTGGTCAATGCATAGTCTATGTATCATTTCGTGTATATCTTTTTGATTTTGTCTTGTTAACCATTTTCCTTTTATTGAAACGGGGTATCTGTACCATTGAAAAATGGAAGTTTTAGTTTAAACAAAGGGGAGATAACTCGTTTAGATTAGACAGGAACTATATGGCTACCATTGCGATATAACTGTTTTGTTTACAGGTAATGAGGGTGTGTGTGCTTAGAACTATGACTATCGTAACAGTATATCTTCGTTTTTTCAGTAACTAAGGCGGACGTGTGTTACTATGGTTACTATTACAGCTATTATACCTCCCACTATTACTGTGACTCGGGATGTTGTGGGTACTATTACAACCGAATCTGTTGTGACTAGTAAGTAATCTTTCAAACACTGGCATAGTTATGAATTCGAAATACAATAATATACACATGACTAAAAGTTAACACACGTCAATCTCATTACAAATTACGTTCACCTTATCACTTACTTCTGTATGTATAATTTTGTATAATTCTTCTCTTAACGGAAGTATCTTTTAATGAACATATCTTTTACTAAACTATGGTCTTAAATGATGGTCCACATACTTCAGACTATCAATAGATTGACCTAACTGATATTGAGGAAGATAGCATGCTACATGTACGATATTTACAATACACAACATTGTGTACATGCTATGAAACAAACGCTCTATTTAAAAAAAGATACAAATATGTATGTAATTATAATAATCAAAATCTTAAAACTTTTATGTGTACTAAAGTTATTTTTCCGTGGATGTTTGTTAAGAGTATCTTTTATTTGAGAAAACATATTTAGGCTCAAACAAACAAACAAACAAGATGATGGATGTTATAACAAAAATACAATAATTTGGGTTTTTTCAGCACAAACACTGGACAAATCGTCGGTTATGTATTCGGCGCCATGCTGGTATTCGGGTTTATCGGAGTTGTAATTTTTTTGTGTCTTATAAAAAAGAACCGCAGCCAGGGGGCAATCATCCGTCCCGCTAATACAGTGACTGTTGGTAAGTCGAACGACCACGGGTGCGTAAGATATCGGTGTAATTAGGGTTTTGCTTTTTTCGACACATTTTTTAGCTACTATACTTCTTCTGTCTATTTATTTATTGTAAAGCTGACGAATGCAAGTTAAAAATTGTTCATGTTAAGGAAAAAAATTGTGTTTCCCAAATGCTTAATGAGGAGATGTCCCTACGATAACGACCTCCCCGTCACAAGTCGTATCTCTGGCGGACATTTTAGTTCAAGACTTGCCTGGAAACGAGACGTTCAGAGAGGGTTTGGATGGTTATGAATTTATTTGTTGATATATTGTGTCAATTTTTTTTTTCTGAACATACACGGATCATTTCATCATAAAATTGAAAGGCAACTCAATAATTTAAAAAAAAAATGTCAAGAGATAGGCATTTTGATGGGTTCGTCTGCTTTACCACACATACTTCACAAGCTAATCAGTATCCATTTTCTATTTTCTGATGAAAAAAATGCTTAGTTTACCAAAAAATATATATATATATCTTCAGTCACTGATTTTGGTGCTTTGTTTTAGCCACTGTTAACCAGATACAGCCGCCACCATATGGTCATCCGCAGCATTATGGCCAGCCAAGTCTTCATGGACAGCCACAACGTGTTGGTCATTCACCACAGTTTGGAAATCCATCTTATCCCCCTCAAAGTACACTTCCACCTCCGCCGGCCTACACTGCACCTTCTCATCCACCTCCGGCTTATTAGCCCACCGAAATACAGCATCGTGAACTTTCGCCTTCGCCTTCGCACCCGCCTTCACATCCGCCGACCTACAGTGCACCATCTCATTCGCCACCGGCTTACGAAAACATCAATGGCCGTTTCCGCAAGCCTATAACTCGCCATTCTGCAAGTTCCTCACGTGACAGACACACCATTCACTTCCGGTTTCGAAAGCCTACTCTTAGCCATACCGTTCTCAAGCTCTCTGCTAGCACAGATACTGAATTTCGCCCGCACTTGCCAACAATTCACTATTCATTTCATCCCAACATCCACTGCCGTTCTAATCATACAGCACTGTAATGACCACAGACCATTTCAAGATTTTTCAGAAACATACTTATATCATCTGTAATAAAATCACAAACTTCTGTCTAGTATAATCACGTTTGGTTGTATCCGCTTTGGATGATGATCAATTCAAGTCGAGGAGAATACAGACAGTTAGCAAAGTCGGAATAATTTGTCTAAATCGACATTACTTATATTTTTGGGATATATCGTCTATGTTAAAACTTGTATTGAAATATGCTACATATTCAAGCATGCTTGTGGTAGACAATGCTACCGGACAACCTGCATGGCACGTTTCAGAATATGCCCAAATACTTGACACTCTTTCAATTTAAGTAATTATTTTTTCTAGTGTACCACTCCAAAAAGTTTTTTTTTTTCATTTTTCTTCTGAAAATGTATTTGCTGTCCTTTGTTTATCCTACACTTCAACCGTCTTACCGAAATGTTCTAAAATATAGCAAGATTTTACTTACATAATACAATGAATTATATCTTTGTTGATTTTGTAGAAATGACAATATATGTAATCACATTTGTAAGATTGATTATTAAATATTATTGTCAATTAATTTTTGTTTATCTTTTTCTTATTTAGGATATTTTCTTTATTTTTCTTTGTTTTTCCTTGTGTTTTACAATACATTAGAGAGAAGACATTATCACACACAGTATGACAGTACACTATTACAAATATCGTACACAACAAAGTAGTCTAACGCTTACTTTGATAATAACTAATATTATAGTACTGAACAATAATTAATAAAGTAATGGACAATAACTCATAAAGCAATGGACAATAATTTGTATTATAATAATGGACAATAATTTGCATCATAGCAATGGACAATAATTCGTATTATAATAATGGAATATATTCATATTACACCGTACTGGACAATGATTCGTAATTACTAACCCGAGTCGGTTGGAGACAAACGTAATAGAACATTCTTAAATAACATGCCAAATCTAAATACAAGATACACGCTCTTTGAAAATATTATATTAGTAATTTCTATTATAGATTAAAAAGAACATTTTAACAGAAACGTCAAGCGTTTATGGTAGAGAATCTCCCTATACATCTGCTGATTTTGTCCTCATTTCTATTGCATTTCTTTGTCCATTTCTAACATAATTATATACATAGCACTTGCATAATGAGCCGTCTATAAAAAGGGGAGATACGAATTATTAGCACATCAATACATTATCTCTCGATAATAGTATGTGAAATAAATGTTTATAAAACCGACCATTCTTGTATAAGGACTGACTGTATTGTTGACAAAGTATTCCTTTGGAGCCCTGCAGTAAAAGTATGAATACCTTTAGCACGTTAGTTAACGATTACGTCGGCACTAATGGGAGGTGATTGAGGGAATGTTTATCAGTACTATCAATCTTTACAATAGATAAGCTGTAGGTAATTGCTATTGAAAAATACACGTTATAGATATTATATCTGACATGCAATCATTACTTACAGTATTGATCTTTTCAAGATGAAATAATTCGTAAATTCTCAAACTTGGCAAATTTACCAGCAAAGTAAATGAAAATATCAATTTTGTACAAATTACGGTTATCATTTCACACACAAAAAACTAGTAAGGTATATTCAAATGATCATATTTGTATTATACATACAAACATATCTTAACTCTCTAACGAATCTCTTGTGAATCTAACGCTTATATACCGCGAATAGTCATACGCTGAGAGCCACTACATAAATTACTTATACACCGTGATTACATGTGAATAGGTTGTCTATATATGTCCCCAGTCACTGTGAAAGTATAGGACGGGTGACGTGTTTTAATAAAAGGATTTTGGAATGCCCTCCTTGGATGTGTAAATAACGACTGTTGCCCTGGTCATAACATAAACAATTAAAATGGCGGCCGAAGCTACATGGCTGTGGTTTGTGACACTTTTCCAGCTTATCTCACGTAAGTTCTAATATATCAATACATATAACTTAATCAGAGTTCATAGTTGTAACATAAAAATGAACATATTATTCTTTTTATCAAAGATCTGTGGTGAAACACACCGTAATTGTACCATGTGTAAGGGGTCTGAAAATAGTTCTAAGTTATTTTCTCAGTGGTTTTCAAGTTTCAAGTTTTATTATATCCAAATGCAATACAGCATATAGGTACAAGTACATTGTATACATAATTAAATGATAAAAATTCAAATATGTAATGTACAAGATGGCGAAGGACAATTCCATTCAAATACACAAAAATATGTATTAGATATATATATCTAGTACTTGTAGTACCGGTCAGTTACGTGATGAAATACAGTATCTATGACGTTACTACAGGTATATATGTGACGTCATGAAATAATGACAGCAACATAGAAACAATACATAAAAAGCACCGTGGCATATCAATAAAGTAATATTTCGGAGTTATTGACAGATATCAAATAACTGTTATACATTTATATGTATAACTTAATTAATCCTTTCAAATGATATCCCAATATAATGCAGTAGCATATAACAAATATTTATCCAGTCTGTTTAAAGATTTAACCCTTTTACAGGTAAATAATTTTATTAGTTTATAAATACTTGAACGTCTATAATAGTACTTTTTAATGTACGGGATGTGGACATTGGTATCACCGTTAGCCTATCTATACCTGGTGTTTCACTTTCATGACTGCTCTGATCAGTTATTTACGACACTTATATTAAATTGTCTCCTGTTTTCGAAAAAAAAGTCTACCTTGTCATTGATACTAAAATTAACAGGAACGCAACCTTTTTTTTCTAAATATGTAAATAAACCATCGACATGATATGGTGAATCCTTTGAGATATGGGTTATGGTGGGAGATATCTTAATATTTACACTTGTGATACGGAAAAACTGGTCACGGTTAATAAAAAATCAAACATTTCTATTTACCACTTCGAAGACAATGTTTAAAAGATATCACGGTGTTGGAAAATGTCCAATTCCGCCTATTTGTACTTTTGTGTGTCATGTAAAATATCTTTAGTATGTAATTATTAAAAAAATATCAAGAGTGCTATTTAAAACTGTGATGTTTATTCTATACACTAAACGCCCTAGAGTGCTATACATAAAAACGTGAAGGACAGAGAGGTGAATTTCTTATTTAGGTTACGGACGAGTTATCCAGACCAACACCTGTATACCCTAGTTAAAGCGGAATTAAAAATTCTTTAATTGTACAACTATTTAAATTCATTATACACGAATTAAAATGAAGAATCGTATTTGAGCATTTGCTACTTTCAGGTGTCCGCTCTGTGCGGAAATACAGTTTCTCACTACAATGGCTAAAGCATTTTTATGATCTTTCGCAATTAGATTTGTTTGTTACAACAAATAAACTCACTTATTTAAGCAGGTATTTGTATTTCTAAATGAAATATTTCAGGAAATCATAAAGTCATTTTGTGAAATTAATGCACGAGCTAAAATAAAGTTGTTTTCCGTCACTGCCGAATACAGCTAAAAATACATGTGGCAGGTGTATTCCGACAATGGAGGCGCCAGTTGCAGGATAAAGATGTAAACATAATATATGACAATGTCCAGCCTAGTCAGACTTACATAGCACTATGAACATTTCAATATCAGAATTAACACCAAAATAATATCAATGTCTACCAAAAGATATATTATGAAGTGACAATTATTTAAAAAAAATGTTTGTCTTCCAGTTGCCAAGTCGAGCGTGTGTTACTATGGTTATAGCTACAGCTACTACCAACTGTCTTATTACTGTGATAACGGCTGCTGCGGATATTACTACAGTCGCTACTGTTGTTCCAGGTAGATTAACATAAAATCCATGAAGTACCTGTTCATTGTCACTCTAAGTTAACATATCCACATGGTGTGTTTATTCTATAAAACTTTTGGAGAGAGAGAGAGAGAGAGAGAGAGAGAGAGAGAGAGAGAGGGAGAGAGAGAGAGAGAGAGAGAGAGAGAGAGAGAGAGAGAGAGAGAGAGAGAGGGAGGGAGGGAGAGAGAGAGAGAGAGGGAGAGAGAGAGAGAGCTCCTATGATAGTCGAGGAAACTGACGGTTACCACTTTTCAGAAATTGTATTCATTTCCACATCTTATATTGAGGATTATTTTGATTTGGAAAAATAAATTAGCATATTCTGTAATTTAAATGCACATAATCGGAGATTTATTTCATCACATAGTAAGTCATAAAAGGAGACCAGAAACTCTAAATTAAGGGGGATGGGATGGGGTTTGGGTTAGGGGCTTGGGGTTAGAATAAATGAGATACATAGTGGCTGTCATTTGTAACACAAATACTATAATAGATGTCAATAGCAGTATTCATATTGCTAGCCACAAGTGTCCATCAAACTCATACGTTAACAAAAACCTTCATGTTGTTTAACGTTAACTCATTACAAATTATGGATGGGAACAAAATTATCGTCGTGTATTTTATATTATTAACATTTTAATAGATTTACTGAAATCCGTATTGTTTTAAAATAGCATATGTAGATGTAATTTTTGATTGTCACCCTAATGGAGTGTAAACAAAGATTTCATTTTCATCAATGCCAAAGAAAAGATTAGCGTTTCTTATACCCTTTTCTCACTTGAAAACGTGACATTACTTACTCGGATTGACCAAGATTTACATGGCGGGTGTCATCGATGAAGAAGACACTTACTCTTCTGGAACACCTGTTTTTCATTGTACTTTTAATGGATTTCCTTGTAAATTGTTCATATTTTGCCCTAGATTTATTGAATTTGAGTTTATATTGTGATTACTTTGACAGACTGGTATTTTGTTTTGTATCTCTGACATCTGATAGATGCATTTCAATCAAAATTAATATAAGATAAAAAGAATTTTTTAAAACGGAAGTATGATCAATTTGTTGATAAATTACCTTGTTATTAGGAGCAGTTTAGTATCATATCTTAAAATCTAGCCAGTAAAGAATAAAGTTATTTGCCGATTTCATTCCTTCAATAATTCAAGCACGATAACACTTTAACAGAAAGACCGACTTATTGGTTCAATAATTTTTTTTCAGCATAAGTTACGGAGCCATTGCCGGCGCGGTCGTGGGAGGTATCATCCTCATCGCCATTATAGTTGTTGTAGTTATCATCTGTTGTAAAAACAAAGTTTCAACGAGACGAAACGGTGTCGTGATTCCTCAGAACAGAACCACTGTCGGTATGTATAGATAGATAGAGAGAGAGAGAGAGAGACAGAGAGACAGAGAGACAGACACAGAGAGAGAGAGAGAGAGAGAGAGAGAGAGAGAGAGAGAGAGAGAGAGAGAGAGAGAGAGAGAGACCTTAGGTATTACCAATGCCTAAAGGCTAAAGGAAAGCCTGTACAATAATCTTCAAAAGTAATGGCTGTTAGACTGAAGAAGATCTGTACAATAATCTTCAAAAGAAATGACTGTTAGGCTTAAGAAGATCTGTACAATAATCTTCAAAAGAAATGACTGTTAGGCTGAAGAAGATCTGTACAATAATCTTCAAAAGAAATGACTGTTAGGCTGAAGAAGATCTGTACAATAATCTTCAAAAGAAATGGCTGTTAGGCTGAAGAAGATCTGTATATTAATCTTCAAAAGAAATGACTGTTAGGCTGAAGAAGATCTGTACAATAATCTTCAAAAGAAATGACTGTTAGGCTGAAGAAGATCTGTACAATAATCTTCAAAAGAAATGACTGTTAGGCTGAAGAAGATCTGTACAATAATCTTCAAAAGAAATGACTGTTAGGCTGAAGAAGATCTGTACAATAATCTTCAAAAGAAATGGCTGTTAGGCTGAAGAAGATCTGTACAATAATCTTCAAATGAAAGGAAATACTATTTATAAGAGAATTGATTGTATTCAAGATTTCAAACCATGTATATGAAATCTTTTCTATTTCAGCTACAGTTTCAAATGTACAGACCGTGCCGCCACCACCGCCACCACAACCGCAACCTTACTACACCCAGCCTCCGCCCTACCAACAACCTGGAGTAGCCTACCCGCCACCACAGATGTATCCACCAGCACAAGCAAGCAACGATCCAGCATACCCTCCTCCTCCTCCACCGAAATATTAGGACACAGGGTAACTCACCAAATGTGGATACTTAAATGGCTTGATTCGTTGACTGGGCTTACTTTCTTCAGAAGACAGTCGTGGTGATGGTCCATATTTTCCTTCATGAACCCTGTTGGATGTGGACCATATTTCTTGTTTACGTTAGCGAGACGAAATGGCCATTCACCATATCCATTTTGTGGGGATGTTAATATCACGGAATTGCTATAGACAATCTATCCTACACTAATCAACCGATATTGATAGAGCTTAGAATTGACTCTTCTGTCTTTTTTCAATGTAATTAAAGTATCTCATTTTTGTATTTGGAAAGGGGATGGGCATCCTAGACATTTTAGCTACAATAATCATCACTATCAAATATTCATACGTAATATATCTATACTAGTACGAATAAATTTAAAGGATTACATCGTCAGCATGCCTATCGCAAAATGGCCAGATACAGTATTTTTAACTGTTTCTTATAAGATATTAAACTTTATAAAGACAATATCCGTATACTAGCAAAATGTCAAGCGAGAATGCTTTCATCATAGGACAAGAACGGATTTATCATTGGTAATACTTATAAAACATGTAAACTATCCAAAACCTTGGCTGAATGAAATATCAGTTCATCGCGCGAAGATTATTTTGTGCCATATTTGAACAATTTAGTATATAAAGTATTTCAGTGCGTTGATGGTTGAGATAACACCAAGAAAAGGAAGCTTTACTTATAAACGGGACACAGAGATTTGACACGTATATGTGTGTCATCATTATCATATATATGTATGATGTCAAGTCCCTGTAATATAGAATGATTTACAGAAGTCTGTGTTCTGCCTGATTAAAACTTATGTTCGCGGCTTGGAATATGAAGCCACTCTTATCCATAATGCCATGCTTGTATATAACTGTTATAAACGGTTTACTTCCAAAACAATATGTTTATCAATACATATTTTGATGTATTTAATTCATCAATAATAACAATTTTTTCACCGAAATTGAAAAAAAAAAGAAATGGGCTTCTCGCACCTGAAATACAAGTGTGAGAATTACAAAAGAAAAATATGATTTTTTTCTTACCTTCAAGTATTCCTGATAATGTTTAACTTTCAAAGGTGAATAATTCCGCACATTTATCAGTAAACACCTTCAGTGATGAAAATATCAACTTTTTGAATTATAAGGTAGTGTCGGTATTTGTATGTTCTGTATCTTTCGTAGAATCTCAAAACTGGTGGGTACATGGTCATATTTGCTCTATTGCAATGTTCACTGGTACATATTTAAACTCCATTGTTAACATATTTGTTTAGTAAAATAAAACTCCATTGATTATTTATTGATGAAAATATTTGTAAATAATGAGTATTGACATACTGTTATTTGTTCGTTTATAGAAGTGTATTGTTTTTAATGTGAATCAATGATGATGACAAAGTTTGAACATTCCGTTTTAATCAGTTAATAAAACTACATCTCTTATCTCCATACATCGGGAACTATCTCGTATGGTGATATAAACAAAAAATAAATAAATAAATCTATCCCAGTAAAAAAAACACGTTCGGAAGATAACCATAATATAAAACAGAAAGAAATTCAAAATGATTTAATATTGATCACGAGTATAATGATCGATCTGGTGAGTGTTATGCTTTTTGTAGTTACCAGCTTAGCGGTAATCTTCTATATAGGTTTTTCTACATTGTAACTACATATATGTACATACACTGAATACTCTGGCTATGTAAGTACCTGGCCATTGTAAAAGTATGGGTCAGGTGACGGTTGTTTAATAAAGGGATTTTAGCTTGCCCTCATTGTGAATGACGACTGTTGCCTGGTCATTTAATAAACAATCAAAATGGCTGTCCAAACTATGTGGCTGTGGTTTGTGACACTTTTCCAGCTTATTTCACGTAAGTTTGTGTTTTATTTTCATTTTTATATGTGTTTTCATATCGGTTTTACACACATACGAGAGAAACTATAAATACTTGTCTACCAGCTTACATAATTCTACTAACTCTTTACATTGAAGTTTCGCATGTATAAGCCAAGTATCGATCACTTGTAAATCTTGCGTGATAAAGGTTTGTATCGAATAAATTCTGATTCCTAGTAATTATTTTGTAGTTACGCCATCATGAGCCCTTCCTATACCAAGCCTTTGTAACCAAAACTCGTCCTTCGTTTGTTTTTCAAACGTCCTTTACTTCTTTAAACGTATTCTTCTTATGTATAACCATGTGATGTATATTTTTCCCTAAGCAAATTGCACATACTTTATAGCATTTGAAAAAAAAATCAGAATAGTTTATCTAATGAAAAATATGTAATCCAATTTATATTTGAGTTAAATATAGAATCACAAAATTGTTTAATGTTGTAAGCTGTTTGTTTGAATGAAATAATTTTGTTTTAATCGTGATATTTAGAGCTCAACATGTCTGTAAAACTGAGGTATGTGATTAATAAACTTTCCTACAGTATAAGTATCATTTGTGCGATATAAAGCTAGACTTTTTGATACTCGCTAGTTTGCCTGTTGGTTCTGTAGTTATATACCTTGTTCTCATTTGAGAACGTGACATTGCTTACTCGGATTGACCAAAATTTGTACGGAGGGTGTCGTCGATGGACCAGAAAACACGTACTCTTCCGAAACACCTGGTCTTATTCTCCTTATACTTTATTCAGTGGTCTCTGTATGAATCTATCCCTTTTTCATCTTCCTGCTCTAGTTTTATTGAATAGGACTTTTTGAGTTTGAATTACGATTAAGCTGACATGTAGGTGTTTTCTTGTTTATTGTGAAGTGCAACTGATAATGAACAGCTCCATGGGTCCCTCCTTTTCTCCTTTATCTGCGTTTTACTTTCTTCTCTCATTTCAACAATCGAAATGTTTTTACCGCATTGCCGAATGGGCACTAGGCAGTATTTGGTGATATCCTCCACCGACCCTTTGAAACCTATTATTGTCCTTACGTATGCACTTTCTAGGCTATAGATATCTTCAAAAGATAATGAACTGGACCGGTGTTATAACATCTAAATATTATCATGAAAAGTATTTTCAATTTTGAAAAAAAACAAGTACATGATTATTACAAGATAAATCGATAAAAATTTCCAGAACAATTTTGCGAGCAAAATGTAATGAAATACATATATTACAGTACATGTGTTTTTGGTAATAATTCAGTGTCAAACTCCACCTATTATGATATATCTCGATTCACAGTTTTCTTCTAAATATGATATATTGTCGGTCGGTGCTTTTGTTTAATTTTGTATTTTATATTTAAAACAAGTTATATTCTCTTAAAAATCAGTTTTTAACATTTAACGTTATAATTCTATGTCTATAATACATGTGTTTTATGTACATATATACACAAACCGCGTAAGAAAGTATTAGGACTGACAGAGTGTATTTAGGTCACTTACGGACTATCCGAGAACCTTGTCAACACCTATACACTCGATCTATTGTTACCACCCGCTAAGGTAATATGATCTTAAATGTATTCACTATATTGAATATGTATGCACTGCGTATTAATTCTATTCATTAAAATGAATAAAAGATTAATACTGTCGACACGAAAACCCGTGATCGGGAGAAGTTAAATAAGTTAATAAAAATTGTAAAAACAACTTACAAAATACCGACATATCACCAAAAGCTTTATCTGAACACAAAATCGATGAAATTTTACAATGTCAAGGACCAAAGACCATGTTCACGAATGTGATGGCACCTGTGAAAGTCATAGGTCATATTCTAAGATCATGGCAGCTGAATGTTGATACAACATGCATTCACATATACGCATGCATTGCTAAATCCTAAACAGCCTTCAAAGAGTTGTTCCAAATATTTAACACAAGGTAAAATTAAAGTGTAAAGGTCAAAATCATGGTAGATGTAAACACAGCTTATTTATATATATCTAGGTAACTTCTAACAGTTGATAATTACATCAAACTTATAAATAACACTATCATGTATAAATGATTGTGAAAATTTAACAAAATATTACAATATAAATGCGATATATTTCATAACAGTTTACTAAAGCTAAGCACTGACAAGTTTTGCTGGTACACTCAACAGCATATTTGTTCACCAATCTGATTCATGATTATTATTGACAACGTGCACATACAAACGGTCACCTGTTGCTAAGGGACGCATGAAGTTATTGTTTATTAAACATTTTGTGTGCACGAATAAAAACATCTTGACACTGCTTTACTTAATAAACATTACTATGTAGAGGGAGTTGACAGAAAGTTTTTTTTTTAAATGGTCACCCGAAGTAAGTTTACCTAGAGTAAACAAACTTTCACAAATGATTGAGTTTTTATCAAAGTGCTCACTTTATAGATATATTAACGGTAATTTTTTCTTAAGCAATATTTAACAAAAGCAATTTGTATACAAAATATCAAACAAAAATCAGATTTTCACCTCATATTGAATAATGTTGAATTAATAAAGTTTGAACGTATTTTATAATTGGTAATATTGAGGATGAGTATCTCTTTATCATAAAGAGCGAGCGTTATCAAATTATTAGAAAATGTTTTATCATAAAGTATTATTATTTGAAACCTTGATGGCAAACTTTCTTGGAAACAGAAAATGATAAAGATTTATCGAATTTAGGAAAATATATCAGTCTTATTAACAAAAGGCGAGTAAATAATGCTTAAGAAATATATAAACATACATAAATATATTTTATTTAGATATTTGGAATTATTATCTACACTTTGATCGGATATGTGTGATCTGTGTGTGTTATAAGCTATGTTTCTCATGTTTTTGTTATGTTTGTGCCTGCACTGTAAATATATGCACTGTACTGTTAAACCATAAGGCCTAACGGAATACATTAATTGAATTGAATTGAACATATCCTCAAATTCTATTATTTAATGTGATTTAAGACTACGGTCTGTAGTAGGGATTTAGCGTTTTGATAAAATGACACAAAACCTGGTAAAATATATCGATGAATAATACTTGATTAGATTTTCATGGTGGGTGTTCAGTATCATCGAGTTTAAATTTGAATTAAGATTCTAATGGCATGCCAGTGTTTTCTTGGTTGGTTTTGGTTAAGAAATACGGCTTATGACATAATTTGAATTATTTGGCTTTAGACAAATAGGTTTATGATACTTACAACTCACCTCAATAAAATGAAAGCTGGTTGTATGAAATTCATATTATTTCTATTATGCGAGTCCCCTTAATATCTGAAAATATCATACCAGATCCATTTATCTTTAGTCATAAATAATGCATACCGAATTAATTGGTTTTTTTCGAAGGTTCTATTTTTTCGCTATGTTCGATGATAGAAGAATATCACCAATATTAGACTACTTGAAATAAAATTATCAGGGAAAGTTTCAGAAAATGATAAACTGATTGAGCTTTGAATTAAACCGCTGAACTTTGTTCCATCCCATAAGATGACATGTGTATCGATTTCGCAATCTCTTTTCTTATTATACTAAAATATCACAATACAAGTGTTTCAGTTACTACTTCGTGTCATTTTCTGTTTGGTGTTAGGAATTTATCAAATCTTTCTCATCTCTTGTTTTCTGTTAGAGTTGCAACGTTTAAGATTCTTTTTGTTTTTCGCTGTTTTCTAAAATGGAATAAAATCCGATGCTTTGAAAATTAAGCTTTAGATTTGTTTTTAACGTTTCCAGATTTTCATGCGAGGAAAATATTCCAATACAAAACCGGTTATGTTTTCTTTCAGTTTCCAAGTCGAGTCTATGCTACTACGGCTCCTACTACTACTATTATTACTACAACAGCTACTACTACCAGTCCTACTATTGTGACAGTGGCTGTTGTGGATATTACTACAGTCGATACTGTTGTTCCAGGTAAATATAGACATAGAGATCGTCGGACTTGGGTAATATATCGATGTTCGTCACTTTTTTAGAAAACCTATTGTAAAATAAAATTTCGCTTAACGCTTCGTGGACATTTAAATTAAGAATAACCATGATTTCAAAGAAATAACTCCGCGAAAATGAACGAGTTTACATAATTGATTGCACAAAATTTTACGATGACAAATCCCCTTTAAAATGCCAATCATCCGCTAATTACAACGATGAAGGGTAAATCAGTATTAAAGTTTTCACCAATTTTGAAGTTAACATAGTTTCGTATAACTTCTTCAGTTTATATTGTGATATCTTCCGATCAAATTATTTGTAATCCATCTTTGTTCGAATTCAGTTTGCTCTAGTGTTTCGTACGATCGAAACCAATTCATGACAGTACTATGATAGTATATCATACTGCAGTATAGTATGTTAAATGACATTAACTTATTTTGATTGGTAAATATTAAATGAGCATATGTGGTTTCAGTTGTTTTATGGTAATATGATTTCATCGAGCAGATTTCATTCCTGCAATAAAATGCTGTACACAAGACATGATATGTATGAATGAAAAATTACATAATCTTATAACGCATAAGCATGTATATGTTTCGCCTTCAAATCCGTTCTCTCCAGTGTCAGTTCTGGGACCATTGCTGGGGCCGTCGTTGGAGGCATATTCGTCATTGCCGTCATAGCTGTTGTTGTTATCATCTGCTTAAAAAGCAAACATAACACGAGGCGTGGCGTCGTGATTCCTCAGAACAGAACGACTGTTGGTAAGTGTTGAAAGGATTGTGAAGATAGATGATGATTTACTGGTCTATATTTTCATCGATACAACAGTCCGACTAATAACCATTGTCTAGTTAGCAGAAAATTACAAATAAAGATATAACAGTTTCCTCACCTTAGGGGTAACTCGGCTAACTGAAAAATTGAAAAGAAAGTTATTGTACTAAAACGATAGATATTTGTCATGATTTTCAACATTATATTCAATAATTTCCATTTTAGCAACAGTTTCACACGTACAACCACAGCCACCGCCACCACCACCACCACAGCCATACGGCCAGCCACCACCATACCAACAACACGGAATGGTCTACCCTCCACCACCTCCACCACCTCCAGCCGCCGACCCAGCCTACCCTCCTCCTCCACCAAGATATTAGGTTGCAGTTACAACTTCTGTATATGGATCACCTCTTCCTCTCCCAATGACGTTTATCGGATTCTTCTGAAGACATTGTACAGGGTCATGGTCCATAGTAATTCATTGGACACTGTGGAAATTGTCCATATAATTTCCGAATCCTTCTGATTGGTGTTGATTAATACTTTTATCATACTGACAACTCGACAATAGCTAGTCGATATTTCGTCCGTAGTGCTATACATTAAAAGTGTTCGCGTGATTAGTCAGTCATGCGCTGCTGTGTACATACATATCTGAAATATGTGTCGTGCAAAAAAGGAGAATTGAAAAGTCTGCATTTTATACTACTGGCAATGTTCATCATCATATGCTATGTATTCAGTATATCGTATTTATAATTTTGACCAAATCACGCCATTGAAAGTGACAACTGCTGTTAATTTCACAGCTTCTCCAACTGCGGGCAGTTTTATAATTTCAGAATAATGCACGTGCTACATTGAGTTTGATTTCACACTCAGCATTTGGTTTTAAAAATCTAGGATGTAAAATATGTGTTGAGGGGTATTAAAACACGTTTACAAAGAATTTGGCTCTAGTCTTGATATGTTTTACACATATGAAAATCTATTATTCCTAATAATATGATAATCAACAGACAAAATGCTTTGTAGTTCTTTTTTAAGACTCTTATACTTAGCCTCGGTGTCATATGTATTAAGTATCGTAAGATGATGACGACGATCCTGCGGAGTAGTAACTAATTACAAAACAGTTGTTGATAAAGTCATTTTTTATTTCGTCAATTCCTTTGATATATGAAAGTCATCTTTTAAAACCTCAACACTTAATAGTCCAAGAGACATTGTCTACAGGGTCCAACTTCGTTTTTGGTAAAATAATGCGTTTTTAAAATCTATTTTTATTTACTTATGTTTTAGGCGTGATTTCGGTTTGATTACAAAGTGGAAAACACATTATAACGATTTATATTAAAGCACAGGGTTTATCCAAATCCAGCTACATCGAAATCATGTATGTTAATTTGATAAAACAAATTATTGTTGGTTCCCAACCAAAAGCTGTGTACATTGACAAATGAAAGAGAAAACCTTGGACGTATATAAATTTAAGTAAACTTATTTTTCCATATTTGTGCATACCAGAGAGTTTGTTTTTTCCAATTTTACAATACAAAAAAATATTCAAATATTATTTCTCTGAATTAGCAAAAGACTAATATGTTTAGATAAATAACTTTATGTCAATAGCACAATTCAGCTTCTTCATTACAAAACTTGCAACAAAAAATACTACATAAAGAATTGATCAACATATCAATGCTAAAGATATAAAACATTCCACAAATTATTTTAAATCTTTATATATTTTAAAGAATTTTCATCCGAACGTTATATTTAATAAGTTCATATTACATTGAACACTGCTAATAGAACTGACCGGATTTTATTATTCGTCACGTATGACTTAGTCAACTAATGTTGCCCGAACATGTTAATTTACACACAAAAAAAGAGACATGACCTTTAAATATTCTTTTTTCAATAGTAAGAAACGGCACAATGTCTACAGACACCACTTAAAATACAACCATGAATTTAACTGTATACAATGACACATAAAGTAATTACTTCAATGTTTAATGCAGAGAATAACTTAACACACAGCACTTGTCAATTGCTTCAATTTCCCCTGTTAATGACCTGTAAGACATACAACACATACATGTGTATCCACCGAAAACAGCACGTGAGTTTGCTATCGAGTTTCTAGGGTTGTTTGTTTCATATTTTATCAGATGTAAGACAAAGAAATAAGCACAAGAGAAACAAGAATCATTTTAGATGTCATATTCATCATATCATATAAATTGAAAATAATTGAAAACAAGTTTATCTATTTCATAGCTATACTTCCAGTTACTCGTAATAAGGCCAACAAAGGAAATACCAACACGTCAACAAAATAAAAAAAATCCACTCAATTTCATTAAAACTATGACAAAACATAAATTAAAGGAATATTTACACACAGACGACTGGAAAAGTATAATGATTTGAATAACACAAGGTATTCCAGGTAGCAACCGTCATCTGCTTCATCGACGACACCTTATATGTAAATCTTCGTTTATCCAAGTGAGTAATGTCACGTTTCCGAACGCTAACACGTTGTTTGATATTGTATTGTATGGTTTTTTATAAGACCGAGAAAATCGTTCATCTGTGTTTGGCCAAAAGATCATCCGCAGATTTACAATAGATTATCATTGTAAATCTATAACCTCGACTAAAATAAATTTATCTTTTAAAGTAAACGTATCTTTTAATATATCTTCATGCTGTGACATAAACTAAACAATTTTCAATTTTTACTCAAATGTTGCCTTTCTTCAAAAGGTAAACATAGACATAATTGGTGAATTTCTACTAAAGGTCCTCCTATACAACAGTGTTGCCTTTATTCTAAAGATTATCCTATACATAAGTGTTGCATTTCTTTCAAAAGGTCCTCCTATGCATATATGTTGTCGGTCTTATAAGGGTCCTCCTATACACCACTTCACTTTCGTCTGTCTTACAAGTACTCCTATACATAATTGGTGACTTTCTACTAAAGGCCCTCCTATACATCAGCATTGTCTTTCTTCTCAATGTCCCTTATACATCAATGTTTTCTTTCGTCTAAAGGTCATCCTATACGTCAATGTTTTCTCTCGTCTAAAGGTCATCCTATACGTCATGTTTTCTCTCGTCTAAAGGTCCTCCTATACGTCAATGTTTTCTCTCGTCTAAAGGTCCTCCTAAACGTCAATGTTTTCTCTCGTCTAAAGGTCCTACTATACATCAATGTAGTTATTCTTTTAAGGTCCTCCTTTACAGCAATGTTGCTTTCCTTTTAAGGTCCACCTATACATCACTTTTGTCCGTCTTGAAGGCCCTCTTATACATCCAGGCTGTCTTTCTCCTTAAAGGCCTCCTATACATCAATGTTGTCTGTATTAAAAATGTCATCCTATACACCCATGCTACCTTTCCTCTAAAGGTCCTCGTATACACAAGTGTTGTCTTTCATATAAAGGTAATCTGATAAATCAATGTTGCCTTTTATCTAAAGGTAATCCTATATGCCAATGCTGTCTTTCTTCTAAAGGTAATACTATACACCAACATTGTCTTCCTTCTAAAAGTCCTCCTATACATCGCTTTTGTCTGTCTTAAAAGGTCCTCCTATACACCAGTGTTGTCTTTCTTATAAAGGTAATCCTAAACACCAACATTGTCTTCCTTCTAAAGGTAATCCTATACATCAATGTTGCCTTTCTTCTAAAGGTAATCCTATACATCAATATTGCCTTTCTTCTAAAGGTAATCCTAAACACCAACATTGTCTTCCTTCTAAAGGTAATCCTATACATCAATGTTGCCTTTCTTTAAAAGGTAATCCTATACACCAACATTGTCTTCCTTCTAAAGGTAATCGTATACATCAATGTTGCCTTTCTTCTAAAGGTAATCCTATACATCGATGTTGCCTTTCTTTAAAAGGTAATCCTATACACCAACATTGTCTTCCTTCTAAAGGTAATCCTATACATCAATGTTGCCTTTCTTCTAAAGGTAATCCTATACATCAATGTTGCCTTTCTTCTAAAGGTAATCCTAAACACCAACATTGTCTTCCTTCTAAAGGTAATCCTATACATCAATGTTGCCTTTCTTCTTAAGGTAATCCTATACATCAATGTTGCCTTTCTTTAAAAGGTAATCCTATACACCAACATTGTCTTCCTTCTAAAGGTAATCCTATACATCACTGTTGCCTTACTTCTAAAGGTAATCCTATACATCAATGTTGCCTTTCTTCTAAAGGTCTTCCTATATATCAATGTTGCCTTTCCCCAAAAGAGGTTTCTATACATCACTTTTGTCTGTCTTATAGGTACTCCAACATCAATGTTGTCTTTCTTCTCCATGTAATCCTACATGTCAATGTTGTCTTTCTTCTCCATGTAACCCTATATGTCAATGTTGTCTTTCTTCTCCATGTAATCCTATATGTCAATGTTGTCTTTCTTCTCCATGTAACCCTATATGTCAATGTTGTCTTTCTTCTAAAGGTAATCCTATATGTCATTGTAGCCTTTCTCCTAAAGGTAATCCTATACATCAATGTTGCCTTTCTTCTAAAGGTAATCCTATACATCAATGTTGCCTTTCTTCTAAAGGTAATCCTATGCACCAACATTGTCTTCCTTCTAAAGGTAATCCTATACATCAATGTTGCCTTTCTTCTTAAGGTAATCCTATACATCAATGTTGCCTTTCTTCTAAAGGTCTTCCAATATATCAATGTTGCCTTTCCCCAAAGGGGTTTCTATACATCACTTTTGTCTGTCTATTGGTACTCCAACATCAATGTTGTCTTTCTTCTCCCTGTAATCCTATATGTCAATGTTGTCTTTCTTCTCCATGTAATCCTATATGTCAATGTTGTCTTTCTTCTCCATGTAATCCTATATGTCAATGTTTTCTTTCTTTTTCGTGTAATCCTATATGTCAATGTTATCTTTCTTCTCCATGTAACCCTATATGTCAATGTTGTCTTTCTTCTCCATGTAATCCTATATGTTAATGTTGTCTTTCTTCTCCATGTAATCCTATATTTCAATGTTGTCTTTCTTCTCCATGTAACCCTATATGTCAATGTTGTCTTTCTTCTCCATGTAATCCTATATGTCAATGTTGTCTTTCTTCTAAAGGTAATCCTATATGTCATTGTAGCCTTTCTCCTAAAGGTAATCCTATACATCAATGTTGCCTTTCTTCTAAAGGTAATCCTATACACCAACATTGTCTTCCTTCTAAAGGTAATCCTATACATCAATGTTGCCTTTCTTCTAAAGGTAATCCTATACATCAATGTTGCCTTTCTTCTAAAGGTAATCCTAAACACCAACATTGTCTTCCTTCTAAAGGTAATCCTATACATCAATGTTGCCTTTCTTCTAAAGGTTATCCTATACATCAATGTTGCCTTACTTCTAAAGGTAATCCTATACATCAATGTTGCCTTTCTTCTCCATGTAATCCTATATGTCAATGTTGTCTTTCTTCTCCATGTAATCCTATATGTCAATGTTGTCTTTCTTCTCCATGTAATCCTATATGTCAATGTTGTCTTTCTTTTCCGTGTAATCCTATATGTCAATGTTGTCTTTCTTCTCCATGTAATCTTATATGTCAATGTTGTCTTTCTTCTCCATGTAACCCTATATGTCAATGTTGTCTTCTCCATGTAATCCTATATGTCAATGTTGTCTTTCTTCTAAAGGTAATCCTATATGTCAATGTTGTCTTTCTTCTAAAGGTAATCCTATATGTCATTGTTGCCTTTCTTCTAAAGGTAATCCTATACATCAATGTTGCCTTTCTTCTAAAGGTAATCCTATACATCAATGTTGCCTTTCTTCTAAAGGTAATCCTATGCACCAACATTGTCTTCCTTCTAAAGGTAATCCTATACATCAATGTTGCCTTTCTTCTTAAGGTAATCCTATACATCAATGTTGCCTTTCTTCTAAAGGTCTTCCAATATATCAATGTTGCCTTTCCCCAAAGGGGTTTCTATACATCACTTTTGTCTGTCTTATTGGTACTCCAACATCAATGTTGTCTTTCCTCTCCCTGTAATCCTATATGTCAATGTTGTCTTTCTTCTCCATGTAATCCTATATGTCAATGTTGTCTTTCTTCTCCATGTAATCCTATATGTCAATGTTTTCTTTCTTTTCCGTGTAATCCTATATGTCAATGTTATCTTTCTTCTCCATGTAATCTTATATGTCAATGTTGTCTTTCTTCTCCATGTAATCCTATATGTCAATGTTGTCTTTCTTCTCCATGTAATCCTATATTTCAATGTTGTCTTTCTTCTCCATGTAACCCTATATGTCAATGTTGTCTTTCTTCTCCATGTAACCCTATATGTCAATGTTGTCTTTCTTCTCCATGTAATCCTATATGTTAATGTTGTCTTTCTTCTAAAGGTAATCCTATTCATCAATGTTGTCTTTCTTCTCCGTGTAATCCTATATGTCAATGTTGTCTTTCTTCTAAAGGTAATCCTATATGTCATTGTAGCCTTTCTCCTAAAGGTAATCCTATACATCAATGTTGCCTTTCTTCTAAAGGTAATCCTATACACCAACATTGTCTTCCTTCTAAAGGTAATCCTATACATCAATGTTGCCTTTCTTCTAAAGGGCCTCCTATACATCAATGTTGCCTTTCTTCTAAAGGGCCTCCTATTGTCTTCCTTCTAAAGGTAATCCTATACATCAATGTTGTCTTTCTTCTAAAGGTAATCCTATACATCAATGTTGTCTTTCTTCTAAAGGTAATCCTATACATCAATGTTGTCGTTCTTCTCCATGTAATCCTATATGTCAATGTTGTCTTTCTTCTCCATGTAATCCTATATGTCAATGTTGTCTTTCTTCTCCATGTAATCCTATATGTCAATGTTGTCTTTCTTCTCCATGTAATCCTATATGTCAATGTTGTCTTTCTTCTCCATGTAATCCTATATGTTAATGTTGTCTTTCTTCTCCATGTAATCCTATATGTCAATGTTGTCTTTCTTCTCCATGTAATCCTATATGTCAATGTTGTCTTTCTTCTCCATGTAATCCTATATGTCAATGTTGTCTTTCTTCTCCATGTAATCCTATATGTCAATGTTGTCTTTCTTCTAAAGGTAATCCTATATGTCAATGTTGTCTTTCTTCTCCATGTAATCCTATATGTCAATGTTGTCTTTCTTCTCCATGTAATCCTATATGTCAATGTTGTCTTTCTTCTCCGTGTAATCTTATATGTCAATGTTGTCTTTCTTCTCTATGTAATCCTATATGTCAATGTTGTCTTTCTTCTCCATGTAACCCTATATGTCAATGTTGTCTTTCTTCTCCATGTAATCCTATATGTCAATGTTGTCTTTCTTCTCCATGTAACCCTATATGTCAATGTTGTTTTTCTTCTCCGTGTAATCCTATACATCAATGTTGTCGTTCTTCTAAAGGTAATCCTATACATCAATGTTGCCTTTCTTCTAAAGGGCCTCCTATACATCAATGTTGTCTTTCTTCTAAAGGTAATCCTATACATCAATGTTGTCTTTCTTCTAAAGGTAATCATATACATCAATGTTGTCTTCTCCGTGTAATCCTATACATCAATGTTGTCGTTCTTCTAAAGGTAATCCTATACATCAATGTTGTCTTTCTTCTCCGTGTAATCCTATACATCAATGTTGTCTTTCTTCTAAAGGTAATCCTATACATCAAAGTTTTTTTTCTTTTAAAGGTCCTCCTATACATAAATGATGTCTTTTTTGTAAAGGTCCTAAATTTCATTGATGTTGTTTTCAATCTAAAGGTTTCGCTTTGTATCTCCGAATACTTGTCTTACTCAACAATAAACTGGTAGCAATGCTGAATTATCATCTTGTACATTACACATATATAACACTTCATGGCAAATTTTGCTTCAGATTGTTTGCTACAAATGGTAACTGTTTCATGTTTTTTTGTAATGGAAATAGCAAAAAAAAAACTGAATGTATATATTCTTTTTTAATGTCAATATTTTCAAGTCATCATGTTGATATGAAATTAATTCCATATATCATAACAAGTATATCAGGTCATAGCAAAACCACAGAATTCAGCATCATTGTAAACTGTTCCAGCTTCTATACACGAACAATGGCTTTTTTTATATTAAAACACATTAGCAGCAACACACATTCCATATTGTATGTCCTTCGCAATTTAATTTTATCATAAAACAATTTTTGTTATAATTTTTTATGTAACCAAATTGTGTATAAGCATCGCTAAACACCAGTGAAGTTAAGGATTCAGTTTAATGCCGTAATAAAAATTTGTGAAAACATGTACAGATGTTTCGTATTTAAAAATCAAAATTTAATATTTTGTAAGTATTTTGATTTGCTTATTCAGCGTTGTGGCTTACTCTTTTTCTAATTGATTTTTTGTGCTGGTGTGCACCTTGTGATACATCTGTTCCAGCAGTGTTTATATGAGGAGTTGATATAAATTTTTAACAAGGTACACAAGTATAACATACTGGTAATTTATATCACAATAATCACTTACAGCACTACTTGTGAAGCATTAGACCTAGTTAGCTGTACATGACATCTATTAAATGCCACAACCAACCTGAGCAATAAAACTTCACACAAAAAAATAAAAACAAATTATTTCTTATGACTCTCTCTCAGAATAAATAAACATTTAAAATCTATGAATTGGTGTAAAGACAGACTTAGTAGAAAAGTACCATAGACTTACTTAGTAGTACAGTACCACAGACTGACTTAGCAGTAAAGTACCACAGACTTACTTAATAGTACAGTACCACACACTTACTGAGCAGTAAAGTACCACAGACTGACTTACTAGTATAGTACTACAGACTTACTTAGTAGTACAGTACCACAGTCTTACTTAGTAGTACAGTACCACACACTTACTTAGTAGTACAGTACCACAGACTGGCTTTAGTAGTATAGAACCACAGACTGACTAAGTAGTACAGTACAACAGACTTACTTAGAAGTACAGTACCACAGTCTTACTTAGAAGTACAGTACCACACACTTACTTAGTAGTACAGTACCACAGACTGGCTTAGTAGTACAGTACCATAGACTTACTTAGTAGTAAAATACCACAGACTTACTTAGTATTAAAATACCACAGACTTACTGAGCAGTAAAGTACCACAGACTTACTTAGTAGTACAGTACCACACACTTACTTAGAAGTACAGTACCACACACTTACTTAGTAGTACAGTACCACAGACTGACTTAGTAGTACAGTACCATAGACTTACTTAGTAGTAAAATACCACACACTTACTTAGTAGTACAGTACCACAGACTGACTTAGTAGTACAGTACCACAGACTTACTTAGTAGTACAGTACCACAGACTGACTTACTAGTATAGTACCACAAATTTACTAATGTAGATTTAAGAACATGGTAGTATCAGTATACACATTATATCAAAATGGAATTCAATATCCTTTTTTTGTGTAAATCCTTTAATGTATTTTCCTGATGTATTGCTCACTATTTTAAGTTCCTAACTATACCAGGATTACTCTCATTGAGTAATTATTAGACAGGTTCAATGGTTAAGTCACAATTAATATCTTAAGTCTTTTTCGTACGAAAAAAACAGAAAGAAAACATCACTCCGCAACCAAAACTGTATCACAGAAAACAAAAGTAGAAATACTAACAAGCTGTACACATCAAAACCTTTCAGACAATTAATTTGATTAAAAATGTCATGTAAATATAGGTAATAAATTAATCATACAATACAAACTGTACTAGCATTATCAAACAAGAATCAATCCTAGATTAGTCAAGTTCTCAAACAAAACTTAATCCTAGATTAGTCAAATTATCAAACAAGACTAAATCCTACATTAGTCAGATTATCAAGGAAGACAATCCTCCATTAGTCAAAATATCAAACAAGACAAAATCCAAAATAAGTCAAATTATCAAAAAAGGCTTAATCCTGGATAAATCAGATTATTAAACAAGACTTAATCCTAGATTATTCAATACAAACAACCCAAACAAAACGCAAGCACACATTAGGATAAAATCAATTCTAAAGTCATAACCAAACAAATTTCAAAAGAAGGTTTATTTCGTTGACATACCCATCAATATTATTTTTCATTTTTTTTCACCTGTCCATAGGCTATCATTTTGTTCCTGTAACAACAAAGGAACTGTATATATCATGTATGATTTAAGATGAAATGAACCCGTCTTCACATCAATGGAAAGTAACACAAGTCCTGACTGTTTTGTTGACAAAGTGCAGAACTAAGCCTTTCTTGTATGAAACTCTGACTACATACATTGCTATCCATTAATGACTGCTACTTCAGGTAGATGACTATAACTAATCTACATGCAGTTTGATTCAAAGTCATTTCAATAATTTTCCAAAACTAATATTGGTACATTTTTTTTTTAAAAAATCAAATCGTATCTGGCCTCTGACCAGTTATTATAAAAAAAAATTAATCTTATCACATAAAGTTGATCTTCTAAAGTTACAAGGTTTGTATATCTTAATATTCTAATGAAAAAAATGAAATGATGGCCTGCCTAGCAGGCTGAAACATATCAGCAGTCACATATTTTCACAAAAAGTGATGTGATTAGCTAACTAAAACTTAAGCCTAAACCTGCATTATGATCCTAGAGCCAGGACTTTGAATTGATTACATAATCTTGGGAATTACCTTCAACTATCATATATCATACCAAAATATGGTAATGTCATGATGATGTCATTCCAGTCATTTTTTCACTAACTTCCCAGAGTTTTTTAGCCAGTCCCTCATCGTAAGCTTTCTTATTAATGTACCACGTATGATCACGCACCTCACAGTCCATAAAATAGTGACCTGAAACACCCTTAGTTGCATCACACACTGCACAGTGGATGGTTGTTTGAGCTCCTTCATCTGGACTCTACAAAAAAGAACACTTTTTATTTTATCACTATTTAAATCTTGTACCATTTTGATATCTATTTTGACAAACTTCAATTTTCCTCAGTTGCCTTGTAGTTTTCAACTGTAATGCAGAAACTGGGAACAAGGCGCAATGAAGATTAATCTGATCTCAGTTTTTGTTTGTTTGTTTGTTCATCAAGCCGTGCAGTCATAAATGACCCCTCTCCTTACAGTTGTTTTCTAATCTTATCTACCTATGCCCCATTCACACCTATCCAGAAGTTCATTTATCCATTTCAAAAAATGTTTCACTTTTCAATGGCCAACAAAATAGCTCTTGTCAGGCCCATGTGTGCTGACTAAATCTGAATAGCCTAGCAGTGAATGGAGCACAGAAAGATGAAACTAGATAACAACTTTGAGCAGAAATAGATTCAGTTACTTTATAACTCACTAAAAAAGCAAAAACAGCTATCACCAAATTAGCCTACACTGGGCATGGTTTCAAATCCCTTCATTATATGTCCCAGTACAATTTTGTTAATTCTTTAAAACATTCCCCGAACATGATATTCAGAATATGTCATCACTTCATTCCAACTTCAAGGAAAGAAGAATGTATATGTAATATCTTAAATAAATAATTTAAAAATTTTAAATAATAAATCACCTTATCTAAATTAGGTAAACAAATGCTTTACAGTGATTCTATGACAGTCGTCCTGAAGTAATTCATGTTGATAGAAATACACTCATTTGGTTATGTCTGGATCATAACAAATTTATTGTACTGCTAAGTTAAATTCAGATTTGTTTTCCTTAAAATGTTGAAACGAAACATGAAATCATGTGATGTACTTTGGCAATATATCTCAGGAGAAAGTGGATGACCATATTAAAATCAAAATTCTTTCAGTCTTATATGGATCCTCTTTACTATAAACTAACTTGTATTACCTTAAAATAAAGCAACCCAATGAAGTAGCATATGAGTTTAAATGGCTGAGGCACATTGCGGAGAAGTTCAGTACGTATAGTTCCCGGATGTAGACAGTTTATAACAACATCTGAAAATAAGATAAATTGACATATGTATTTATGAAACTTTTCAGTTGACTTCTCAAAGCACCAGTGATATGTAATGATACAATGATCCAACATACATTCATCTGAGAATCACTGGTTAAGGAATTACTGGTTCCAGGAATCAAACCTGGACAACTAGGTGAAAGGCAGTGTTACCACTGCTCCACCCGACTACCCATGTTAATCATTATGATAAATTTTGATAAATTTTGATAAATTCGATAATTCTTTCCTGTTCACAGATTTTATAAGTTGGTTGAATTTAAGCATACTGGGTCTATTACAATGATATATCTTAATGAAACATAAAATCTACTAAGGAAGTAATTTGCAGCTCACATCTGATTGTAAAGGTAGTTCCTGCCAACATGTTTTTGAGCACAAGTACTGAGGCACCCATATTAACCACTGATTAGACCATAATTTAACATCATATACATAATGTTCATGACTTAATAAAATTTTATCTACAATTTTAACCCAGTCACCATATGTACCCTCTAACTATACCAAAATACTCTATGATACACTAGCTAGTATTAAAGCCTTTAGTACATGAATGACAAATCTCTTATTTTTTAGGATTGAATTCTCATTCTAAAACTCATCTTCAAAAAACAAGAAAGTATTTAATTGAGAAGGAAATTATGTTTTGAACGAAAGATTTTGATTAAACTAACGCAAGATACATTGAACACATGGAATATACATGAGAATGTGATTCTATCCTTAGACAAATATCTGAGTATGAGTATCTCGTATTACCAGCCAACAGTTTACCTCAGGACTAACTAGCAACCGCCCATGCTGCATGTATTTACCCTGATAAGAGACTTTGCAAACAAGTAAAAATTCAGAAACTACCCAAGTACATTAATTGTATATAAAATACTAAGGTACCTATCATTTCTTAGATAATTGTCCATTTCAGAGCTGTGATGCATTTGAAAGCTTTATATATATAATACTAACCATTTCTGAGATAATTAGCCATTTAAGAAATGTAATGCACCTGTCACTTTTGACCTCTGGAGTTTGTCAAAAGTGTTGCGTATTTCCATGCCTGTGATACACTTATGTACAAAACACATAGATAAACAAAATTTCAACTGCTTCCCAGGTAATAGGTCATTGGCTGTTTCAAATACCAACATAAAGGGCTATAACCTTGGTAAAAATTGACACAAGCATATATGAGGAAGACAGACATGCCAATTCCAGTAAACAAAATGCTGCCCCCGCTCCCCCATTCCCTCACTTTTACATCTCAAACTTGGTTGTAGGTAGTATAAAATGTCTATCTGTCTCAATATTATGCTATTATCATTCAAATGTAGTGAAAAAAATTTAATAAGAGGTCATGAAAAGGTAAATACCTGAATCTTCCAGTCTCCTACTCAATTCTTTTGTAAACAAGATATTTGCAAATTTTGTATCAAAATAAGGTTCCCCACTGTCAAACTTCCTTATCCAAGTCATATCATCAAAGTTAATCTTTCCAATAATATTGACAAGAGAGGATACCATCACAATGCGACTATGGCCCGTCTTCTTTAGCAGACCTAGAATTATAAATCAATGTTAATATTTACAGGCATTACAAAGATTGAAGCAATAATGAAAAGCTCTTAAATTTGGTGGGAGTATATTTTTGGGGTTGTCCTCATCGGATGCTCATGTATTTAATTTTGCACTTCCTTCAATCATTTTTAATACAGCAAAGTTAAATCTTCACGAATATTACCCAGCATACATTTTCAGGGCAAATAACTTCAGATATAGCAAATAACATCCCTATCAATTTGTTGGTATGACAGCTATTCCAATTTTACTGGAAACTTTGTCAACTACAGAAAATAAACAGAAAATAGTTCCATAATACCATCATATTTTTATCGTATTTTTGTGAGATATTCTCAATCTTTACAATTCCATTCACATATTGCTTACGGTTTTCTAGTTTATACAAAATGAATTCATCAAATAAGAAAAAAAATTAGACAAATGCAATATCTGATTCACACTAATTCTTACTGCAAATATACAACGGTCCCATTTCTACGGCCAAACTTGACATTTATGGAAGAGTAAACATCAATTTTGTTGGTAAGGCCAAATAGAGGATACACATTGAAAATGTTAATATAATCAAATAAATATACATACCCAAGAGTAAATTTGTCAGCAGGAACGGTCCCAAGTGATTTGTTGCAAGGGTATATTCCAGGGCCTCTGACGTAATCTGTCTTTTTGTACCTTAAAAACGTATCATATTGTCTGATTTGTATGACTTTGTTACTATGCTGATCATGATCCACTGTTTCATTTCTTTATTTCCATATATAAAATCATTGAGGCAAAATTGAGTACAACAAAGTAATTAATGTTAATTAATGTAATTAATTAAACAAAACAATGAAATGTCACATGACAGCTCACTTGTGAAAAGACAAATTTAAACAAAATCAAAAAGTTGAACAATCAATCAATCATCAGTGCTTTATAGCTTATTCGCAAGGAGGTATTTTAAGAAAGGAAATAGAAAACACATGGACACAAAATATCCACCACTATATCTTTCCAAACTTCAAATACACAAATTGCACAGTCCTTTCTGCATGGTTCATCATATAACATAATTTCATTTTACATCAATGCCCCTGATTGCAAGATTTAATCCCCAAAATATAGCTGGCAGTCAACAGAATGAAACACCATACAACATGAGGTCTGTGTCATTCACGGCTGGACGCTAGCCATGAGTCCAAAGTTGTTCCAGCAAACATAACACATGATATATGTTTACAATAATTACAGGCTTTCAATGAAAATGCTGAAGTATTGATCTGTATTTTACACCAACATACAAATAGATAATATGTATTAATATATTACAGTTGAACATCACTATTTTGAAGTTGGTGGGACCAATGGAAAAATTCAGTTCATCTGGATATTTGATTTACTTGAGATCGAATGTTTGGTGAAAAGTTTACCTGGGACAGATGAAATACTTCAAAATAAATGGAATTTTTGAGTCATACAAATTCAAGATAACGAGGGTCAACTGTATTTGCTTTTCTTATTCTCACCAAAACCACCTCGGTTACATACCTGCCACCGCTGCATTGTTTATAAGAATGTCAAGACGTGGCTCGTCCCTCAGGATGGTTGCTACAAACTCTCTCACACATTCCATATATCCAAGATCTAATTTCCTGACTACAACATTGGTGTTTCCAGTTTTCTCGATGATTTTTGCACATGCCTTTTCACCTCGTTCTATATTTCTACATGCCATGATGACCCGACATTTTCGACGAGCAAAGTCTTCTGCTGTTGCAAAACCTATACCTGCAGTCATATGTGGTTGTAAGTATTTATCTATCAACACCATCTATTTACAACAAAAACAGAAGTCATCTTGTTTAGACTGAGCGTTGCACTTACCAATAAATAAATAAAAATTCAACAAAGCAAAAAAGGATTGTAAATGGAAATAAGCATTAAACTACTTTATGACTTGTTCTTAGAAGTTCCTGCAGCGATCAGCTCAGCTTAAGTGTCACCAATCATTACATAAGCAAAATGAGAAAGAGTTATAAAATTCATCTACATCAAGTTTAACTTAAGCAGATAATCCCACCAATATTTTATCATTGGTAATGTGTTTATGCCCCTGAAACTACTATTTATCAGAGATATTATGGTTCTTCACAGTGCCTGATATTTTGATTGAAATCCCACAAGGAATCAAGCTGTTTAAGTGCAGACAATGATAACTGTTATCAGAGAACAATAACTTGCAAAATCTCAACCATCAAGTTACGAGGTCACCATCAAGTTACGAGGTCACCAGAAACAACCTCCAGGTCCAGTCCAATTATAGGCTACTACCATTATTTAACCACGCCAATAAAATAAAATGAGAGAAAATTGCAGCCTGTACATACAAACTGTAAATGATTAGCTTTCAACTTCAATACACACCTAACCACAGCGATACTTATACATTCACTAAGAAGACATAAAACTTCTGTTTTTATATACATTTTGTATATCAAAAGGTTTTTTTCTTGAAACATATACATACCAGAATTGGCACCAGTGATGATGGCAGTCTTTCCAGTGAGATCAGCTTTGCTGGTACACTTGCCCTTGATAATCTCCAAATAAATCTTCAAAACCAGTCCCAGACTCCCTACCACTGCCAGCAGCCACCACCACATACCTTATATTTGAGGAAATGACATTAATAAAATCATGCAAATTTTAGCTTTAATCCTTTAAGATAGAAAGTGTTGGGGAGGGGGATGAAAAAGTTATGTATGATTGTATGAATAAAAGCAACAACTCGTAGGTTTATATCAACAAACACCAAATAGACATTGTAACTATAAAAATTTGTTGTTTTGTCAACAAGTTGTATAACTGGATAGTCTTGACCTCGCTGAATCAACTAACTATATTATAAGTTTCAAATCCATCACAAGTCATTGAAGAATATTTCTATTGTATGCACATGATGGAAACTACCTCTCCTCTCTCTTGTCTGCCTCTCAGTCTCTCTCTCTTAAACATTCAAGCCTGTGAGATTTCTCTTGGGATGAGAAATGTGTGTTGATGTATGAAAATGAGTGGAGAACAATTCTCAAATCTTAAACTTTATTTGCTTCATTTTTCAAGATATTTAAGGTTATGACAACCTTTTAATTAACATCATGTAGTTTAAGTCCTTCTGTTATGATGATAAATGATGATGTATGGACAATGATTATGTTATGTCTGATGATAATGATGATGAGGAGTCATGATGATGTTAATGATGTTATAGGTAACATAACAACTGTTTGACATAAAATCAGTGAGTGTGAGAGGGTGTGAATGTTATTTTTGTCATTATGTATACCATATGAAATTTTCTGAAAATAAAAAAAAAATATATGTGCCAAAATCAATAACCCTATTGGAGTGTGAAATTATCCTAGTCATTATCTAATTGATAAAATGATGATGTTTTGGTTATATGTGACAGAGTATACATATTAAGGATCTTGATATTACATTCACAAAATTATGATATCATCTTCATTTACCAAATTAATAAAAAAAAAGTACTGATATTTATGCGGGTTGTTTCCCTTGCACTGTATATATAACTGTAAAACAGAACATCACCACGTCCAGCAGAAACACCCGATAAGTACTGATGTCACCCAAGCAACATATAATATTGCAATACAAGTTTGCTCTTACATTCGCCGCACATCTAGTCGATATCATCTTCTGTTGGGACCGACCGCGAGACGTATTGTCCTACACGTGCTTACATGTGGTAATGATTACATATACATATTAATATTTGCATAATGAAACCCAGAAGGCAAATTATGTTTGATCATGTTACCATCACTTCGATGGAATTCTCACACCAAACTTTATTTGAATCCAAAACTTACCGTATGCGCTATTGCCAAGAAATTCAGTCTTCACGACAGAGTTGGAAGTAGGCTTGTCTTATCAAGCTTTATGCAGATAAAAATACATTGTTTACATGTGGGCAAATGATCCGAGATCAGCCAAGTGTTTGGATATTCGATCATCCGGATGTACAAGACGCTTGTCTTGGGCCAAACAAACAACCAAACTAAGTGGAACAAGCGCCATATTTGAATCTTCAGTTTCATTTGCATTTCATCAACAGTGTTCGAAATTCCGACTGTAAATTGAATTATATGCTAATTATTTGTCTTTTCGCAGTGACATCCTCATTTTTATTAGTTTCTCGAATTGTAGCCTAAATTTATGTAGTTAAAATAACAATAACATTCAACAAAACTTTTAATCCAAGATGATCATCTAAGTTCCTGAGAGAGAGAGAGAGAGAGAGAGAGAGAGAGAGAGAGAGGGAGAGGGAGAGAGAGAGAGAGAGAGAGAGGGGGGGGGGGGGGGGGGGGGGAGAGTAAGGGAGAAAGACAGAGAATTATTTATGAAAAAATGGCAGTGATTTTTTTCCAATTTTGTCGTCAGTTTCATTTATAAGTTTTTTTTTCAGTCTGATTTCTGAATTGTTAATATTCTCTCATTTCAATCTTCAACATATCTGTACTTTTCATTTTCTGAGTCGACATTACTAGCCGTAGTACTGTGACTTTTATGTCTATGTATACAGATACTTGTCATAATAAAGTTTTTTCACCTATATCAAGTCATTACGCTACATCCTACACAGGTAGCATATAAATTTATATCCTATATTTTAGTGGGTTAAATTTTCATTTCATTCTATATGATTTTAATTCTGTTTAAGTACGCTGAACACCGACACTATCTGCACCTTATAACCACTTCTTTTCATGTTCTACCTGTAACGACGGCGTTGAGTAGACATTCATCATATAAAACAGTCGAACCTTGTTATCTCGAAAACGGCGGGACCGTAGGAAAATGTTAAGTTATCCGTTTATTCGATTTGTAAGATAGAATGTTTCGTGTAAATTTGGCCGGGACCGACGACATACTTTGAATCTTATAAGGTCTATGGATTATGAGTTTGAGATAACGAGGTTTGACTGTAACTTCTCATCAGGAAAACAATTTACGAATCTCGATTTGTTCTTGGTTGAAATATTTGTTTGGAGCAGCAAAAGATCAAAATGACAATAATAAAATAGACCTTCGAATATGGAAAACAAAATGGAAATAACCATAGTATTTACATTGTATTGAAATGTATTTTGTTTTTATCTATCTTGCTTCACAAGCACATTTCTAAAAGAAGTTAAGTATTGACGAAACGGAACAAATCTTCATTATGTATACCAGTAATATGATTTTGAGATCAAATTGGCATTAAAAAGACCTTTTTCCAAACAAGTAGCAAACCTTACAGCATCTTGTGTTGGAAAGAAACTTGAGTTTGTTCAGATTGGTTACAGCACTGATACAAATATACCACGATATGTAAAAAGTGAGTGATATCAACTGACATATCCCTTTATTTCTCATCACACTGACATTTAAATTATAGTAAAATTGGGCGCAAAAGTTGATGGTCTTCTGGAGCTGCCGCTAGCTGGCGCTGGAGTTGAAGGAGCGGTAGACGGCGCTGGAGTTGAAGGAGTGGTAGTCGGCGCTTGAGTTGAAGGAGCGGTAGACGGCGCTGGAGTTGAAGGAGCGGTAGACGGCGCTGGAGTTGAAGGAGTGGTAGTCGGCGCTGGAGTTGAAGGAGTGGTAGTCGGCGCAGGAGTTGAAGGAGTGGTAGTCGGCGCTGGAGTTGTAGGAGTGGTAGTCGGCGCAGGAGTTGAAGGAGTGGTAGTCGGCGCTGGAGTTGACGGAGTGGTAGTTGGCGCAGGAGTTGAAGGAGTGGTAGTCGGCGCAGGAGTTGACGGAGTGGTAGTCGGCGCTGGAGTTGAAGGAGTGGTAGTTGGCGCTGGAGTTGAAGGAGTGGTAGTCGGCGCAGGAGTCGGCTTCGTCGTTAGAGCTGCTGTTCCATTACCAAATTGTGTCGGCATTACTACAATTAGATAGGTGTGAAAGGTGACAATCGGGAAATCGACGTAGTTCATGTTAGGTTGCATATCATCAAACAAAATGACATTTTCAAGAATGTTCACGTGATAATGTGACCATGGGTTAAAGTTATATTAGTGCAATTTCCTAGAACAAATGCATACGAGATTGATGAAATTCGTCACGAAGCCATAATACTCTGTACCTTATATAAATCATAAATGCAAACTTTTCTTTTGCTTGATAGACAATTAATAGAATTGTTTCATGTTTTAATCCTAACGCCATTCACTCGTTTTAATTGAGAAATTAAAACGCAGGTGTAGAAAATAGTCAAAAACATCTTTTGGATGGTAAAATGAGAAATAAAAGTAATTATATAAAAAGTGCTGAATTATTATATATCATATATCTTGATTGAATGAAGCAGGAGTTATTTCTTTTGTTCTTACATTTTCTGAGCTCAAAACAATCTTTCTTGTTGCATTCGGATTCCTTGCAGCAAGCGTCACAGATCTTAACCCCGGAAGCATCCGAAAATCGAGCCTGGATACCATTCTTTATCATTCCTTCGCAGAGCTGTGTCGATTAAAAGGAATTGATCACTTTCTCTAATTTAATCAAATAAGATTTTTATGCATCCTCGATACTCCAAGAGTTACGACCGAGAATAAAGAATAACAAGATTTATTTCATGGATTCAAAACAGCAAGTTTTCAAACTTTTGACTAAGCATGTAAAAATACCACAATGACTTTCTTTCTTAATTTCAACTTGCTAACGCGTGAAACTTAAATATATATCCCCCCAAACCAATCGCCAATTTTTTATTGACATCATTACGAATGCAGATTTTATTTCGCCTACGACGAAAATGCACATAGTCGAACAATTTTAACCAAACTTGGCATATAGCAAGAGAACATATTGGACACTTCAACACTTCCATTATTTACAAAAGATCGTGCAGATGTTGAGGTACAGTAACTCTGAAAATTAGGGGTATCAAGAAAAATATTCACGTTTAGTTCAGTTTCTCATTATATACAAGTGCTTTATAAATTGAACATGGGACATGCTTACATTTTTGTATAGCTGCCTGGTCCCGTTTGCTCAAAATAAGCGTTAACCAATAGTTAAGGAACACTTAACTGTTGCTGCTGAACGAACAAGAACGCCGTGAAAGCAAAGGTAATATTACATCTGACGTGTCTAAACAAATCTGCACCTTTACCGGTACTAATTATTTATATTTTCATATATTAATTTATTTATTTATTTATTTATTATGGGAGGTAAGAGAATGGAGAGACATGCGTTTTAGAAGTAGGACAGTTGAGACACAGGTATACGTGATAATGATCAATCCTTATTTGGTGTGATCGTGTGTTAGATACGTACTGTACTGCAACGTATCGGACACAAGAATTTAATTTTGATAATCTAATTCAAAATGTTTCACTTAGGAGTGACATTGTCTTTTATATAATGTCAGCTTACATGCTTCTCCTCGCACCGGAAGTTGTACTTAATTTGACTTCCTCCCAGAATGTGTACGGACGTAGCACACACCTGTAACGAAACAAGAAATGAAATTGTTTCCTGATATCTTCGGTCATCCTCTGCACCCCTGGAATATGTCACGGCAAAATTGATGTCCGATGTGCGACACCATCTGACCTTTGATGTACATCAAACGATTTTCTAGGTCGCATAACGATATATTGTAATGGCTTTGAAGTTGTGTGTCGCACATTTGTAATCTTCAAAAGGAGCGTATTAGGCTGTGTCAAGTTTCTTTTTCTCTGGGAACCAATAAAATTACTTTGATTTTGCAGGGGTGCAGAGAGCGAAACTAACCGTAATCCAACCCCCGGAGTAACCACGATGATCTTAGGGTTTAGTATAAGGATTCTGGTTTTGATTTGCTTTTCTAGTGAGGACAGACTATTTGGACGTTATACGGGGAACTAAATGCACATGTGTTGTTAGTGACCTAAGACGTGCCAATAAGTAGCCCTGAGTAGACAAAAAGTGTTTTGCAATCTCTTAACCAAAACCGGAAATGACACCGGCTTGAAACAATATATTGCAATTAAAATATATAGAGATATAATATAGAAAAAGTATAGCGGAGGCAATTTTTCCTTTTGTGATAGAATTATTTAAAATACCTTCATACTCATTTCTTGCTCTAAGTACTAAGAGTATTTTCAAAGGCAAAAAGTGAATACAAAATAAGCGCGACCAGTAAGAAGTGAATAAACCGGAAGACATGAAAACAGAAAGTTAAGCAGTGGAATCCATATAACAGTTACTAGTCTAATATGTTGACTGTAGATACAACGATGAACATATCTAGACAGTTACTGGTCTAATATGTTGACTGTAGATACAACGATGAACATATCTAGACAGTTACTGGTCTAATATGTTGACTGTAGATACAACGATGAACATATCTAGACAGTTACTAGTCTAAGATATTAGCTGTAGATATACCGATGAACATATCTAGACAGTTACTAGTCTAATATGTTAACTGTAGATATACCGATGAACATATCTAGACAGTTACTAGTCTAATGTGTTGACTGTAGATACAACGATGAACATACCTAGACAGTTACTGGTCTAATATGTTGACTGTAGATACAACGATGAACATACCTAGACAGTTACTGGTCTAATATGTTGACTGTAGATACAACGATGAACATACCTAGACAGTTACTGGTCTAATATGTTGACTGTAGATATACCGATGAACATATCTAGACAGTTACTAGTCTAAGATATTAGCTGTAGATATACCGATGAACATATCTAGACAGTTACTAGTCTAATATGTTAACTGTAGATACAACGATGAACATACCTAGACAGTTACTGGTCTAATATGTTGACTGTAGATACAACGATGAACATACCTAGACAGTTACTGGTCTAATATGTTGACTGTAGATACAACGATGAACATATCTAGACAGTTACTGGTCTAATATGTTGACTGTAGATACAACGATGAACATACCTAGACAGTAACTGGTCTAATATGTTAACTGTAGCTACAACGATGAACATACCTAGACAGTTACTAGTCTAATATGTTGACTGTAGATACAACGATGAACATACCTAGACAGTTACTGGTCTAATATGTTAACTGTAGATACAACGATGAACATATCTAGACAGTTACTAGTCTAATATGTTGACTGTAGATACAACGATGAACATACCTAGACAGTTACTAGTCTAATATGTTGACTGTAGATACAACGATGAACATACCTAGACAGTTACTGGTCTAATATGTTGACTGTAGATACAACGATGAACATACCTAGACAGTTACTGGTCTAATATGTTAACTGTAGATACAACGATGAACATATCTAGACAGTTACTAGTCTAATATGTTAACTGTAGATACAACTATGAACATATCTAGACAGTATCTAGATATTTACTTGTAGAAGTTATTACCTGTGTATCAGTGCACACGTCTCTTTCGTTACAAGCAGCTGCCCCGGATACAAGGTGGTCACAATCCAGACAACGGATACTGTTATCCACTGCAGGCTCTGAATAATTAAAAAAATAATAAATTACCTTATATACACAACGTTTGCTTTTTATTTTCTAGAAAGCAAACAATAACAAACAAACAAATTAAATCAATCCCTTGCCGGTCTACCGATCGAACTAAAGAAAATTTCTTCTTAGAATACTAAAACATGCCATACTCGTTAATCTTGATTCTTCACATTTTACGACTTTAAGATTGACATCTTACCACAAAACCATGTGATTAGCAAGACTATTTCAATCATGAAATTCCCATTTCTAGATAACAATATCCTGGCTAGTACAGCTGTCGATGCTACGAAATTTAGTTCTGAATTTTTGCTGCCGATTTTCCAATACATAGAATCGTGAGATGCATGTTTGATTTATTATTATCTTTTTCGTTTTGTTTTATTTTGTTTTAATGTAAAACATATATCTATTCAGATTTAGCCACGAATGAATGGCATTATTGGGGTAAAATATAAAATGTCTTTTGAAACAAATGGTCGTATCGTCCTTGTAATATGTGGAAGGCTTTTTCAGTTAGGTCGATATGTTTCATTTTGGCTTTCTCTCTATTGATGTTATTTATTTTTGTTCTTATAACAGAAAAGTTTTTAAATACCCGAGTTTTACCTTAGTAAACAAGTTCATTTTAATATCATAATTGTTAATTTATGTACTCATTTAAATGTTAATCTATCTACGATGACAATGTGGCTTACTTGTTCCACAGAGCTCGGAGTTGCACGGCCCTTTCGCGACCACGCCCGGAGCAGTATTACAACATTGAGCACAGTTCACGAGTTCACGTGACGCTCTGGACAAATCTCTTCGTCCTGTACCACTACCTAAGGTTGACATGATATTACATACCTGTAATACATAAACATTATCGTTACATCTACGATTAAAACACCAATATTAATTTTACAGGTGTGAATAAAAACAAGAAAATATCAATATGTCAACATAATTATCATCCGAACCCATCAAATTCAATCAAACTAGGGGAAAATATAACCAAAAGAGAGATCTGCTGGGAGACTCCTGAAAAATGCACAAGAGAATAAGACCAGGTGTTCCGGAAGAGTACGATAACCGCCATGTAAGCCTCGGTCAATTCAAGTCAGTAATGTCACGTTCTCAAATGTAAACACGTTATTCAACAATGGAACCAACAGGTAAGCTAACAATCATCACACATGTCCAACCTTTATATCACACTAAAATAATAAAATATTCTTTGTCTATACGTCTTTCTGTCAGATAACTATACTGAAATATATCAGACACATCAAACATCTATATTATTTACACTTGCACAATCAATATCAGCTTAAATACAACTGTATATTCAAAGAGTCTCCGTCTTTACCTCTTACCTTGCCTTCGTCACATCGAATTTGATTTGATAAGGCCTTTTTTCATGTTGCCATGTTTCTAGCTGTTTATATACAAATGTAAACATATCGTTCATATTTCATTAATGTGAAAGGAAAATCCATCCAAAGTATCCAAATACTCGCAATATCTGCGTGATATACGAAAGATTTTCGGTGTAGTTTCACGCATGAAATTTGGATATGTCATAATCTGATCTATTTAATGGCGATTTTTTTCACTCTATCGAACTGATATATAAATGGCAGTGTAACAATCTTTAACTTACGAATGACGACCTGCACCCAGCATTGTACACAAAATTCAGATTCTTTGTGGTGACCTTTTCCAGAAAGCATTGCTGAAAAAAGATATATGCATTAGAACAGTTTGCTGAAATCTGCGGACATTAATTTTCCAACGTTTGACGAAGAACATTAAATAATCATATATTGTCTTCGTCACAACGAACATGTCATGACGTTTTATTCAACGGTATTCTTGGCTGATAAAATCTCATTTTTGCTGAAAGTATAATTGTCGCATTTGTCATCCTCCATACAGAATAATTCGTCTCTTACATGATTCCCAATTACTCCAATGTAGCTAAATGGACGTCCATTGTTGAATTAATTATCTTCTTTGTTAACTTACTTGCAGGCTCCTGTAGTTAAACGATTTATGCCAATTTCAATAATTGCCAAATTTTATTCTCAGTATACTCCTTTGATCAATTTTGTTCATTAACCGTCGGTATTTTCTGAGGTAAATTTATTATCACCCCTGTTTGTTAAGTTTTTGTTTCCAGATATTCATTTACTTTTTAAAACCTTTTCTACAATATCTTATTGACATTTAGTTCAGAATGTACAGGTGTTCTTGAATTACGAAATGTATTGAATTATGGGACTAGTGCACTTCCTCACTTTAATTTTGACATTTCTGTCGATCAAATTTAATTTTCCTCAGTCGCCTCATAAGTTTCAAAATTTAAGCCCTTTTGACGAGACCAAAGTGGGCGTTTCTGAAAAGGTAAGAATAAGCTAAAGGATATCTAGATATTTGAAAAAAGGTTGATCCAAAAACATTTAAATGATCTATTTCTGAATGATTGACTTACCTCTTGAGGGCCACATCTAATTGTTCCTGCGGCGAGACAGGCGTCGATGTCTATAGCTTCATCACACTGCATGCAAACAACGTCACCTCGAACAACTGTGACAGTGTAAAAAGGATTATAAAAAACATACGTAGAATTAATGAAACTGCATCATGTTAGTGATGCTAGGAGCCTTAATTGCTGAAACCTTGGAAACAGCCGATGAAAATCAGTATTGGTTAAATACAGCCCAAATGGTGCTTTAACTCCATGGTTTAATCATTTCGATAGTTTTCAATACTGCATTATTTCAAATGAAAGTAATGTACATCATATCCACACACTTGTGCATTTTGAACCGTGCAAATATTCGAATTAATTAAAACGTAGCATAAAAGGTTACTGGATATAAATTGTATTAATACATAAAATATACTATTTTCATATTTTGTCATTGGATTGTTGATTCAAGATTTAAAAGGGTCAGATAATTTTGCTTTCTTATATCTTTGTCACGAAAACCCAAGGCTTGAAACCCTTGCAGTAGCTTGACTAGTTAATCAAATAACTCCGTTTGTGATGGTGCTGATATTGTGTGTGGTGTATTCTGAATTGTATTGATCTTCCAGAAGACTTTGTCAGATGATAGACTTGAAACAACTAATAATTGAATATTCTGCAGCTTGACAAACAAACAGGTCGAAGATGATATTCGTATTTCCTGTTAAAGCAACCATTTACAATAAGCAAAAAATTACACAATTTTTCATATATCAGAACCATCCAAATTTCTTAGAAGGAAAATATATAGCTTTCGCTGTACTTACCATTTACCAACAACACAAGTAACCAGACTAGAAAAGGAAAAACAGAATTCTGATTGTGACAATCGATAAGAACATATGCACATGTATATCAGTTGAACATTAAACATGTCTGATGTCATTTCCACTAAGATATGAAGTTACTCTATCGCTTATTATTAAGAAATGTATTTACTTATCATCGTTTATTAAAACAGTGTTAAGTTTTTTTCTTTTTAATATTTCTGTTCGTTTTATTGGAAGTTGTTCCAGTATCACATGTCCATGAGTATTCTTTTGTTTAAGACAGGTAACTTACGCAAAAAAACACGTACCTAAATATATACATTGATAGGTATGCTTGTTATTAAGCTGTTTATTAATTCGTCTCTCTATACTAAACTATCACATACAAACAAACGAAAGGAAATCAGACTAAAATACTGTTGCAATAACAAGCTGAAATGCAAACCAATAAGCCAAAATACATACCAGCTGCTTGACCTCCTTCCATTATGTTCTTACTGTAATGAACAGAAGAGTTGAATTAAGATTTATCACATGATCCCCCCCTACCGATGATATTTGATGCCAGCCATTTTCAATTTAGTTTTATCAAATCGTAAAAAGATATTCGAGTGTGACATTTTTGCCTTCCTCGAACCACATTTATTTTTTAGGGAAGCTATATTAGCATGTGTATTTGTGTATTGGCACCCAATAGATATTTCAACTTCACTTTACAGTTAAAAGTACATTTTTCAAACATGATTCAGTATGAATTATGTTTTTTCTGGTTTCGTGGTTAATTACAGGTATACAAAGGAGCTAGATCCACTGAATTCTGCAAATATATTTACTACAGCTAATTAATTTTTGCGGAGAAAGAGTAACTATTTTAATGTGTATCCTTACAATAATTTAAAGCTTATCTAGTCTTTAAAGTACGCTTCAAGTTTGTATGTTCACCAATTTTTCATTGCAGGAATATAGCAACAACAACGTTCATGTGGTAGGTTATTAGCGCATCTTGATTAGAGCACTTCATCTGATGAAATATTACTAGATCTTTGCTTTATTCCTATCACAATTACACTCATATGAGAGTCCAAAGTGCAAATACCAATTTGCAAAGTTACGTGAACAGAAAATCTACTTTGTTCAAATGAAAGATTCCAGCACTAATTATACACCGACATTAAAGGAAACTCATAGAAAAAAAATAATAACGTATATACATTTAGTATGCTAACATAAAATCATATACCTGATACTTTAAGTTTAGAACATATATTAAACAAAATGTATCCTGTGATATTACCTTCGTAAAATGGCTGAGTTCTTTTGTTAGCCTGATCCAAATTTTTGTATAGGCTTGACCAAGTCAATCTGTGATGTGCGACTTGATGATAAGAGGGTTGCCTGTGAGACAAAGGTGTCACGTGCATTATGGCTTGTATGAATTTTGCCATATGTTGACAAAGATTGGGTCAGGTCACGTACACATAACTCATTACTCGGGTCTATGTCAAATCAGAGTAGTAGTGCAAAGATTTTTGCGTAATGATGAGTTCTAATTCTCTGGATGGTATATCCTTGTACATTTATGAATATTGCATTTGAAAGTTTTAAAGAAAACCTAAAGATTGTAAGAAAATACAAGATTTTTTTTTATCTAAAGCTGTCATTAAATATGGTTTCCTCTGTTAGAGTGTTCAATCAAAAGTCAAATTTTCTTTTCCTCTTTATTATTCAAAATTAAGGCATAGATATTCAAATGTTAATTTGAATGCAATTTGCATTTTTGAAAATAATTGTTCACCTGTATATTTGTTTGCTTTGTGTTAGAAATATTAAGTACGTTTCATCAATCATAACCCAACTCGTATAATCATGCAGCGCATAAGTCAATTAAAATCAATATGATCATATGTACTATACCTGTTCGTATTCCTGTCTCTGGACGGACTTTCTTACCGATGTAACTGCTGAAAATATATATAGTAGCAACAGGTGAACAAGTACTATATTCTATATATATCTGGATACAAAAACGGTCTCCAGATGAAACAAACAACTGCCACCCTTATTCTTCTATGCAAGGTCATTAAGAGCATATTATTTATGTATATGGACATGACGTTAGGATAAGATTACAACCATGTGATGACGTGCACTATTTAGATAAATACGTGATCTTACATAGGTAGTTGTATTTCGTCCAAATCATATCAGTTCTTATACGTCATGCTATGATGATCTCAATACATGTAGCTGTCCCTAACAAAAATGTATATTATTTATAAAAACAAACAAAGAAGATATCGACAAATCAAACGAGCGCTATATTTGAGTAAAGACACATTTAGACGGAGACACATTAAAATATACAAGATATTTCATTAGGATTTAGCGTTTTTTGTTTCATAAACATCCACCATACTATTTCATAAAATAAAGTGAGTAATGTTAAGGGAATATCGAACACATTTGACTCTTTATCGTACAAGAAACAAACAATAAACAACAATACCAAGATGTCAATATAATCATAATCAAACTGAAATTCACTATAACTAGGACAAAATATGAGCAAAAGGAAAATTTACATGGAGACCCCTGATAATACAAGGAGATTAAGATCAGGTCACGTTTTCAAACAAGAAAAGGGTATACAATAAAGGCAAACTAACAAGCAGCAAACACATCCAACTTAATATCGCACAAAGAAATAGAATATTTCTCAATGAGATCACTATGGCGACCGTAAAACATCCCCGTGATTTTCGTCAACCTGCATTTTTTTGAAACCCTGCGTTACGAAAATAAATTTCAAAGCAAATCTATTTTTATATTCATATAGAAAACTTATTCATTGCACTAAGAGATAAAATTTGCTGTGAAACATTCAGAGACAGAGTAGGAGAGAGAGAGAGAGAGAGAGAGAGAGAGAGAGAGAGAGAGAGAGAGAGAGAGAGAGAGAGAGAGAGAGAGAGAGAGAGAGAGAGAGAATATGGCGACAACCTGTTCTGTCTTTGTTGATGACACGAATCCCCTTGAAATATCTAAGCTCCACATTTAAGACGTTCAGTTGGGAATTAGGTTTATTCTCAGATATGGTAATTTGTGTTGCATTGTTTGCTGACTTTCATGGAAATGTAAGTGTACCATGGAATTTGTTTTCTGGTTTTATGAGTTTTGTATGTTTTGTGTTATCTTTGTCCATTTGCGTAAGTCTGCAAAAACACTAGTGAAAAATAACACTAATATATAATAATAATAATAATATTTCTTTATATTTCACTGGCAACAATGTAATAAAAAGCAAAAAAAAAAAAACATTGCTCTTTTTAAGAAAGGTAACATAATAAACAAATAATTTTCTAGAATGTCATTGAGAATGATCATGCGTAGAACGCAAAAACTATACACAGTAAGTACTACTGGAACATTTTCTAGGAGGTCGTTAACTACATTAATGTTGAGCATTCTATTGTCATGAGACATATCTTATAGATTCAAACTTCTGTAAATTGGCTTTACTATCACTTCACGAAGAATTATTATCACCAGACGATAGATGTTTATCAGGAATTGTTGTTCATTATTGCTTGTTCCTTTCTTATAATAGGGTTAGCAATTCAATTGGCAGCCGTTCTTCTGTTCACATGACAGGGATTCTCAGGCAGAAGACGATTGCCATTCCGGAACATCAGGTCCCATTCTCCTTATACGTGTACAGAAGTCTCTGTGTCTATGTGTCTTTTATTCATATTTTGCCTTTAGATTTTTTATGGAATTATAGTATGATTAAGATCCTTTTCACATGTGGTATTTTCTTCTTGTTGTTTAAACAAACAGTATACTTTTAATGTTGAGACATATCTGATCAGCCATCACTTTGACCAGTCAAAGCTACTGTTGTAAATGACATATTGATGTTTAGAGAAACTAAGAGGAAGTCTTGCTGGAAAAGATGTTTTTCATTATTGGTTATAAAGATGGACGTGCTTGAAACTCGTTACATTGCATAGCTAGTCCGTTGTTTATCTTCGAGAAAAAATTTACACGTCCGGTTATGACTCTTATCCAATGCACATAGAAATAGTTTGTAAACTGTAAATATGTTACGATTTGTTTCTATATATTAGTAACGGCAATGTGTAACATTATCCATGATCTGCAGAAATAAATTCTTATATTGTTGTTAATTAAAATTGTTTAGAAAAGGTTTTGTATTGGAATAGAGCTTTAAAGAATTATATAATTCACGGAACTGAGGCGAGTAGTTATATCTTATAAAAAAAATATCTTAAGAGATGCAAGAAGGAAAACTGAAAAAATGCAGAATGCAGAATATCGAATTATGGAAGGCAAGTACAAGGAAGGATATAGTGTGAAGTTGCAAGAATTATGATTTACCGTATCGCTTAAGCCTTATGATATATATATATATATATATATGAAACGTTTATGGCAGTAAGGACTTTGAATTTCCGACCCATGTAGGTACACTTTCAAGCGTTCATATGTAAAAAAAAAATCAAAACATGCTAAAAGCCTGATGTTTTTCAAATAACCTTTACAGTAATATACTTTTATGGATTTAGATAAACTTGCTGAGAAAATAAAATATGATAAGATAATTAATAAGAGCACTCAACTGTTTTCTATTCTTCTGAATTCCAGTTTAAGACAAAATTGTTGGCATCTTCAGTAAACGAGAAAGTGTACCAAAGGTTCCCATGGGGTTCTTTCGACAAACTTTTTGCAAATTTATCGATTTTCAAAATTGAAAGAAATACGATATCACAAACATTTCCATTGCAGTTGCCAGTATTTTCACCATATCACCTAGATTTAAAAATCTGAAAATAACAACTCTTTTTTCATAACATAATGGCCTACAACATTTGATTGTGTAATTTACTGGTCACATTGCGATCTATGATATACTTTGATTGCTCTGTTAGTAGTTATTATATAGGTAAGTTTTAGACGTTCTCAAAAAGTCAACATAAACTGCGTATGTCATCTTGTGGTAACAATAAAAAAAAATATGCATAAAGATGCTGTCAGATGTTTGCTTGTATTCGTTCAGCATCCATTTCATCGGATACCAAATCAAATCCTAATCCAATTAAGAGTGTAGGAGACGTAAATTCTTAAATTACCCAATTTGACCAGCCCTGTACTTATGTCGAGTTTAGTATAAATAATAAGCATATTATCAACAAAACGTTTTGTTTTCGACTAAAATGTACAGAACATTGAATGATTCTTTGTAAGTCTTTTTTCCGGTAAAACCATCGTTTCAAGTTTTATCATTATTGATTTCCAATGTTTCAGAACACTAAAACTGGATTAATAGTAACAATGACAACTATGTGTAAAGATAAACAGGATAACAGAGGAGACAAAATGTCGAATAACTCCTTTCAATAGAATTTTTGAAAAAGGTTCAATAGATCCGAATATAGCTGCATCGCCCTGTAGGATTCGTCAGTGGTGATAAGAGCCTACTGCTTTCTTTATGAATATGTGAAGATCTACATTAGTATACACGGATACATAAAAAACAGACGGGGATGTGCATTAACACCTAATTTCAATAAATTTCACAATTTTCAATATGGAATATTTTCATATATCTTAAAAAGACTGTCTTTGGGGATACAACATCGCACGTCATGTCTTCAAACCGATGATATTTTGTGACGGTGACATTATTTATTAAAAGTATTTTAGTTACATTGTTACATTTGGGCATCAAATACTGCACAGTATTTATTGCATACATATCAAAATATTGAACAAGAAGTTAAATGTTTAAGTATCGTTCGAAATTAATGTAATCAAAATACAGAGACTGTAAGCTTAATTTGTCATCGAAGAATTTTTGGTAAAACTACAATATGACGTGATTTCAATTTCGCTATTGTAATTTTTTTGTAAATTTATTGTAAATTTTCAATTTTTAAGAAAGCAACATTCATGCAACCCCAACCTATACGTGTACAAATCACAGTTGATTCGACATTCAAGGGCTTATTATCAATATCATGATTTTCAGGCAAGATGTCGTGAGATGCAGGTTGTGGTAGCTATTTGATCAAAGTGATCTCATTGGTAAATATTTCATTTCTTTATGCATTGCGAGGTTATATATATATTACTTTATGCAAAAAGATAGTGAATACATAAAGCAAAAAAGATGGGAATTGTTTCGCAAAAAATGCAAAAACCTTAATATAACCGTAAATGTACAAGCAAAAAGATGGTAATTGTTGTTTTACAAAAATGCCAATATCAACTTAACGTAAACATACAATGTACAAAAATTGACATCAATGCACATCAATGGAGGAATCAGTAAGATAGGGGAGGAGGTGGGTAAAAAATATCTGGTCGACCAAAATTTGTCTGTGCACAATTTTTTTTCACCAGTCACGTGATCACATAAACCAAAACATCACGTGACTTCCCTTCGTTGTGGCGATAGTAGTAAACAAAGGGAGGGTAAGCGTGATCCGGACAAGAATGTATAATATTCTGACAGAAATTGATAACATGCTAATACATTCAGATAAATATATAATAACTAATCAGATGATAAATTGATGCTCCTGTTTGTTCTTTTGTTGTAAACCCGGCCCTTACTTCGGGAACGTGACATTACTTACTTGGGTTGGCCATGGTTTACATGGCGGGTCTTGTCGGAGAAGCAGAAAACGCTTACTCTTCCGGAACTTTGGGAGTAATTGTCCTTGTATTTATTCAGGAGTCTCTGTGTTAATCTTTCGTTTGTTTATAGTTTGCCCTAGTTTTATATGATTTGAGTTTGGATGATAATTATGTTGACATATTGGTATATCCTTTTTTTGATACACACATGTAAAATTAATACTGGTGTTTTAATCGTAAGTGTAATGATAATGTTTGTGTATAACAGGTATGTAATATCATGTCAACCTTAGGTGGTGGTACAGGACGAAGAGATTTGTCCAGAGCGTCATGTGAACTCGTGAACTTTGTTCACTGTTGTAATACTGCTCCGGGCGTGGTCGCGAAAGGGCAGTTCATCTCCGAGCTCAGTGGAACAAGTAAGCCATATTATTTTGTGTGTTGGAAATATTAGAAATTTCATTGTCCTGATAGATTAACATTAAAATGATTTTATAAACTGACATTAAGATATTAAAATGAACTTGTTTACTAAGGTAAAATTTGGGAATATAAAAACTTTTATGTTATAAGAACAAAAATGAATAACATCAAAAATGAAACATATCGATCAAACTGAATAAACATTCCACATATTACAAGGACGATACGACCATTTGTTTCAAAAGACATGTTGTATTTTGCACCAACAATGCAACTCATTCGTGGATAAATCTGAATAAATGTATTTTTTACATTAAAGAAATCAACACAAAACGAAAACAAAAACATAAAAACCCACACACACAAACAAACAAATCTGTCAAAGAAGTAACAACAAGATCAGCATATTGACGAGATTCGTAATAAAAACAAGCATGCATCTGTCGACTCTATTTTTTAGGAAATCGGCAGCAAAAATATAGAACTAAATAACGTAGCATCGGCAGCTGTACAGTTGATATTTTGACCTAGTTTTATTATTCAATTTTACTTTTGATCGTGACTCTTTTGACAGCTTGGTTTATTCTTGGTTGTTTATGCATCCAACAGATACAAATAATGTAGATATGGTGAAGGTGAAAATATTTTTTATTGTAAACACAGTTGAGAATGGAAGAAAACAACAGTTGAGATATTCAACCACTAGCTGGCGTCGTGGGTGGCAGGAGACTATCAGCTGTCATTTCTGGAAAATAAGAAACAAAATCAACATATCACCTAATAAAGAGACCCAAAGGGTCAGTATCGCTAGCCTGGTTTAGTTTTCTGAAATTGATTAAGTTTACCTGAAGGAAACATATTTAAATAACTCCCCGCGATAGGCTCTACCCTCCTCTAAAAAGGGGAAAATTTTTACTGTTCTTTTCTCAAACGGAAGAAGTATTTTTCCTATTTCCCCTTTCGGAACACACCCCTCCCATCCTAGCGGGCTGATATCCACCGGTTCTGTAAAACTGATTTCCCTTTGTTCAAGCATACTTCAGTCCAAATTTGGACAATGATAGGATTTTTCCCATAGGGTCCCGTCCCTCTGGCCCAAGTCAAGGGGGAATGGTTGGGACATCAGACCTATCGTTGACAAAAATCTGATTTCCCTTTATTTATGCATTACTTCAGACTTCATTTTAGGACAGTATCCAGCAATGCCTGAAGAACGAGATAGATTCTACAAACATTAGTATAATTTTCCGCCACACCCTGTCCCTCCCGCCCCAAGGGGCTTTAACCCACCGTTTATTCAATGCTGATTTCCATTCACAGAAGACTAGTAGCGATTTGTATGAAAGGTTGACAGATGACGAATGGCGTACGGATAACACCTTTGGATCAGGTTAACTAATAATATATTAGTTATTGATTTTTTATATTAAAGTGGCACCATGGTTTGAAATGTGACTATGCAAGTTATGTATTTATTTATTTAATTGATAAAGAAATCAACAAGCAGAAATCACTTACTGCTATGAGTAACGTAACAGTCTTCTCGGTTGCAGTCTTTACCCCGGCAGCAGGCCGAGCATATTGTAATGCCTTCTGACTCAGTATTTCTCCTTCCAGCTGGCGCCACAGTCGTGCCGTCGTTATCCAGGAAAGCTTGACATAACTTCAAAAACGAAACGGTAAGAATAATGTAAGCAACTTTATTTAGGAGGTGTATTAGAAACAAAGTATTATTTGTCCTGTTAATGACCTTGTCACCGAGCCTACATCAGCTGACATCAATTTTCTACTTAGCTGTCTCTCATTTTCTTTTGTTTTGACATAAATCAACGGACGACCACCAATGTATCATGTATCCATTTTTACTGAATCTTCAATAGGTACAGTACCGTTGAGATGATTTAGTTTTGCATGTTGTATCGTTGTTTAATGAATACCGAATAAAAGAAACTGAAAGGTCCTGATCTGCTTTGATATTTCTAACCAAGTGACCCATTGCTTAACAACAAACGATTAGGATATTAAGTACTCAATTTCACTTTCCTGAGATATACATTGTAAGTATGATTTTTTAATTAAGATATCATATAATGAAACTTCTTTTTATTAAATGTATGTAAACAACGTACATGTAGTGATTCACATCCAAACTCATATCTAATCAAACCGCCTACAACGTGGATTGCTGACTTGCAGATCTGAAACGAAAATAAATAGAAGATTGAAGAATATCTTTTTATATCCAGATCGCGAAATTTGAATTCTTTAAGATATGTTTCGTTTAAAAAGGAAATCGCGCAAGTTTAAAATGTGGAAAATACTACCTACTAATTCGGTACTGAACTTGAATATTAACACCGCTAAACTAAACAGGTTTTATTTACCTCAGTGTCTTGGCATACTTGTCTCTCAGTGCAAGAACTAAATCCTGGCACCAGATGATTGCATACCACACAGGTGCTGACTTGAGTTATATTTGCTCCTGAGGAGGAAAGTAATTGTGGTTTCGAAATATTAGGATGCTTCTTAAAGCAGAGGATAAACATTGATAATTAATCATATAATGTAAGTATTATGTTGTGATTTATCAAATCAAAATATTCGTTGTAGATAGGTATATATTAACTCAACCATGTGTATGTATGTCGGATATGGATAAAACTAAACGAGGATATAGAATTGGAAAGAACCACCGAGGCTTAGCCAAGAATATTTTGTCTTTACCAATCTTCATGTGATTGACTGTTTTCTCCCGTCTTTTACATGTAAATTTGGTAAACACGATATTACCCAAGCAACTGAAGTGCGGAATATAGCCAATATTCTTTGTAATAAGCATCCAGACTCTATTTCTAAGAGTTTAAAAGAATATTTTCTCTTCATACGGATTATGGGTTATGATTTCTTTATCTTAATACATCCCCGTTGTATTTGGTCCTTTTCAGGTGATAAACATAACACATTATGTTAAAGCTTCTAGTAATTCAACTTATTCAGATTATATCCAAAGCAAGAACTAACAGGAAAACAAAACAGAAACATATGCAATCAAAAAGAAAAGGAAACACATTCTGACACATTAAAACGCAAGTGAACAGCTTGTTAGAAATAATATAGTCGAGCGCTTGAATTTAACTATTTCTCCCAGCGTGGGAATAACTGTGTCTATGTAACATACATATGAAATATTAAATTTTTCCCACAATTTCTTATCGAGTGAACTGTATTCGTTGCGACATTATCAGTGCTCCGTGAACTTTCTGTCGAAATCAGTGACGTCATGTGATTATGACATCATATTTACTGATGAATCGATCCTACTGTAAGTGGTGATTCAAAACACTTTTTAAAGACAAAAACTGGTTTTCCAAATTAAAATGCGGAATGAACCTGTGATTTCACTCATTACAGAAAGGGCGCTTAAACTCTAGGTATTATAGATAACATTTAAAATAAACACATACCAGCTCCACACAATCGCGCGTTACAGGGATCGGCGCCATTGGTAGTGTCGCAACACTTTGCACAGTTGACTAAATCTCTCTTTTTTCTTCCAGCACCAGACGATAGAGAGTCCATGATATTACAAACCTGGGTTACAGCAAGGACGCAGCGGGTTTTATTTGTCATCATTTATTTATTTATGTAATGCATTCAGTTCATTTTTACTCAAATTTCACAAAATAATAAAAAAAAAAAACATTAAATGTTTCTTGTTCAATTTGACCATAAAAAGAGTAAATATCAGATCAATATATATATCTAATTAAGTATCATTTCATACTGACGACACTGAGGCAACCAATAGTATCTTGCCACTATATAAAGTTGAAATTTGTTGCAAAACGTTTAAAATTAAAAAGCGACATGTTTTCTAATCAGTGGCAATGGCAGACATATGACTATTTACATATCATTTATTACGGGTGTCAAATTGAAATCTTATACAGTCGATCTTGTCATCATCCAATAATAAATACAATATTTCTATTCAGCCTTCAATCGCTTCAACTTCGATTATATTCTAATGACAAAATAGCTATGAATATATAATTGGGTGTGTTTTGTTAAAATAACGATTAAAGGTTGAAAAAGTCCTCAATCCAATAATTTGAAAAAAAAGTGTCAATGACCAAATGTATTGGTTTGTTATTTGTATTAATATCTCTCATTGAGTTGATAAGACTAAAACAGAAAATGTCGATATTTTTAATATATGACAAAAATAATGTTATAAAAAACTTACAGCAGCAGAGCGACAGCCGGCATTGTATACATAGTTAAGATTCTTCGTTGTGACTTTTTCGAGGAAACATCTCTAAAACAAACAAAATGCACATTTTCAGAAATAAACAAATGAAACAGATAGACTGATTTCAATGTTTGAAATAAAATATAAGAAAGAAATGGGATGATAGGAACATTGCCGATTTCTTAGGTATCGCGAATTTTCAACAGTAAACCCTAAGAATACAATGGTATAAACTTATAAGAACACGGAAATTGCTTCCGCAAAAGTTTAGAAAACACTGATAAAACCTACATTAACGAACAAGTATAAAAATGAACAGTTTCTTACACAAAGATATGTTCCATACAAATTGTATAATTCAATAATTCGTCAGAAAAAGAAATCTCGAAAGCAAATCACAGAAAATAAGAAGAGCAAATTATGACTCGGAATTAAAGATAATTTCAATGTAAATTGTTTCAACAGCTCACCTCGCTGGTTCCACAATCAATTATACTGGTTAAACAGTCGGATATGTCAGCAGCTCCATCACAAAACAGACATTTCATTTGTCCTTTAGAAGAAAATGAATAAATAATGCAAATATACCTTGTATAAGAATACATCATTTGTTTACGTCAATTTTACTTTGAAATCTACAGTAACCTCGTCTCTTTTACTTTTTTATTTTGTTTTCCGTCAAAAATGGTTTTAATTTTTATATCAAAACTGTAATAAGTCAATGTTAAATCGAAATATTTTTTACAAAATATAATATTTCTTTGAGTAAAAAATAAACATTTTAAATAATTGTTACATACAAAGTATAACAAAGAAATATTTTCTATTTTTTTTTTATCTATTGCAAGAGTTATAACCAAAATTTGTGTCTGCTAAAAAGATCTGTATCTTTATATTAAAAGTTCTCAAATACTTACCATATGAAACGCCTACAAGAGCTAAATGTAAGGGAAAATTATAATGATTAGTGATTGAAAATTACTGTCTGAATCTCCCAATAAGGCATGATACCTATAACGATATGAAAGAAACCACAAAAATGCAAAAAAAAAGTTTTGTTTGGGTTGATTAAAAAATTAAAATGTCGGCTGAACCTGTAATATAATTGGCGATAATAAAGTATGGTTTCTCATTCCGAAAAGACTGATTAATAATTGCATGAATGTGCATTTTCTTTGTGTTTAAGTGAAACTTTAGACCTGCATTAAGGAATGGTAAAATTACATAACACGTTTGTGGAAGGTCCATACCTAATTCCAGTCACATAAAATATTTTGAGATACTGTCCTATTTAATTGAATTTTCCCTTAGAAGAATAACAAATTGCAAATCATCATTCTAAAGATAATTTAATTGTTCTTCATACATTATGCTTTTAAGTGTTTTGTAAAGTCTCGAAATGATATCATATAAGATTGAATTTACCATTTTCCTTTGATCGATAAATATATTTCATATCTTTTATTGCTATATTAATTCGTTCAGAAAATGAAATTAACAAAATGGATTTCTTCTGATTATGGCAAGCAACCCTCACACCTCTTCCAGTACGAAAGATCTTTACGTTTAGATCGATAAAATGTCTCCGAAAGAGCTCTCCAATATGAAGCGATTCAATGAAAAAGTATTATTCTTATGTTCATTTTTTATGTTAGAAATATTTCTGTTTTATTACACATTTCTAGAATATATACTTTGTATGTTATATGAATATGAATATGAATATAAAATATGTCGAAGGTAATTTGTTAAGCATTAAGTAATCCGTGAATGAGGATTTCGCAAGTTATATAACTGGTCTTATCAAGCAGATTTCGTGTATAAAACGAGTGATAAGGCATATTGCAATATGGTGTTTCACATGAACTTTGCTGAGTGTTGCGATAGCAGGCTTTAGTTTCGAAGTGGTTTAGCTCACATTTTCACAAAGTAAAATTAAAACTTCTCCGGGTCATGTAAATTCCAGAATTTTCGTTGATAGTCTATCTGTCTTAATATTGTTCGATGAAAAAAGTCGCCTTTAACATAGAAACCTTGAATTTAAACATTCAAGGGAGATAATAAGTAATGTCTTTTCAACACTATTGATATAATCCTTGTCTCTGGTTTATTATAGCACACACAGTGTTTCTTGAGTAAATCATGATGAAATGTTGTTATTTGATATACATTACATAAATATACATCTAACACTACTTTCAAGAGTTTACAATGTTCATGCCGTCGCTTCTAATGACTTTTCGATGAGGTGTTTAATACGTTTAAGAGTCTAAGAAACATTTTTAAATTGCTAGCTTTTTTTTTTTTTTTTTAGTGTGTATTATATGACAACATTATATATCGATTTTAGCCTGTTCTCTTTGACTCCGTTTTATAAATTAACTAAGTGTTATGCAATTTATTCATATGCAATCCCTATACCATGCAATCTGACGTGCTATGAAATTTATTAAACTATTACCATATTTTAGCACCTTTACGTTCAATCTTTAATAAAGGTCATATGAAAATGAAGCATTTCGTAATTAACGTTCATATCTTAGACAAATACAGTTTTCAATAAAACCTCCAAATATCCAAATATGACAACATATGGTACCCAAAATCAACGGCGGGCTTCATTTAACTAATTATCTTTTTCAAGACTGAAGATTTATTGTTTCCATTTAAGAAATATTTACCTAATGGTATTTTGATTCTGAAAATTATGATCTTGAAAATACTAGGTCTGGATGATTGTGGTCATTTCCCAACACTGCACCGTAGTGCATATTTATATTTGTTCGTTTATGAATAAATGTATTTTGCAATATCACATAACATTTATGAATAATTGTATTTTGTAATATCACACAAGAACTGTTACATTAACAATATTCACTTACCTGACAAAACTAGAAACACCTTTATCATGTTGACTGTAACAAAATGAATTTATTATTATCAAGGATACTCTTTATTCTTATCACATATCTGAGCATAATGTTTGCAAATTTTTAATAAAAAGCATAAGAAAATAATATTGTTTAAGAAAAAAAAGAAAAGTTATATGAAAGCAGTTCTGAGAAACAAAATTCTTTTTTTTTTACGAATTCGTTGAGGTTGACATTATGGTCTAAATCAGTCCATGATAAATGAGATATCTTATTCTCATGTACATGAAGGCCAATAACACCGCTGATGTCCGAATTCCTTGAAGATTTCAGAATTTCATGCCAGTTAAGTTTCTTTCTTTGAAATCGAAACGTACACGTATGTTGAATCTATAACCCAATACAATTTGATTGAATAACAAACTTATATTTGCAATACGAGGTCTGCATTTAAAAAAGCTTCGTACTCGAATGATATGTTGGAACCTATCTACAGTAACACAAATATAGATATTTGCATTAATTATTGTCAGATAAAACCTTGTAATGACGAATAATTAATTGATTTCCTACAATATGTATCCATACTAAAGAAAGAAAATTGGAGAAGAAACTTAATCTTACCGTCCCATCCAATACTTAAAGAGGTAAACTATTCACTCGTCTACAGAGAACAAAGAATTTTTCACCCTTAGTTTGATATATTCAAATAACTACAAGATACTCAAATTGAAATTGGCTATCAAAATAATAAAGTTAAATTATCTACAAGCTTTCCTGACCTTGAATAAATGTCTCCTGCCTGCCTGAATGGTTTTCCCAGAATATGTGGCTGGAGGCTAACGCATTTGGCTTATATTTGCCATACAGCTGATAAGAAGAAACCTTATCTTCTGCACTAGAAACTTGTTTGGGGTTCGCTCCTAGTTTTCTGGTTATCTAATTCGACATTTAGTGCAATATGTTGTTGACATTATTTAAACGGTCATTTTTTACACAGTGCATTAAATATTCCAAAACAAATGTAGCATTTATCTCGGTGAGTTAAAGGAATTTGATGACACCTTATCATAACGTAAGTCATCATGAATTTTTTTCCGCATTTGACTTTTCTCTCAATCATTTTGGATTTTATTTTCCTCAGTCACGTCCATGTTTTCGATAGTTAGACTCATAGCATCACTGACGAGTTCTAGAAGAATAAGAAGCTGCTTGATGCAGTTTAATTCATTGTTTTGTTCTTCAGTTTCTAACTCCAACTAAAATGTGCTATTTAATAGAGTGTCTTTGTGCAATTTTTGAGATAGCAGGTGGTAGTCAGTGCCGATGGACTTTAAGTCTTAGAGGTTTGCCTTAACATTCATGCCACGTTTTAATTCATTCAAATTGTGACACAGTTCATATTATACACATGTACTTGACTTGAACGTTTGTACAATCTAAGTATACACAGGTGCTATTTACGTGTGTGTCTTTCGTACAATGTTTGTTCTCATCAGACAACAGCTTAACCATGGACGAGCCGGACAAGTGTGGTGTTGGATGATACAAAGTCTACTATCACTATATACAATGTTTATTCCACAAAATATACACGAACTTTTGGTATATTGCAACTATATGTAAAATATGCACATCTAGCGCCCACTCATTTATTTCAATATTCGTACTAAATACAAAAGATAATAATCACTTAAGACAAATAAACACTGCCTTAATATAATGTAGCACTGAAGAAGTCTAGGATTGACGTAGTCTGAAATCCGCAGTCAAACTAGCAAGAATACATTCTTTCCACCATTCTTTCATGAGGCTGGTACCTGATCGGGAATCCTAAACAAGCATACACCACGGGATACTAGCAACAGTCCATTGGGCGCCATGTTCATAAAGACTAAAAGGTCGTCAGTTCACATAGAACATATAATCGACTCTTCTCGTGTATGTAGATTTTAACCAATCCGAATAACACCACATTTGATTTCCTGTTAATTTAACATTCGGTTTGAAGAATATGATGTGGAACAAAAACAAGCTAAAATACAGCAAAGAAATGAACCAACAGAAGAAATAGCTAGCCCTTGTGTCCTGGTTTAGGGGACACTGTTTGAAGTGCAAGAAACTGTGTACTAAGTCTGTATAAGTGCGTCATATCGAGTGATCATTGAGTTTTATCAAGTCATCAAATGTCGTGAATGTTTCTTGTTTCTGGTCGTCGTCATAATGGTATTTGGTATAATTCGTCATAGGTACTTTAAATACTTCCGATTGCATCAACAATACGCTTACATTTCTATTAACTGTATTAAATCATGACTCATTTAAAAAATACAACTTACACAAACGAAAAAAAATAGTTTCGTAGTTGTGTTTTTTCCCCAGTAGATTTGAAAATGTGCATTGAAGCCCCGTTCCCAATTCAGTGATAACTGAACATGAGACGGGGATATATACATGATAAAGCAAATCAGCCAATTAGTAATTTCCATCTCTCAGTTGACTTGTCTGGAAGAAATCATTCCTGGTTCAAGTGATCAAAGACAAATTGTACCGTTTTTATTTTCGACTCCACTAATATAACCCTGTACATAATCTTACTCCAGGAAAGGTCTGTCGAATCTACTGATATAACCCTGTACATAATCTTACAGCAGGAAAGGTCTGTCGAATCAACTAATATAGCCCCGTACATAATCTTACTCCAGGAAAGGTCTGTCGTATCTACTAATATAGCCCCGTACATAATCTTACTGCAGGAAAGGTCTGTCGAATCTACTGATATAACCCCGTACATTATCTTACTCCAGGAAAGGTCTGTCGAATCAACTAATATAGCCCCGTACATAATCTTACTCCAGGAAAGGTCTGTCGTATCTACTAATATAGCCCCGTACATAATCTTACTCCAGGAAAGGTCTGTCGTATCTACTAATATAGCCCCGCACATAATCTTACTGCAGGAAAGGTCTGTCGAATCTACTGATATAACCCCGTACATTATCTTACTCCAGGAAAGGTCTGTCGAATCAACTAATATAGCCCCGTACATAATCTTACTCCAGGAAAGGTCTGTCGTATCTACTAATATAGCCCCGTACATAATCTTACTGCAGGAAAGGTCTGTCGAATCTACTGATATAACCCCGTACATTATCTTACTCCAGGAAAGGTCTGTCGAATCAACTAATATAGCCCCGTACATAATCTTACTCCAGGAAAGGTCTGTCGTATCTACTAATATAGCCCCGTACATAATCTTACTGCAGGAAAGGTCTGTCGAATCTACTGATATAACCCTGTACATAATCTTACAGCAGGAAAGGTCTGTCGAATCAACTAATATAGCCCCGTACATAATCTTACTCCAGGAAAGGTCTGTCGTATCTACTAATATAACCCCGTACATAATCTTACTCCAGGAAAGGTCTGTCGAATCTACTGATATAACCCTGTACATAATCTTACAGAAATAAAGGTCTGTCGAATCAACTAATATAGCCCCGTACATTATCTTACTCCAGGAAAGGTCTGTCGAATCAACTAATATAGCCCCGTACATAATCTTACTCCAGGAAAGGTCTGTCGATATAGCCCCGTACATAATCTTACAGCAGGATATAGATATAACCCCGTACATAATCTTACTCCAGGAAAGGTCTGTCGAATCTACTGATATAACCCTGTACATAATCTTACTCCAGGAAAGGTCTGTCGACTCTACTGATATAACCCCGTACATAATCTTACAGAAATAAAGGTCTGTCGACTTTTCTGATATAACTCCGTATATAATCTTACAGCAATAAAGGTCTGTCGAATCAACTAATATAACCCCGTGCATAATCTTGTTGCAGGAAAGGTCTGTCGAATCTACTGATATTACAGCAATAAAGGTCTGTCGACTTTTCTGATATAACCCCGTACATAATATTACTGCAGGAAAGATCTGTCGAATCTACTGATATAACTCCATATATAATTTTACAGCAGGTAAGGTCTGCCGACTCTACTGATATAACTCCGTACATAATCTTACAGCAATGACGGTCTGTCGACTCTTCTGATATAACCCCGAACATAATCTTACTGCAGGAAAGGTCTGTCGAATCTACTGATATAACCCCGTACATAATCTCACTGCAATGAAGGTCTGTCGACTTTTCTGATATAACCCCGAACATAATCTTACTGCATTTCTAGTTTATATACGTCACTAACTCTACAGGAGCATTATATCAGTGCAGCTTTAAAACCCTATATATTTGATAACTGGGTTATCTTTCAAATATTTTTTTAATTCACTGATTATTTACAAATTAGGCTTTACAAAATGACACAATCATGCAAATTTTTTTTTCTATTGGCAGTCGAACGAACCATATATTACTTTAAACTGGTATATGCAATAGTGGTTGAATATGGATAATCTTTTTCTTAGAAAGACATTCTGGCAACTACAACTTAACAGGGCAGTAGGTCCGTAATTATACATAAGTTTGTGACACTCTTAAGTTTAGTATTCCGGACTTATTAACTATTGTAGAAGCTCTTGAAATAATTCCAAATACACTTCACTTATATAAGAAATCATCATAATTACTTATATTAATCATGTGAAAGTAAACCTCAACCAAATCGTAATCCAAACTCAAAGTCGGTGAAACTAGGGCAAAGTATGACGAAAATAGGTATTTCCACCGAGACTGATGCAAATGTAAAAGCAGACTAAGAATTGTCCGGTGTTTCATCAACGACACCCATCATGCAAATATTGCACTATACCAATACAAAATGTCTCATTCCAAAAAGTAATATCATTTTTATATAGACGAAATTGTAGTGGAACCTCCAAGCTGCAAGAATGTTCAATTTCATACCCTTCAGTAGAATAGGATCCATTGTGATCCTCATTGTGAGTATAAAGCATAATCTTAAATAACCTCCACCTCTGGAAATCTTGCATTGTATGTTTATCTGTCGGCTGTGGTATCTGTATTTAAGACAAGTCCTAGGATATTGAATAAACTGCGACATTTTAACACAATGAATATGATTAAATCGAAACCATCATGCTTATCATACATCGTGGTGTTCCTTTGAACTCTTAAATATTAAAGATTTAGCTTACTGATGAATATGAAAAATATATTTATATTTCTCTGATATGGAGGTAGTATCCTTACTATTATAGTAGACAGTTTAAACATCTGGTGAGAATTCATTAAAACTATATCAATAAGGACGTATGTAAACAAAAGTGAATGCCATAACTTTGCACATCTTCAATAATTACACAAAGTTGTGAACATTTTCTAACATCGACAACGGTGTGTATTATACACAAAATACCTTAGATAAAAAGGCAGGTAATGATTGGGCACAAAAAGAGAAGCAGCAATCTAAATATGTCTTTTAATTTATTTTCGTCTCCCTGTATCCACGTCTGAAGTTTAGAAATGTGCTGTTCAATTTTGTTAGTTTTATACAATCTTTTATAATTGATGTCATTGTCATTAAGATGTTTTCCATCATTGTACTCTGAATCGTAGTACCTTGACGCTGCTAATTTTTTTCAATTATCTTGTTCAATTAATAATTGATGATTATTATGGAGGAATATACTATTTAGAATGTCAAAGTGTACTGACGGACGAGCGTATACTCAAGTAGGTTTTGTAAGTTAATTTTTGTACATCGCTATATACATTATGTCTAGCGCACCCTCTTAATGTCGTTGTGGATTTATTTCTTCTGAGAGGCACGATAAAGGAGATTTTTTACATTAATACTGGTAAAATAAATATCAATAGCAGAATCATTTAGTCATTAAAGAAACGATTCGAAATCGCTTCTGAATGATACGAAGAATGTCAATCTATTGGCATTAATTACACGGTTTATTCTTATTTATTTGAGAAAGACCCCATAATGACCGCTTAACTTCTTCAAGGTCACTTGCATCAGCACTTCTAGTAATATCCGCCATACTAAGAACAAAGGATATGGCTTTAGTACGTAAGAAAAAGTAGCGCTGATACAACATACACTGATCAGCAATTCCACTAGTATGTAAGTTTTGTAATTCTCCAATTGTACAATGTTAAGGCTAGTGGTTTTGTCTGCCTTAACAGCGCTAGTGTCAAGCCGAAATGTAATATATTTCCTTCAGGCCGAAGAATTAGATTGGGATTATGCTCCTTCAGGTCAGGACCTCGTCAATGACGATCAAACGTGAGTAATTCTTTACTGTAATTTCATACTGTCGAAGAATTTCATGGATTGTTTATATTGTAATAGTTAGAAAGAGTGGTTACTACATTTCATTCTTGTTCAATTTTAATGCAGCCGAATGGAGTGCGTTGCATTCACGTCTTCAATAATTCAGTATTGAGCATATGAAATTCCTGTTATTACAAGGGAGTAAAACATAACAACCTATTAAACAATGTTCCCTTCTATGAAAAGGAAAATCACTCGAAATTCGACCAACTTCATAGACAATTAAGGAAGCATCTGACAACTATCAACTGTTCGTCTAAATGTAATTCATTATTGTATATCTTATCATTAGTCTTGCAAAACATTTTTTGCCTGCTTTAGCCTACGAAAATACAGAAGAATGATTACAAAGAGAAAAAACAATCAATCATGAACATTTAGTCAACATGTAATACATCCTATCTGCTAGAGAGAATAAGTATGTATTTATGTATATGATATTTTGTGATATGGAAGAGATGTAGCTGTCTATTTATATATCTGAGGCGTTGAAAACTTTAATATGCATACCATATGGGGAGTTGTCAAATACAGGATGTAAGACATATTTAGTATGCACTTCAAGTCAATAAAAAATATAAACTTAGCAATATGCTATCCATGGCAGAGATATGAAATTCATTATATAGGCCACTATATCTAAGATATGATATACACTGTGTGCATCGCTTGCTAGTCAGGACATATGCAAAGAAAATACCTGGGTTATTCTTTAACGACGAAACATATATATTGATATAAGCATTCCCGTATGTTAGGCACGACTTTTTTGGAAGCATCTGTTTTACCGCAATGTCCTCTATGTTGGTTTTCTTTTTCTTTTGTATTTTTGCTGATTTCCAGTTTTTTGCTTCGCATAATCTGTTTGGTGTTGTATTAATTTTTCTACCAGAACCAATCGTTTGACAGGGCAATGAAGGTCATTGTCCTAGTGTTCTTATCTTTAGATAATGATATTGATAATGCTACCTTTGTTGGGTGTGCGTGGTCTTAATTTTGTGATGTTGTAAAGTTGATTTAGATCATTACATCAGTATATATCTTAAAGGTAAATCATCAACAACTAGCCACGTTAACCTCTAATAGAAGCCTTTAGACCATCACCAAAGAATTTGATCTCCGCACTAAATGTCGACATGAGAAATTAAAAAAAGGATAACACATTAAAGCAAAATGAAGTGTATCAGAAATCTAAGAGCAAATGAATAAATATAATGTTTTTCGTTCTATAACGATTTCTTCGCCGAACTTTGTCAACAACACCATATATCCCGCCAAACCTAGGGAAATTTAAACGTTTCGGCAGGTACCTTACAAACACAATTTCTTTTTTTCGAGGAAAAAAAGTACAATGATTGCATACAACATATAACGGTATTGTGATATACATGTAGTACCTTATCCTGTTTTTCTAAAGCAATGATTAATTGTACATTTTTCCTGACACACATCATTTCATCCTAATTTGTAAAGTAAACTAATGTTTCTTTCTTTTTTGTTTATCAAGTATTGAAAAGGTAAATTGCAAATCAGCATAAATAACTATTTAAAATATGTGGGTTTTCAGCAATGCTGGATTGTACCTGCAAAGAAGAGTGTACCGAAAGGTTGTTTACCGACAGTATCTGGACTCTTTATACACAGAAAGAGCTTCACGAGCAGAACATCTCGGTATCCTTGGACCAACATTAAGAGCAAATTTTGGGGATTCTATAACAGTACACTTCCGGAACACAGCTAGTCATCCTCATTCAATTCATCCTACACGATTGTCTTACACAAAGCAAAATGAAGGTATATGAATACAACTAATGTATACTGGTTCCTTTACTCTAATATTGGAGGTCGGATGGCACAATGGTAACACACTCGACTTTCACTTGCTCGACTACCTCGTTCGCTCTTCTCCGCACCAAAACTTCTGATTAACATAAGATGATTAAACATTGATTACACGATAGATTAAATTGATGTTAAAAATAAAGTCATCTCTTTGACAACAATTACAAAACCAGTTATTCCAGCTTAAATTCATAGTTGGCACGGATGTAAGTACTCGAGGGGATTTACATTGGAGTACCTGGGGGAACCTATATTGTCGGCAAGTTGACGCCATACCATTTCACTCCCTTTCAGAGAATCGAACACTCTAGTACCCAACCACCTCTGTTAATGTAATATGGTAAGAGTTTGTGTATACCACTCTGCCTACCGACCACCTCTTTTAATGTCATTTGTTTATACAGTATGGTAAGAGTTTGTGTATACCACTGTGCCACCCGACCACCTTTGTTAATGTTATATGTTTATACAGTAAGGTAAGAGTTTGTGTATACCACTGTGCCACCCGACCACCTCTGTTAATGTTATATGTTTATACAGTATGGTAAGAATTTGTGTATACCACTGTGCCACCCGACCACCTCTGTGAATGTTATATGTTTATACAGTAAGGTAAGAGTTTGTGTATACCACTGTGCCACCCGATCACCTCTGTTAATGTTATATGTTTATACAGTATGGTAAGAGTTTGTGTATACCACTGTGCCACCCGACCACCTCTGTTAATGTTATATGTTTATACAGTATGGTAAGAATTTGTGTATACCACTGTGCCACCCGACCACCTCTGTTAATGTTATATGTTTATACAGTATGGTAAGAGTTTGTGTATACCACTGTGCCACCCGACCATCTCTGTTAATGTAATATGTTTATACAGTATGGTAAGAATTTGTGTATACCACTGTGCCACCCGACCATCTCTGTTAATGTTATATGTTTATACAGTATGGTAAGAGTTTGTGTATACCACTGTGCCACCCGACCACCTCTGTTAATGTTATATATGTTTATACAGTATGGTGTGAGTTCGTGTATTGCACAGTTAGTAAGACATGTCAGAAGTAGAGCGTGATTTCTGACCAGTGTTGATAGAAGCTTTATGGAAACACGGGATTAGGAATGCATGATGTTTAATTATGGACATATGTTTGATTATAACATAACAAGGAAAACATGAATAAGTAAATATATGTCATTAAGTCTTCATAATCGTTTTCATTTGCGAGAATATACAAAAGCAAATAATTTATTGAATTAAAGATTTAATTTGTATACGAAAATACTGCCTTATGCCATTTTCTCCGAGCAGGAAAGCTCTATTTTTTGCTTTGTGTTTGTATAACATATTTCAGCTTGAATATCAAAGCCCACTGTCATTCCCCTAAGAGTGGACGGGGTAAAATGGGCGAAAGTTTAACTGAAGCGAAAGTTTTCCAGTGTACAAAGGTAAATAATTGTACCATGTCAGAAGTATAGACAATGGATAAAGTTAAGAAAAATAATATGGCAGTTTACTCCAATTATGTTATTCAGGAAGTCAATATGACGAATTATACGAATTCCTGCCACAGCCCGACGACGCCGTTTCTCCAGGTCAGACGTTTACGTATCATTGGAACGTGACTACTCTCAACATGCCACCACCGGACGTCACGTGTGTATCCGGCTTGTACTACTCTGACACTGATAGAGTTCGTGACGTCAATAGTGGTCTGGTCGGTTTTCTTATCTTGTGTAACGGAGGTTAGTACGCAATATTGAAACTGATACAATACCCTGTTACATAAAAACTCGAATTTTTAAATGTGTCACATACGTGATAGCCTTGATTGTTTCCTTGTTTCAGTGGGTTCTTAACCTCTTTTTAGTGTTTTTTTTCAAGATTTTCCTGTACCGATTAGGGTCATGTGAAGACGCAGCTGACACGAACTAAAGGAGCACATGCATGTTGCACCCAATTGCAGATGATAACATATATGATTTGTTGTTTATTTCCTTATGTTTACTCACATGGCCCGAAGGACCACAAGGGATAATTTTGTTCAAACCTTAGACTTTTTTGTTAACCATTAGGTCCAGAAAATTCCCGATCACAGGGGTGAAATTTGTCATAACCAGTAAAAGATTTCTCCTGGTAAACAAAATGGCTGCGAAAGATTAAAGGTTGTGTCTAGGTCAACGTATGACAATATGAGAACATAAAAAATGACATTTATCTATAATTTATGGTCATGAATGTCACTGCTTAGAGTTGACTATCAAAAGCGTAAGTTTGTTCTGATAATAGACTGAAATTGGATGGATGTGCCAACTTTTAATACCAGTGGTGTACTTCTTAATGTATTTGTGATGAACGTTGGCAATATGTTTGATAAACCAGCGCTGCAGACCCATTTGGCCTCTTGCTTTTTTGTGTTCTTTTCTTCTGTTTTCTTTAACCTTTTTTGTTTATCCTGACAATAAAAAGAATATGTGTTGTTTTTATGTGAAATTACATTATATCGGCCCTTCATCTTTTCGATGAAATTCATATCTTCGTAGAATAAATTAATTTTACCAGAACTTGTATACTAAGATTTCTTGATATAAAGTACCAAATATGGTTTCTAAAAATTGGTTGGACTCGCACAGAAATCCATGAACTAGATCTCTTTTTCCAACAGAATTCACCATGGAACACTATTTCATACGTGATATTGTACGTAATCCTCTCAATAACACATACATTCAGAAGATGCAAGTTGATGGAATTATGGAGAAGTTTTAGTGTCACCATAGTGATATCATTGAGAATGATTCTATTTCATTGTGTGGTATGAAGCTGGACGTTAGTCAGTTTGCTTTTTGTTTCCGTTGTTGTATATCTTGTTTTCGTTTGGTGACATTACTTACTTAGATTGATCAATGTTTACATGGCGGGTGTTTTTTTCAGGATTATCCGTGTAGATCTTTCATTTGATCATGTTTTGCTCAAGTTTTATTGAATTTGAGTTCGGATTATGATTATTGTACTATAACCAAACCATTACCCCACATGAAATATTGTACCGTAATTATTTCAATAGCGCAAAAATAACATTGTACCGTCATTATCTAAACAATACTAGAGTAGCATTGTATCGTAAACATCTCAATAACTCGTAATACTGTACCGTAATTATCTCAATAACCAAGATATGGTATCATATTTATTTCAACAGACCAGACGTAAGTTGTGTGTACCGATATATATCACCTCAATCACCCTAACATAACATTGTAACATTGTACCGTAATTATTCAATAATCAAGGCGTAAAAATTTACCGTAATCATCTCAGTGATCCAAGCGTTACATTTTACCTTACTTAACTCAATAATTCATACTGAACATTTTATACAAATTATCTCAGTATCACAAATTCAACACTGCCTATTATGATATCAACAATGTTAAGATAGCATTGTGCTTTTATCATCTCAATCACGACGTAATAATCTCAAGAATCCACACCCAATAGTTATCTCAATTACCCTAACATAATAATGCACATTGATTATCTCATTAATTCACTTTTGTGTTTTTGTACAATCTATGATATTTAAGTAAACTACGTGTGAAGCGTAGTTATTATGCAGCATATAAACATCATTGTGTATATATCTTATAACGGAAATTTTAAGCTAAGATGCCTGCCGACCATAAGACGTCAGGGCACTTACTTGATAACGAGCTTAGAAGAAAACTTACTCAAGTGCTAGCCATATTATCTGTGTATGCTATGTGTACACAGGGATATGTAACATTGTATTTTAAAACTCCATGGTACTGTAATACATAGTGAGAATCTGTGTTTATATTATGAATAAATGTCGTAATTTATTGTTACATGCCACTGTGTTTTGTGTACGTACATTGCATATTTTGAAAAAAAGATATATTATATATATATATACATCCTTCTTTCTAAGTATTAGAGTGTTAAACCACTTGAAAAGTAGCACTGACACATTTAAACCACTCCATGTCTTTTCATATGCCACTCATTTTTGTCTCAGAAATATTTGACATCAGCTGCAAGCAAAACCTTGGCGTCCACGTTATTATCATAATAACATATAATTAATAAATATACCTTCCCATTTTTGATGATAATTATAGCCAAAGATTCAAATATCATTCATTAGACAGAAAGATTAATAAAATATATTGATGCAATAGTCAATCAAATGAAAATGATCTCACCAATAAACAAAAGAAATATGATATCTAGGTTCGATTCTTTAATCAGACGTCCGATGTAAAAGAGTCACCTTGACTTTTTTCCCTGGTGCTCCAGTTTCCTCCCACAATCAGACACATCACACGATCCAATCCGGCCTAAAGGAGTGATTATCATAATTGTATAGTTTTTTCAAACACAAAATCGATGGATCTTTTGAAAATAAAATCAAAACCTTTCACGGAGACTCTTATAAAAAGCATTAAGATCAATGGTTCCTCCGTTTATAATGCAGTTTGTCCGATTACAGTCATGACAAGTTATACAATATCATGTATCATATTATGTTGGCGCTTGTATTCACTTATTCCATAGTCAATTTATAATCGTAAACACACGGAAATTTGTTTGGTATATACATATTGCTGTAAAACGTCACTCTAGAAAACTGAATGCTTTTTTAAACTTTTGCTTACAAGACAGAATTATATTCTTTCTGTGTTTGTATATATCGTTATCATTTGTAACTAACGGCAATGACCAGAGAATATTTAGTTGTTTTTCTATGCTTTTAGATAAAGTCAATGACATGTAAAAATTCAATTGTTTTCCTTTATTTGTAAATAGCGGCAATGACCAGGGACCATTTATTTGTTTCCCTTCGCTTGTAGATGACGTCAGTGAGTCTGAAAATCTGCACATACTCTTACAAAGTTTTGACGAAAACTTGAGCTGGTACCCAGATTCTACAGATTCAGCACAGGAGAGTAACATAATGCATTCTGTCAATGGATTTGTATTTGGGAACCTTCCTCCAGTTCATGTCTGCACCGGGGATGAAGTGACTATGCACTTTGGTAGTTTGGGAAGTGCAGCGGAACCTCATACCGTGAGAATACACGGACATAGCTTTGTCTACAGAGGTAAAAGGTAAAATTTCCTATACACACTAGTTGTGTTAATGATATATCACAGTGTGGATGTTCAAATATTTTATATAGGTCCTATTCTACCTGAATAAGTACAAGTCGATTTATCTTTATCTTTAAATAACTACATTGGATTATATATTGCAAGACTATTCCGTTTTTTATTCACATCACCAGTAGTATCAAACGTTCGAAAAATTCGCTGCAAGGAAACTTTATTTCCATGGCTATTTACATTGTTTAGTGCATAACATGATACAAATACTTAACGTATGATATTTAATTCCTTTAGAACATGTATATATATGGCCTTGATAAGTACTACATTCTATGCATGGTATTAATATGATAAAAATCTTGATTGGCTTCATTACTTTATCTTTATCAATTCCCGATCTTTTTTACTTGTAAATGGTAAAATAATGATATGTGTTCGATCATCGCAGGCAACCTTCCTTGCCCGTTATTTCTGGACTCACGGTTGATGCTCAGTTCCTAGCAATGGAACCCGGAAGTTGGCTAATGACGTCACAAAATCCGAAACTAATGAAAGGTGAAATTTTACAGAGTCAGATATTCAAAACATGTCTGAGATTAAGACAGGATAAATTTGAAGGTTTACTGCAATTTGAATATAATCTAATTCTCAGGAAGTGTACCATAAATTGGATAATGCGAAAATTCCATTCGATATCTTATATATTTCTTGGTTTACCATATATATAAATAAAATGTTAATAAAAGCACAACTCATTGCTTTACACTATAATGAGCAAAACAAAATTCGCTTTCTTCGATTTCATGCGTCACTTTGTTGTGTACGTTTAGCTGGAATGCAAGCGATGCTAGTTATCGAGGACTGTAGTAATTCGCCTATAGACTACGTGGTGAATGGAGTCATTCGCAAATATTACCTAGCCATTGAAAATGTCATGATTCCAGGTCGGAGAGAAAGGTAAGAAAAAAATTGATGTCAAACATTGTTCAGAGTGTGAAAAACTGGTTAATATTTGATGGCATCTCTTTGTTCATGTTGATATTTATTCTGTTTATATCCAATGTTGTAATTAATATAAATCATTTTCATGATGTAATAGGAAGTTTAAATAAGAAAAGAAAAAGAAAAAAGCAGGCCGAGCCATTGATGTCAAGAAAGATTATAAGTAGGTCGTGAAATCCTGTCCAGACAGAACTCTCAATGTTAATCATTTTTGTAACACCATAAATACAGTTAAAGTTTTACTATTGATACAACTTTTATTTTTACTTTTGCAGGTAAATAAATCCATGATTACTTAAAGAGCAAGTTTTTATTTATGGATGGTTTAACCCAAGATGCAAAATTCTTTTAGTTTATTGACATAACATTTATTTCTAGCTAGAATTGAGTGTTTTTGTTATGATTGATGAATTAATTCAATTTATTTCCTTTTCATTGAAGCCTTGTTGGATTTGTTGGATATACTGACTCAAGATTCAACACAAAGCAAATGCGAACGAGAAGTGAAGATTATCTAGGAACACTGGGCCCACTGTTAAAGGCAGAAATTGGAGATACTGTGAAAATTGTTGTGAAAAATAACGACACACACCCGCATTCTCTGCATCCAAACGGAGGAGTTCGTGTCCACAAATACAACGAGGGTGCTTTCTATAACGACTCAGTTGGTATGTATGAGTGACCATGGAACAAAGCGTGTTAGCAATACATATTCTACCTACAACAAATCAAAGACTAATTTTTTTATCCAATGTCCATTCAAATTCGCTGATCTAATTAGCTGACTGTAAACTAATTGTGTTTCGCGGTTGCCCAATTCCACGATTTCCGCAGCGATTAATCTTTGCAATCATATTCTATTATAATTTTATCGTTCTTGTTTTAATTCGCAAAGCTTTCCTTTCGTGGCGAAATACTCCCATATGACTGTTTGGGCCTCGAAATTTGCAAGAATAAATCGCATACAAAAACAATAGTTGGTGTACAGTCTTCAATAGTCTCCGGTAGATTGATATAATATTTAACACATGCATGTTTTAATGCCGTAAATACAACTGCTGCTTGTTTTGATAGTCATATATCATAAAATAATTTAAAGGATCAATGATGTGACGAGTTAATGAAATCAAATATCATCCAGGTCATCTATTGCTCTTCCACATTATCTACACTAACGAGATTATCACAATCACTGATTTAATATCAACATCAAGAGCATGCCTGAAACCTTTTGCAGAAACAGCACCAATCCTACCAGGTCATTCGAAAACGTATTTCTGGACAGTCTCCGCGTTTACTGGCCCTACAGCTTACAATTTACCTTGTATGCCAGGCTTCTACACTTCCGGAGTTGATGTCATCAACGAAGTACACAGTGGTTTGATCGGGCCCATATTGATTTGTCAAAATGGATTACTACGGAATATGGTAAAACAAAAAGCTGAAACAATATATCAAAATACTATTTTTTTTTCTATGAAGATATGTTTGTTAACACGAATATATACACATTCTTGGCAAACTTTAGCGTTACACATGTGTATAACATTGTACCGGTGAATTTAACAATTTTATCAATTTGATAAAAACTTATTTCATCACTACATGTTGGAATAAACCGCACAGCGGTCTATTCAAAATGGGGTCATCTTGTTGTCGAGCGTAATGTTACAATATCTGAAATTTTAAAAAAACGTGCTAATGTTTTCCCGCATTTATTTGAACACCTCATGTGTGATAATTTGTTTTACCTTTAAAATGTTTTCCGTTAAATATCGTATATATTTCAATATTTCACACGTCTAACAGAATATACAGAGGATATATAATAGTGTCTTCAGTCATAACAAGTATATTTCACAAATGTGTCTAATATTTCAAGCGCACTCATGAAAGATACAAAAAGTATTACAAACACGAACGAGATATATTTGTTATTACTGGAGACACCAATAGATATTCTATTTATTACATTTGCACAAGCAAGAGAGCCAAGTCACTGGCATGTTAAGAACAAATTTAAAACGAGGAAGCAGACAAGGTTTCCGAGGGCACTACTCACTCATTACAACTTCGTAGTGCGCGACAAATATTGTCCTTTTTATAATCATTCAATATATGTTTACAAAAAAAAGAATCAATGTAAATTTACTTTTCTCTTCCCGATAAACAATTTGTATTGTTCATGTCGGTAAAAGACAAAATTTGTTGTAAAACGTTCAAAGAGTTTAACCCTCGATAAGTTTCTATGCGGCTGAAAATATGAAGGCAACCTACAGTTGTCACTGTTGATGACACGAATTCCCTTGAAATGTCTAACGTGTTTGCTTCACATTCAAGACGTTGGGGATTTGATTTGATTTGATCACTGATAAGGTAGTTTGCGTTGCATTGTTTGCTGGCTTTCATGGATATGAACGTTTACTTTGGAATCGAATGTCGTATCACAAGTAAAACAACCCCTTCAGATGTCTGGTTTTGTGTTTTTGTCAATTTTATCAGATGATTTGTGTTCTCTCTTTTCATTGGCTTAATCTGCAAAAGCGTTATCTTTCCCTAGTGAAAAATAACATTTTTATCAATGACATATTTCGCTATATTTCACTAGCAAAAATGTAATAAAACTGTATATTCTTCACGAGTGCATACTGATGAAATGTAAATGGCATGTAAGCGGAAACCATTTGATATCCTTTATGTATTGGTATATATGTGGTTCAAACTGTATTGCTAGTTAATATATCTTATATAATATCTGAATGTTATATCACAAATGAGCTTGAACTGGTCTTTCTCAACGGTGTCATGGTACGAAATATACACACATACCAGTGTTTATTTTTAAATAAATCGATACTGAAATTTATGAAAACGTTCTTGGATTTTTGGTAAGTATTCCCCCTCCCAACCTCTCCTAACTTATATAGACCCCAGCCCTAGGCATCACTGACAAGTCCTAGATGGACGAAACAGTTAAATCTAAATCTAAATTTTGAGTAATGTAACGTTCTGTTTATTCGTTTCAGGATCCGGGGATGCGAGATATTTTTCTTTTCTACATTCGAAGCAATGCCAAAGCAAGCAACGAAATCCATGGTAAGTTATTGTGACTTTACGGTCATTTTCATTTTGTCTCACCATTTCAGAGGAATGTTTACATTATATTTGTAGAGATTTTTCTTATCAATTACATTGACGTTAAATGTATTCGGTAGGTTTTCATTTTCACACTTCATATAACGACAGCAAATTTCAATCCTTACTTAATCGTTTCTTGATATTCAGTTTTCAAGAGCTCGCAATTTTCCATCTCATGTGTAACCCGGATACTGTTTGTCTCTCAAAAATGTTTATTTACTGATAGTTTATGTAATTACCTTGTAGGATTGAACGGCTTCCCGTCTAATGCCTTCCCGCGAATAGAAATAGATGTTGGAGATACAGCCAACTTCCACGTCATGAATATCGGATCTGATGACACAGCGTCTTCATTGTTTGTTGATGGTATTTTCCTATCGCTAGGTGGCACTCGAATATTGACTCTCGGACTGCATCATGGTCTTATTAAGTCCGTTCAGCTTCCTGGCCATAAAGAAGGTATATATACATGTGTAGCCCTTTTTTTACTGAACGATTCGATATTGAGATGAAAGCTGGTATAAAGGCAACAATGTGAAGGCATAGGTCACTGGATAATTTGGTCAGAAAAAAATTCAAATATAATTTTTTCGTTAAATGGCCATCAACAATTAAAAGTACTGTTCAAAGATTCTGTTGAACGACATTTGGTTAACTTTATGTTGTTATTGTCAGAAGTGGTCTTGGATGCATGTGTTATTACCATAAAAGATCAAAAGTGACTCGCCTATAATGTAAATGTAATTATGACAATACCAACGCTCTAAAATAGGTCTACTTACATTGTTGCATTTACCTATAAACATCATATTAGTACTACGATAGCTTATCTATATTTTTTTCTTGCCATGTTTAGTTCTTACTTAACGAAATATGAGGGTCCTTTCACACAGTAGTAATCTTGTTTTTCGCTAACTTATAATGCATTTAAACATATGAATATCATATTCTTTTTTTCTTTTTGACATGTAGATAATAAATGCAGAAGTAGAGAGATTCACAAACAAGTTCTGCTATATTTATTTCCTCTATAAACAAAGATGTACTGGTTAATTTTTCCCCAGGACAATGGAAAATTATAAATACTGCCGGTGATGAATTATCCTTCAGTGTCCGAGTGGGCTCGGGTTTAGAATCAAGGGATCCTTTGACGTCGAATGTTAACCTCACGTTTTACATTGCAATTAAAACGGAGACGTTTGACTATACCAGCAGATATTTCAGTACGTCAGAGTGGAGGGGGTATGTACGATTTTGGAAATTCTAAAACACTTTAGAAAAAATTGTATCTCATTTCAAAATAGTGATACCTGAGATACCGACAAGTCGGTGCTGTCATGATTGTGTCCTTGGAAAAGTAATTTCACCCAAATTGCTATGGATGACACGTGACGGGTCTCCCATATGAAGGTCAATGAGGAAGACATCAGCTAGTACAAGGAAGCCCCGTCTAAAAAATACCTGGCTGTTCTAGGGGCGACAAAACCAACCAACCAAGCTAAAGACAAAGAGACAGAATGGCATTGTCATAGATCTGTCTACTATGTTTCCTGATTTGAGAACGAACCGTTAAACTACTTTTCGCATTTTGTTACAAAATGATGATACATTGTGTGACATGAAGCTAGACGTATTTGATTTCTTCAGTTTGCCTGTTAGTTCCGTTGTTATTTACCTTGTTCTCTTTGAGAATGTGTCCATTACTTAGTTTGATTGATTAAGATTTACATGTCGGGTGTCTTCGATGAAGAGGAAGACGCTTACTCTTCCGGAACACATGGTCTTATTCTCCTTGTACTTTTCCAGGATTCTCCGTGTAAATCTTTATTTTGTTCATTTGGTGCCCTAGTTTTATTGAATTTTTGTTTGAATTATGAATTATCATTTATTTTCATATCTATTGATTACATCATGTCTTCAAATAAGAAATATATCGACCACGTCAGTTCTTTATACTCGACAGCATTGGCAAACAAGGACACAACAGACTCTCCTACAACAAAACTCTTTAAGGACAGCTTTCCAACAAGCTTTATGATAGGCCAGATAATTTCAATTTCTTTCTTTTTTTATTTCTCGGTAGCAGTATAACTGCATCCCCGACCTTTATTGTTTCCATGTTGCAGTTTATGCGATATTCACTCTTTATTCAATATCCCGATTGACGTGGTTCTTATTTGGGAACGTGACATTACTCTTTGAACACTTTGTCTTCCACTTTTCAGGAGCCATCATGTAAATCTGTCTTTCATCTATATGTTTGCCCTAGGTTCATGAATTTCAGTTTGTATTAAAACCCAGTGCTCTGTTATGATATTTGTTTTGTCTTTTCTCCAGTTTGCAGACCGGGGATTATAGAACAGGACCAAAGTTCAAAAAGGCAATGTATCAATGCTACATACGCGGATTTTACTGGCCCTGTAGGGAAACATCAAAACAGCCACCTCTACGTGTAACTGCTGGCACGAATATCAAAATTAGTAAGAATTATTGAACTTCTTTATTACATTTACATAAGAACTATCAAACCCGATTTTCTCTACTTAACTTATTCTTTTTTAAGCATCGGATGTCAAAATTAAGTTCGAACATTGAAATTATTGGTATGTCTTAATTTCATAACTATGGTCATGTGGCCATCGCAACTTCTACATGATGATTGTGAAATCAATGATCTTAAAAAACGATCAAACGACACGCGAGTGAAGATTTCTTTTCAATACATATTGAAATAAACGTCGCTGATTTAGTTAAAATATAATAGATATTTGATCTTTTTTCTCCGATTTTATGAGAAAACTTTCGTCAGGTCAATGACCAACCCTGAGAACAAATCCATGATGTCACTCTACTACATGTGTAATTATTATATGCTTCGTCGAGACTTTTTTTCCTAACGTGACTTTTCAAACTTTGGCATTGGATTTTAATGTTTTGCGTCAATCGATATCAGCTGTTTTATAAGGTCGAATATGAAATTCAAATAGATAGAACACATTTAATCAATACAGGTAAAAGCAAGATGTGTTGTTACATTTAACAACACAGTATGTAATTTCTATGAAATGTTAGCGTGCTTTATGTCAAACGCTTGATCAAAATTATGAAATATTTTGGGTGAAGTAATCTTAATCTTTTGATATTAAAACATTAGCTACAGTTATTCCCATTTACTTCTAAATTATGGTTTGATTATATGATATTGATAAATTGATTTTGACCATTTTCCCCCATTTCCCATTGTTTCTGTGTAACGTTTTTAGTCAGTGTTTTAATGTATTTCCTTAAGAACTTTAGCCAACAAATAATGCAAAGAGGATAACTCCGTAGTTTTTTCCAATGTTAAATGTATACAAATACATAATTAGATTAAATATGCATTTAAGTTCAAGACTTTTCGTGTAAAGCAAAAATACGGGGGTTTTTTTGCCCTTTTGAAATAACGTTTACATATTACACACGGAATAACGAATAATGATAATAATTGTTATTTATATAGACATAGTTTCGCTCTTATCATTTAAGAGATACACTATTAAAGAAGAGTGCTCAACTTTAATCTTTAAAGGAGCCAGTTTATAGAAATTTTCCATTGACGATGTTTATTTTCCAGTGTTTCAAAACAACAGCACCCGAAACTTCTCGATGTATTCTCCTGGAGTAGTAATACGCCGGTCAGACGGTGGAACGCGTATGGTTGTACGACCCATGGAACAAGTAGAATTCATATGGAGCATACCAGAGTCCATCGGTCCCGGAAGTGGAGATCAAGACTGTGTGATGAGAGTATGTTTATATTGTCTATAATTACTGTATCTTTGTGAAAAACATGTTTTGTGTTAACTCACAATATGCTTGTTCGAGGAATAAGATTTTTTCCAATACAAATGATTGGATGGATCACTTTGCTTTATAATTAGGATCCGGTAATGAAAATATGGGAAATTAGTAAAAACACTATGCATGAAAATTGTATGTGTGATTCATGAAAATTATCATTTTATTTATTTATTTATCATTCTTATTTTCATAGATTATAATTAGTCAGATGCATATATCAAAAAATCAGTGCAGAATCAAATTCTTATAACCTTTTTGTCTAATTTTACATTTTCATATTTTACATTACAAGAACAAAAAACAAACAAAAATTTAAAAATTGGGGGACCTAGATGCATATACTTTCTTATTGTTGATATAACATGATTCTATACAACTTATCCATTGAAATATATGGTACTATCCCATGATATTACAGCAGGTGTCTGTCTTTTAGATGCTAAATGACATCTTCCATCTATTACAGGTTCATAATATTCTAAATACATTTACTTCATCTTTTCTGTAAAAGTAGAAGAAATTAAAGTATTATGAGCAGTAAGTCATGTTCTACAATGGTGACCACATGGATTATATACTAGTCAGTGCTTATTATCGATGGGTTTTGTTTTTCCACTTTTTAAGTAAAGAAAACAATAAAGAAATATGAAATTGTGAAAAAAAATAATAGTAACAAAAAAAACAAACAGAAAAAAACAAACAAAACAAACGAAAACAAAATAAAAAACAAAATACCAACATACCAACATAATCATAATCCAAACTCAAATTAAGTAAAACTAATGCAAAATATGAACAAAGTAAAGATATACTAGGAGACTCCTGAAAAGTGCAAGGAGAATAAGACCACGTATTCCGGAAGAGAAAGCATTTTCTGCTTCATCGGAAACACCCGCCTTGTAAATCAATCAATCCAAGTACGTAATGTCACGTTCTCATGTTGTACAACAATGGAATCAACAGACAAACTAACGAGCTTCAAACATGTCCAGCTTCATATAGCAAAAAAAAATGGAATATTTCTCCATTAGGTCACTATTACGACCTTAAAACTTATCCATAATTATCATAAATCTGACGACTTCTTGCATAACATTCGCGAATATGGTATAGGAACAGGCCGTAGAATAACGAATCAACTGCGACATGTAAACACCATAGGTTGGGGATACAGGTAGGTTGCAATCCAGATATGGAAAATTCACAACTTTTGTCTGGTCGATGATTATTAAAATTCATTAAAAACAATCCACATTGACTGATTTCGAAGTGTGTAAAATGACTATGTAGTAAGTATCATTTCTTATTGATGCCTAATGTCTATTACAGAGGTATTATTCTAATGTGAATTCGGAGCGAGATGTAGCTACTGGTCTGATTGGTCCACTGATCGTTTGTCGTAACTACGCAGGGACCATCGCCGACGACACGGTTAACATGCCATTGCTTGTCGGTGTGGTCAATGAAGCGAAAAGCTGGTACATCGATGAAAATATTCCAGCTGGTTATTCGTCAGTAAACCGTAGCGATCCTAGCTTCATCAAGAACAACAGGATAACTGGTATGTATACTATGTTATCATTACTGCACCAGATGATATAGTTCAAAAGATCATCTCTTATTCAAATAGGCTATATTGCTACTGCTAATATTGTAATTTGATTGGTCAAAAACAAGTAAAACGTCAAAAAACAAAGTTTCACTTATAGTTTTACCTTATATCATAAAGCAAATGTAATAAAATCAACTTTTCTTCAGTAATAGGTTACCGTTCTGCTGCACTTGATTGGATTAAAGAAGGATACATCAACAAGAGAACGGGCTTTTATTTACATAATGTTGGCGATGAATTTCATTCGATCCACTTTCATGGCTGCATCATCACTGCTAGCAGTGACGTAGAACTAATTGGGCAGAACGTTGTCTCTCTCTTCCCTAGGGAAACTAAACACGTAATCTTCTCGTGCACACAGGTTGGGAGCTGGCAATTTGTAGGCATGAGATACCAAGACACAAAACAGAATCATAAGCTCGCTGGACTGATTGAAATCATTCCAGAACTAACAAGTGGTATTAGTTAGAATTATGATTTTCGATTCTGAATAGCATTACTAAGAGTTTCGAGATATCTATTTGCATGAGGGTTTCAAAACGTTGAAAGTATACAACCTAAAAAAAGAATATTGATTTGAAGATAGATCATACATGTAAGGGCATCTGAGCGATATGAAATATTTTGTTCATAACAATTACGACAAGGAATTTTAACCGCAATTCAATTTGGAACTAATCTATAGAAAATACTTAAACTCATCTTATTAGCAACATTTATACAGTGGTTTTTGTACTGATATTTTTTATACATTACTTGCAAATAGAAAAGAAATTCAGATATACTCAATACTAATTATCTATTGACCAAGTAGCCGTCCATGGCCGCTAGTTGTTAAACATGTTATTGTAAAATGGTAAAAATGTAAACAATTTAAACCCTTGTCGATGTTCCCCAGTCAACATAATCTCACAATATCTACATTAAACAATAGTGATATCCAGCTGCTTGTTCATAGCTTGTCAATCATAATTTTGTACAGTGGTCAAACAGGTAATCAATCATCACATACATTGAGTCAAATGGTTGTTTATTCAAACGACATTACACAATCAAGTTATGATAAGTACATTATATAAAAACATCGCAACATAACAATTACATAATTTAACATAACATTTTCTGACATAAACTTTGATCACTGCAGATGAGAGTCACCAAGCATACAGATTGGACCATACAAAATCATACAGATTGGACCATACAAAAGCATACAGATTTGACCATACAAAAGCTCACATTCACATAGTGGCCAAATAATGACATAACATGCATCCCATCCTATGTATATTCAGTATTCCGAATACAGATTGTCCGTACTTTACAAGTTGTGCCGTCGAGAGATTGTTTTTTCACACTTGACTGACAGAAGTAAGCTATTTGTAGAGAGAATGCAATCGAGTCAATTTTAACCTAGAATTTAGTATTACCAAGCTTTATGTTATGGATTGATTACTTATACCACACTTGTTCCATAGGTAAATAAATACTCTGTTCTAGTTTTGTAATGTATAAGTAACGATTTTATTCTGATATGTGTCAATTACCTATACTTTGTAACGTAGCTCTGTTTCCCAGAATGTAAATTTATAATATTGATTAAAGTACTAAAATGTATTTTGAGATTCGGTCGAAGTTTGCTGATTTAGACAATCTGTAAACATTTATTGTCATACAAGGACAAAGCTGAAGGAGTGTCTTAAAGGTGTTTTTAGCTTCTTGTTTCTTGTGTCATTTTTGTTTTTGTTTGTTTGCATTATTTTTAATGTGAAATTGTATATAAATATGTGTTTATCTTCATAAGTTACACTTAAATTTCAATTTATATATATATAATTCTATGATTTTCCTGAATAAAATCATTGCAAATATTTATAGTTTTATATGTATTTTTCTACGATTTTCTTTCAAAACCAGTTCAAGCAATACATGCATGAATGTTCAATTTTAATCGTCTCATGCGGCACGCTCTGACCTTTCTTCAGTAGACTTTACCATCTAAATATTTTTTAACCATTGTTTAATATTGTTACAACATGTGCAAATTCCTGCAAAGGCTGTGACCGCATGCGCTATTCTAATAAAGATGACAAACGGAAACGATTTAAACGAAATGTTGAATCGATTTTTATTGAAGACATAGATCGTTAATACAGGCTGGTTTCGTCTGTTTGTGTTTGCTCTCTGTTCTTTATTCTCACGTATCGATTTTTTTTAATTAAAAGACCGAAGTTTCCATTCCAATACCTTACGAACAAAATCCTATAACGTTGATCATAACGTATATCACGCAGCCATACTAAGTATTCCAATAATATGTATCAGCTGGGTAATGTTCTCTATCAATGATCTAATCTACTATAAGTAAAAATATATGAAACATTAAAACGTTCGTAAGATACTGCATTTATAAAAATATGAACCCTATTTAATCGGCGACATTTCCCTCATTATCATCAAATCAGTTAGAAATATATCAATACAAGCAATGGAACTCTGATCCAAGAATGGTGCTTCTTTATTATTTCCTACCTTTTATATATGGAGATATTGATATTTACCGAAGTTTTTGTAGGGAAATTGCAATATTGAGCACCATTTGATTTATACCCTTGTGAACTAATTGGAATTATTGGCACGATATGGTATTTATTACATGGTAGTTATATTCCAGTTTTATTATTTATATTCATGATTTAATAAATATTTACAGGCTAAACGAACCAATTAGTGGAACCTTGGTATTAACTTTGTTTATCACAAATAAATATAATGGCCACTTCTAATTTAAACATATTAAAATACATATTCAACACAAACAATACTTCTACAAAAGCCCCCTTATTGCTAAGAGAGTATGTACGACAGGTGCTAAATGTAAAATATTCTTATCGACGTTGTTATTGAATTGATTAGACACTGTCTCGCCCTGTAAATAGAGTATGACCACAATACCTCACTATATTTAAACATCAATCTTACGATGTGGATGTATGTGTACATGTGTTGCAGCTTCGTAATTCATCCCGTTTTTAGCAGTTATATTGATCACGAAGATTACAAGTTTTATGAAGGTAAGTTTCCTTAATCTTTTTGCCTGTTCCTATGTAAAATAATATCGCAAACACTTTGGGTGTCATAGAAAACTCGGGAAGGAGAGGGAGGAAATTGAAGACAGTTCTTCAAATGAAAGATTGTACATGTATACTGGCGGATTGGGGGTGGCAATTTTGTCGTCTCATGAATGTAAACGACAATTACATAAGTGATTTATTTCGTTGAACAACGCTAGAAGATAAGGCTTAACAAAAACTTTAAGACGATACCTGAGAACGTACAAGTAAATTTAACCAGGTGTTCCAGAACAAGAAGCGTCTTCCGCTTCATCGACCACAATCGCCATGATGATCTTGGTAAATTCGAAAGCAACAAGAAAATACCAATATTAGAACATAATCACAATACAAAATCAAAACCAATGGAACCAGAGCAAAATATAAATAAAAGAAATGTTCACAAGGAGCTTGAAAATGTACAAGAATAGACCAGGTGTTCAAAGAAGGGTAAATGTAGAATAGAAGTTCTTATAACACAGTAGGAGATTAGAGTGTGACATTTCCATGACTACACGGTCACCTTCATCTTATAACACAACCAGTAGGAGATTAGAGTGTGACATTTCAATGACAACACGGTCACCTTCATCTTATAACACAACAAGTAGAAGATTAGAGTGTGACATTTCCATGACTACACGGTCACCTTCCCTGGCCAAAGACCAGTGTTGACCGTACTTACACTGACGTAGGTAGTTAAGAGATGGTACAGAATCGACTAACTTTTTCGGCTGCTCTATAATCCTTTGTAAACTAAGGTCGAAAATAGTATGACTGAATGGTAAACAGATTATAGACCAAACAAATACACCAGATGGTAACAATGTAGTGTAGTCATTTCGGTTACGCTTTAATACTTGGTCATAGATGTGCAATAGTCTGCGCCCCTCGCCTCTATTAAGTAGTGGCCCGCTGCGCCGTATCTAGATGGTTTTCCATTACCAACCGTCTGAATGATTGTTTTCCCTGTCGACTATTTTGGAATTTTCTCAGCAAAATCACATCATTGACTGTGAAAATTCCAATATATAACGAAATACAGAACCATTTAAAAGTAACAATCTTTACTGTGATTATTTCGATTCGATACATACTAGATGTAATATTTAAGTTGATGTAACTTATGAGGATGTTTTACGTCATAGTGGTTTCATAGAAATTCTATTTCTTTGGGCAATTTAAAACTGAACGTGTTTGATGATCGTTGGTTTGCCTGTTTGTTCCTTTGTTGTATACCATGTGTTCATTTGAGAACCTGACATTACTTACTTGGATTGACCAATGTGTACCAATGTCGATGAAGCAGACGGCGCTTGTTCTTCCAGAACACGTGGTCTTTATTTCCTTGTACGTTTTCAGGAGTCTCCATGTAAATCTTCCTTTTGTTCATATACAGCCTGAATTTCCTCTTCTCTTTTTTTTTTTTTTTTTTTTTTTTGTTTTGTTTTGTTTGTTTGTTTGGGTTTTTTTATTTTATGTATTATTTATATCTATTTTTTTCAATTATGTTTATACGTTCGTATTTTCTTGTTATATTACATAATAGCAAACAAGGTACTAAATTACCACTTTAGAAATGGATGCATGCAAAATTGTATTATTTTTATTTTAGGGCAGTATGGTTTCACGAGGTATCGTCTACTTTTGGACAAATACAAGAGAAACACCGCATATGAAATATGTCAGCTTTATGGAGGAAACCTCATTCGTCCCGACAGTATACAAAAGCTACAACGTCTGATTCATCTCAACAAAGCAGTGTGGCAGTTTGAAATGTTTGTATTGGCCATTCAGTATGCATGAAATTTAGATTCATTGTTTTTTTCACGAGGCAGTTTTCAGGCATATAGGTCGGTATAATGTTTTCATTTAGAGAAGAACTGTCAAGTTTATTAATTTCCGTAGGAGATGTACTTTTTCACTTCAAAGATTATCTTAATTTTATATTATGAACTTTATTAATTTTACAACAGTGACGAAAAGAGTTCTTTTGAGGGGTCTTATTGTGGGAGGAAATCGGAGTATTCAGGAAAAACCCACGTGGTCGGGCAGGTGACCGCATACCTTTTCACTTTATTCCGGGGATCGAACCCTGGACGGCTAGGTGAAAGGCGATTGCGTTATCACTGCGCCATCCAACCACCTCTTAATGTACGAATCCATATGTCCAAGAACAGTTAAAATTGGTTTTATAAAGTAAATATATTGGGATATTTATTTGAAAAAACCAATATCCACGAAATTCTATTGTTTTCCTGTGACCCAAAGATAATTGAGTCACACGGAAATATGTGATTTTGCTGTAGCCTTTTTCAAATCGATAAATATATGTATCAGCATGGTTCTAAATGCGGAATTTATTTTCCGTTCCTAATCATACAGATGAACCATAGATAATCAAGTTTGACAAAAGAAGATCTTTATAGAGACAACATAAGCATACATATTTGTTCCTTGAAATGATGGGGATCAGATATTTGTGTATGTCTCAAACATTTCATCGGTCACATCGGAGACAAATTTGTAGATGACATATCAATTTCGTGTTTTTCAAAGGCATCATGATTTCTGGATTGACCTTGTACGTGAACCGGACACCAACACATTCACATGGACGTCTGACTGTACGGCTTTAGACCCATCAACTGATTGGCACTGCATGCTTCCCAACTTTGACGACAATCCCGATAAGCTATGCATAGTGTCGAAACATGGAAATTATTGGAATAGTAAGAATTGTGATTCAGATGCCATGGTCATTTGTGAAACATTGGAAATAGGTACGTGAATATTTCTTAAAACAACTCTCATTCTCCATCACAGATTATGCCCCACAATTTGTTTTCAATATTAATTATTGTTATGTATATTAATGCTTCGCCTGTAATATTTCATAGATTAATCGCATTAGTGATGTCGGAAGTGACAGTGACTAGATTTGTCAGTGTTAAATAAAGCTATGCAATGTGTCGGATATGATTTTTTTTCAGATTTGTCGTGTGTCGCCATGGTCTGGTTTCATTGTATTAATCTGCTAAAAAAATCCTTAAAACTGATTTGTGAAACTCGAGCAGATGACTTGAGGCATAACAACATAGATTTCATTAGAGGTTTTTAATTTAACTGACATTTCCAAACAGAAGAAAAATGTTCCGAAATATCGAGGACTCAAATTTGAAAACAAGTGGGAAATTGTTGTATAAGTTGTGTCTTTCTCATGCTGCGTTAGAATAAAGTCCAGATTTGAACCAGCTCTATTTGTATCAATGTGAATTAATTCTCTTTTTAAGGAAATCCCTGTTCCTATGGTTCTTCAATTAAATATCCGATGATCTCGATGGAAAATTTCACTATAATCACCTGTCATGAGAAATGTATTTCGGAATCAAATTGTTGGGCATATACCTTCTTCCAAGAAAGTTCATCGCCCGGGACTTGTGCCTTCCATTATGATGCCAGTAAAGAGACAAACCCACTTTATGCCGAAGCAACAACAAAACTGAAATACTGCTATGATGGTAAGATTGCCATAAGTACATTTATATTCGTGTTTAAAATAGTGCTTTATCACTTGTCTAGTTTTATTTTCCTTCTTCAAACAAAACGATTGATTTAGTTGTATAATTATTACATTATCAGTTAGGAGAAGTTGTTTTCGTCGCACTGACAGGTACTTGTATTTTGTGCCAAATTTCTACTCCTCTGTGAATCAGCGAAATGACTTCGGGTTAAAATTCATTTAAAAGTCTAATCTTTTTATCTAGAACTCGTATAACTCGAAGACCGCGTTTAATTCGAAGTATTTCGTCACTTTGATCATACTTAAATAGAATACTCGGATAACTCGAAGTTTTCCAACGGTCTCGTCGACTTCGAGATAACGGAGTTCGACCGTGTATGAAGAGAACTGTTGGCATGGTATTTGTAAGTATGAGATTTATTGGTTAAGGAAATGACATTACATTTTCTTCGTTTATCATATAATGTTTACATGCACTGGTCTTCAAAAGAAAAATGTAGGAAGATTAATGTGTTTCGATCTCATTTCAGATCAATTAACCTAAAAAATTTGATTCTAGCAAGCCTCTGGAAAACAAACTGAAAAAGAACACTGTGATAAGTTTTATAAATCACTGATATAATGGGAATAAATTGGAGATCCTTTCTACCACGTGATCAGTATTTGACTGCCAATTTTTCAGCAAACGTGTTTTTTTTTCGTTTAATCTTGCTGTTATATCTGTGATCTCTGTCATGACGTCATGATATGATATACATGAGTGTGGTACAGTTTCTTTATCATATCGGTGTCACAATGTGCGAGTTTCTTATATGTATGTCGGTACATGCATATTCACAGATTCGAAAAAAAGAAATTCTGACAACCGAGCTCCCTTCATGAATATACTTCTGTCTACAGAAGTAATTATCACAAGTTACATTTCTTTCCTTTTAGACAAAGTGGGAACTTAAAACTGGTCTCTGCTACAAAGTATTACAACTCTCTTTATCTCAAACAGCTAAAAATTAATTCAACACAATTGTAAATGTACATATTTTAATGGTTATCGTGTTTCAGCGTTTTTTATTGCGATGAATCAAATAAGTACACAGTAACCGAAAGTTTTGCTAGCATTTTACGTTTAAGAAACTACCTGCCTACACTTTTGGACCGTTGATAAATTCGTTGATGTGGAACTATAATGCTAAAACGAAAATATAAATTTTCATCGGGTTTCATTTTCACTATTTTAGAGCAGAGAATAAAATCTGGTAAACCGAGAATTCACATTTTCTGTAAATGAAGTTACTGAAGAAATTGTCGTTTTTTATGTGACTGCACATAAGTCATATGATATTTTTTAAAGACAAACAAAAAATAAAATATAAATAAAAAAACAAAACAAAAACATTATTAAGGTATCGTCAGTCTGGAGTGTAGTTCATGAGTTTAGAATGTAAATAAGGAGATAAATTATCGATGCTGTCATTATTTATTTATAACTCGTGTTTTGTTGTTTTTAGGAGAGCTGGTGGAGGCGATAGATCAAACATGGTCCATAGGAACAAATGGTGATTTAGATGTGCCCATTTACAACTGCACATCAAATACCTTAACCTACTTTCAGCCTTACTACTTATCACTTGATCTATATAATGGTGGGTATTGTTTATTTCTTGATATTCGTTATTGGGTCACAGTTGTGCAAATGTTATGACTAAATGGCATCATCATCGATACCCTATGGTTTACGATCACTTTTGCTCTCTGCACCCCTGGAACATGCCATGGCAAAATCGAAATCACAAGCGAAATAATTTGATTGGTTCCAGGAGAAAATCAAAGTACTGAAAGTAATGAGAGGCTAAACGTATTGAAAAATGTTCACAAATAACCGCAAAGATATATTACTTTCCTCATACTCCTACACTTTGGAATTCAAAAATTACTAAAATAAGAGAACCAGAGGCTATTTGTCTTAATTTTAAGCGATTTTATATCTTCTTTAAATCTTATTTAAAATTTGACGACAATAATGTGAACAAATCAAAATAGGTAAAAAAAATAACAAAATACACACAACCATATATTTATCGCCAACAAGCCAAATGATAAATAGCTCTATGATGGAGTTGACTAAATAAAACCTTTGAAATACCCAAGATGTTGAAATTACTCTCCTATCAATATGAGGATTTAAACAAATCGAAAGGACTTAATACCTTCTTCTTTATTTTGAATATATTGCAAAGTAATAGTCCTTACTTATCATGAATATATTTGTAGTTGAGGAAAGTAGATAAGGTGTACACAGCATTTCAGATGGATTAAAGTGTACCGTAAATTTGCGGGTATAGTGCGCACTCGGGTATAGTGCGCAGGTACTTTTCTGGGGTCAGATTAAAAAAAAAAGTTTTCTACAGAAAGATTAATTGATTACTGGTTACCGCGATGAAACGGTTGTGGTTTGATCCATTGATAATTAGGAAACCACAATCATCGTGACCCGAACATATTTAATTACCTTACGTAAACAAATTCACACAGGTATCTGACTTAACAAGCATGAAAGGCTTGGCTAATTGGATAATTAACGGTTCTTAACAGGTAACAAACACATCGAGTATGAGGTAAGTAATTACATTAAAGGTATTTACATGGCCACTCTTCCTTGAAGTTTCATGGTTAGAGTTTTCTTCCAGTGATTATGTCTATAAAGACATAGTTCTTTGAGATTAAACCAGACTTCCATATATATATACAAAATTTACAATATTTCCGCTATAGCTACTACTATTTTTGATCTCCAATGCATTAGATAATGTCACCATGACACGCTAAATGAATAAATATGTTATGGAAATATTTCGTTCTATTTAATTGATAATTATAAACATGAATATTTTTAGATTTTTTTATACGCGCTTTGTTTGAAGGAATATTTTCATTTCAAGGAACTTTGATACACATTAACAATCTTTGAGAAATCAGCACAATCAACCTTCATCAAAAAAAACTAAAAGACAACAGAGTCAACATCATGATCATTACAGTATTAAAAATATATTATTAATAAATCATGAGCACCAAATGTACCTTGCCTACGAAGCGCAAACTTTTTATCTTCAAAAACTTGAAAAAGTGTCATGGCGGTGGGTGTGAAAAACCTGAAAAATTGTCATATCGGCGGGTGTGTGCGTGGGCACGGGGAGTAATCACGTGACTTGTAATGATCACGCTTTCGCCAGAAGCGGCTCGCCTCGGAGGTAAGTTGACCTTAGTTTGATATGATAGCTTGTGAATTTGAAAATAAGACATAGCCCACGGAAGATGTACATATTCCTTTAGTTTTTTCCCCAAAGGACAGCATTAAAACATGTGTAGTTTCTGTAAACACTTCGACAAAGTGTCGAGCGAGTTATAATTTTGTGTTGATCACACCTATTCTTTTATCCTATCGCTGGCGAATTTGAACGAAATCACAAAATTAACGTGTTTCATATGCAATTTTCCATCGTCCACTTGATGTTGCTTGCAAAAGATTATCAATCCAACAGTGAATATGTCTGTAAAACCTGTAAATTGACGGATCTGGTCAAATTACGTAAAATGATCACGCTTACACTATGTCTGTTGGTTGATAACGCTTACACAAAATTAAAATGTTAATAGTAATCTCTTCATTTTGTGGAATAATAAGTTATTTTAGCAATGTCCTTATCACCTGACTATGTCTGTTTATAATCAAAAATGTATCCTTTTGTCACTTCGGATTTTTTAGCATCTATCACCAAAATTGAAATATGCATGGACACCAATTATTTTTATTTTTTTCAGAATGACTATGAAAAAGACTCAGCTATGGCTTAACTGACCAAAAAGAAGATATTCAAAGATCTCAAAGATCGAAAGTGGTATTCGGTCGCCATTTAAAACGTTAAAGACGTTTTCAAGATCACCATTAAAGTCACCAATGACCAAAAAAATCAAATTGACAGGAAAAAAGTGTTCACCGTTCACAGGTTGGGTAGCGCCCCTCTTGAACATTACAAAGGCGCGTCATCCAACCTCAAAGCGTTTACCATATACCATTACGATAACACTAGATTCATTTCATATCAAAAGATCTAATTAGTCATGTCCACAAGGAGCCGCACATGGAACATTCAATTTTGCCACGACATGTTCAATGTGTGAAGAGAGCGAAAGTGATCGTAACCCCTGGAGTATCAGTTTAAATCATTACTTGTCTCTACCAAATATTTTTTTATTTGTATTTAAAGGTTATGTTTACTCGTGTGTCTTTTGTACCATGCAATTTTCCCTTTATGCAGTTATTGTCGGTTTTCGAACCTCGGTCCAGACATTATTACATCCATACTTCGAACACATGCTTATATAAATCTTAAACGAGTGTAATGAATGCTGTTGCAGTTTTTAAGGAACTATACCATTCGGAATAGAAATTCTATATATCATGGTCAATCTTGAATCCTTTCGTTCTAATTGTTTTTCGTCTGTTTATTCATTGGAATAATTTACAATTGTAACTGAGCGTTATTGACTAGTCTTAGACGAGCAAGTTAGCTGTATGGTACAGTTTGCTGTATCTAATTCTGAATTTTTATCAAAAATCACTAGAGTGTCTTTTGTACAATCTTCTACCTGAAAATATCACTATGATTTAATCAGTTTCGTCTTTTCAGATACGTGTTCGACTATGACTGTCACAAACGTGGCCACATTAACAGTCACGGATATGACAACTAACAGCATGACGGTCTTTATAACCGAGAGTCCGACAACTGTGGTCACGACAATAGAAATACCGACAACTGTTGTCATGACAACAACAGAAATACAGTCTCAACTCGTAACGACAATAATTTCTACTGTAGTGGAAGTTCCGACGACCATTGCAGTCACGACAGTCATTCCGGCGTCTAACGTTACTATAACGATAACACCTTCAAACGTTCCTGTCACAACTAAAGTTATCACAACAACGGCAGAGGTCCCGACAACGATCACCATTACTGAAACTCCTTCTGTTATCGTCTCGACTGTAGCGGTCACCGTTGCTGCGACATCAACAGTTATCGTTCCTACAACAGTTGTTCATTCGGAAGTTGAAACGCTTACCACAAAGGTTTTGATGACAACTGTTGTCATAACAACAGAAATACCCTCCCAACTCGTAACGACAATAGTTTCTACTGAAGTTGCCACAACAACAGTGGAAGTTTCGACAACCATTGCAATCACATCAGTCATTCCGGCCTCTAACGTTACAATAACGATAACACCTTCAACCGTTCCTATCACAACTGTGGTTTCATCTGAAGTTATCACAACAACGGCAGAGGTCCCGACAACGATCACCATTACTGAAACTCCTTCTGTTATCATCTCGACTGTAGCGGTCACCGTTGCTGCGACATCAACAGTTATAGTTCCCACAACAGTTGTTCATTCGGAAGTTGAAACGCTTGCCACAACGGTTCTGATGACGACTACAGTCCATGATAGCACATGGAGCACCGTATCTCCGTTAGCCTCGGCGGAATTGTCCCAGAGGTTAGAAAACATTGTAAAGAACCTTACGGTACCAAAGAAAAGCACAAACGCTTATCAGCGCAAATTGGTTTGTGCGGAAGACAGTCGTCTGTCTGCAATGTCTTTAGGCTATGTCGGCGTCATGCTCCTGCTTATTCCACTTGCAATACTTCTCTGTTTTGACATTCCATCTGCAGTGGTTCATATCAAGAAGCTCAGGGATTCTTTGCGGAGGTAAGAAGATGCCCATGAAAATATTAAGACATTCCTGGATCATCACGAACATATGTTGGCTCATTTCTGTCATTTCGTTGTTTCATTTTGTCGTTCCAACAAAACAATAAATCATTTTCGTCCCAGCTGATTATCGTCTTTTCTCAGAGACATAACGAAAAGACGACATAATGTCAAATAACGAAAAGGTGAAGTTGCTGTTTTTTCGGGGCCTCGCTATTTATCGTCTTTTCGTCTCGAGATAACGATAATTATCCATTATGTCGCCCCGCTGATTATCATCTTTTTGTGGGCACAAAATGATAAATTAAGTCTCTTCTCCGTCTGTTCTACTTAATTAATGTGTATTATGTATTCTACTTCTATCTCGGTTCTCCTTTTGAAGACATAGCATGGCAATGATTTTATCTTTGTCTACGTAATGCGTGTTATTGATGAAATAGTATACACGTAACATTGCGGAATGTTTTGTTTAAACATCGGTGTTTCAGGAGTTCGTTTGTTACTTTCTACAAGCCTTCGTTGTTTTCCCCGTTGTTTCACTTGAGCTTTCGTCGTCTTCACTGAGATGTTTTAATGGCAAAATCAGTCTACTAGTGAGTCCTTTGCTGTTTCAACTTGTAATAAGTGAGCAACGGTTTTCGTTTGGGAATATGATGATTATAAACCCGGAATAGATTTTTCGTCATCATAATTAATTTTAATCGCTCGTGTTTTCAGAAAGTGTACTAACCACCTGATGCTATGAGGAACTAATTACGGTCTGAATTGAAGATTTCAATGTGATAATGTTGTAGAGTTGACTGAATATATATGTGTGTTAAATAGTGTTGACATGTGATACTTGACAACGTCGATCTGAACAAGAACTAAAAACAAAAGAGGAAACGGAATTGAGAATGAAATGAATTTTTTTCGATAAGTGGCGTGAAAATTACCTCGGATAACGTCAAAATTGATGCTTAAATGGGGAAAAAATAAGTTTATTATCGTGAGTTCAGCAATTTCGGTTTATCGTTAACTTCAAATACGTAGTCAAGATCATTATTCATCATTATTCATCGTTCACCCGACAAAAGAAGCACACACTTCGTATAAACAGGTATCGTCTCCACATCGGTTCCGGAACGATATATATTTCGGAGCGCAATTTTGCCGAGCTTTGTCATATGAACTGCTGACCTGAAACAAACAAAATACTGAGATTAAATCCATTCACCGTGAAATATTATGAGTATATATTTGTCAAATTTATGTACTTTTTTAAATACACATTTTTACATGTCAAACATCCTCCTTCATGATGAAATAACCAATCAATCCATCCGCTGATGCCAGTGTTTTGTTGTCGTCTGTCAAATGAATAAAAAATTACCATGAATAATAGGGATTACCTCTTTGCAATGATGTACAGCGGAAGGCCAAACATGCACACCAGATATTGGAAAAATGGGTATTTTAAAAAGACCACTTTTGACGACTTATTTCTGATTTGAATCAACAAGCGTGATGTAGACCGACGGATAAAAAATAATTTTATTTTACCAGTTTGTGTTGTAAAAGAAGTTAACCAAGAAGCAAGGCTCAGTTCATGGAAAAAAGACCAAACGATAAAAACTCGAATCTCTTTAGAAAAGGTGCACACCTAAACACAGTTATTCACCTTTTGCGTTTTTTTTATCGAAATTTCATATCTGTTAAGTGATGATTTTACGTAACTGATGTGTACCTCTGGGTCACTGTAAGCTGACACAAGCGTTACAGATCCAAAATCACGCCTGCGATAGAGCGACAACTACAACAACGTTTAAACAAATACGCCCCCCCCCCCAAAAAAAAAAAATCAAAGTATAACATTGATGTGGACCCCCTCCCCCCGACTGCTCAGATTTCCTACAAATTCGTACGATGTACTTCCGGGATCTCCAAAGTCTTTTCATCTCAGTGGACGTGGATGAAATACTGAATTACCCAGAGAGATTGGCCTCTTGAACAAAATATGAACCATATGTGTGAGTTATAATTAGATGTACTCATTCTCTGTTGTTTTTATCATCCAGCACGGACCTGCGTTTAACACATCACTATTTCAAACTTTCATATGCTATCATTTGGTTTAACCATTTAAACTTTTTTTTTCATTTGACTACTTTCTACTACAAATAACCGTTTAATTTGGCTGTCAAAATAACAATTAAACTAATTTAATCCCTAATGCCCCTATTAACCTAACGGTCAAAATCGAACAATATCTAAATCTCAACCAATCAGAGGCCACCATTTGCCTTAGCATGGTTGTCAGGTCAAATGACCTGTTTACAGTTACTTGTTACCAGGGTAACCAAACTTTCAGGGGGAAACAAGAAAAAACCTGTACTATATGTTCAATTGTACTGTTCAAACTTTTACTTCCAAAATCCAAGATGGCCACCTGTCGGCCAAAAAAGGTACAATGCACAACTAGGGACCAAGGGGAACCTGCATATGAAATTTGAGAAAGATCCATCCAGTACTTTTCCAGAAATAGCGGTAACAAGAATTGTTTACGGACGGACGGACGACAGACCACGGACGCAGGGCGATTTGAATACCCCACCATCTGATGATGGTGGGCTAAAAATGCAGATCCGGACAAAGTTGGTCTATTAAGAGATTATCAAGGTAATTTCAAATATAACATCCTCCGTTTTCTGCAAATTATCATATACATGTATAGTGTATGAAAATTGTGATTTTTCTTTAGTTATGTTATAAGTGCTTCTCGAGATCTAGATCTTGACATTTCTTTGGATCACTTTGAATTCTTCTCATTCGCCTACTAGGTTTCAAACTTAAGACTCTTAACATAGCTGACGAACCCTAGAAGGACAAAATAGCTGTATGATGTAGTTTAATAACCATTTAGCTCTACTTTATCTATTTCTAAATTTGTATTGAAAGGCGCTATTCCCATGTTGTCCATCATCATACAAATGTAAAATGTCTTATCGTTAGATGCTGTACGGGGTATATTTTTCTCTAAGCCAATTACAACTTGCAAGTCAATTGGCTATAACTGTTGACAAAACCTATTCGTTCCTACAGGAAGGGTGGGATTTTAATGATTTTGCTCTTTTCCCCATTCTGATCCCCACTCATCCCGCCCCTGGGGTCTGACGCCTACCATTTATAGAAAAACTGTTTCCTTTCACCCACAAACGCTTCAGACCAAATTTGAGCAATAACCATTCATTCCTACAGGAGCAAAATTGAATCATTCCTACAAGAGGAGTAGGATTTTAAAGAAGCTGCTCTATTTCCCCTGTTGAATCCCATTCCTCCCAACCCAGGGGACCCCGGAGACCTAATGTTTATTCAAGATTGATTGCCTTCACCCAAGAATGCTTCAGACCAAATTTGAGCAATATCCATCCTTTCCTACAGGAGGAGTAGGATTTTAAACAACTTACAAAATGTTCCCTTATGGGTCTGACCCCTCAAGCCCTGGGGCCAAGAACCAGTATTTATATCAACTTGGTTCTCCTGCCCACAATGGTGTTTTTTTTTTTTTACCAAATATGGCCAAAATCTATCAAGTCCTTCCTGACAAGTAACTTTCTTAGTAAACGGTAGACGAACAACGGACATATACTGTTCCGTGACAATAGCCTACGGTCCTCTGGCCCTGGTGGACTAATTATGAAGTCTATTGAACTTTTTACTATTGCTCCTCCCACTTTGATTTTTGATATTTGTTTTGGCCAATTTAGATCTTTTGAAGTTGCCACCTAGATTACAATAGCCCAGGCTCTTAGAAAATTGACAGTACTAGAGTAGGAAACAGCTGTAAGATGCAATTGATTAGACTCTACTATATCAAATTCTGAATTTGTATTGAAAGGTTCAGCACATTTGTGCCTCTTACATAAAATCATTCAGGTACTGTTAAAGCATAATTTTCATGGGCTTTTTATTCTCCTTGATTTCATCATTACTCTTTATCCTCAAATTCATGTCCATGGACTGTTAAAATTAATATAATGTGTTTTATCTAAGTATAAATATTTATCTATGAAATCAAGTGCCCAAGAAATATTGATTTTACAGTATATTATGTATATGTGAATTTGCTAACAGGACCAAGTTTGCAAAAGTTTCATATACTAGGTATATTAATCACTAGGCTGAGAAATGATGAATTACAAAACCAGTACTTGTATGATTTATCTTTAATTAAACTGTTAAATTCATACCAAAGATGTCATAGTTAACACATTTTTTGAAATAAACATCCTTGTTTATAATTTACCATGATAATAGTATGTTGTTGACAATACTACTACCCATCCTTTTCTATCCTTCTGTACAAGCACAGCAAGTATTCTTTCAAACACAAAGCACAAACTCAGAAAAAAAATTAAAAATTCAATCATTTCAATATATGAGTCAAGATTTAGATAATTTAAATAACTGTTGAAGCACACTAATAATATTTACATTTAATTTGTATCTGTTTGACCAAATTGTTCATTACATCATAATATGATATACAGATGGTAAATGTATGTTTTTAAATAGATGTTACCTGTATATACAATATTTACATTCTAGGTTCTTACAAAGAACAATCAATGTCCCTGTGTAAAAGTGTTAAATTACTATAATTCTACTTAAAAACATTTCATTAAAATTTTTAAAACTTTTGTTGTGATAGTATTAAAAGCGAATCACAAACCTCTAGTTCAAAACAATAAAAAGTAAAAATCGTACTTTACAGAAAACAACACCACTTGAAAAACCACTTACACTAATACTCCATTTACAACAAGCCTTCATACAATGTGTTAATCTACACGACCATAATAATGTGATAATCAAAAAATATTATGTATTGAAGTTGAAAATATTACTTGAACTGCATAGGATAATAATTTATCCCTGTATGGTCAGAACTATACCTTCATACCAGCCTACAATTGAAAGTGGTCATTTTTCACAACTGGTATGCTTGTCATTGTATAGAATCTCTCACTCAACAATCAGGCAAAAATTGTATTGCTTCAATTAAGAAATATAATCTTGAAAATGTAAATGTTTTTAGCTCATGGACTTTATGTACAGTGCAATGTTTCAATGTCAAAAACAACTATCAGGGTATATGTATTGTGTAAAATAAGCTTAATAACATGCTTCTCTGTGGTGTTCATGTTTATCTTTCTGCAAAGCAGACAACTTTCATTATCCTTTTCTCTTTCAACCATGCGGGAGAAATAATGCATATGCAAAAATAATTTGTCAAGCTCTTTAGAATAATATTTTGAATGCATTTCTTGTCTTAGATGACCTTCATGAAAATCAAAAAATTTTGAAAAAAATATGCTTATGAATGAATTTATGCTGAAGTTTCTTGGCGTAGTCATTTTCACAGAAAATTTTGATAAAAAATGAATAATAAGGTCCCTGTACCATTAATAAGCATATGCCAAATTCTAGAAGCAAAAATTGTTAATATTTTTTCCAAATTTCCTAGTTTTCATATGCCTGTGTAAGAGTTAATCAATACAGGATAGTATGGGTCGAGTGAACTATAAACTTGAGATCAATGCAATTATCACACAATTTACATACACAATCTGTTGACAAATTCAACCACATCAAAATACCTACACTATTCCGTAATTACATTTTACCTGAACATCATAATTCTGTCTCAAATTTGCCACAAATCTCACTTTAACTTTAAGGATATCATCAATTTTTAAAAAACAAATTTTTCAGGAGGAATTCATTTTCCACATATGATTAAAATAACAATCTCTTTACTTAAAATTCAAAAGACAGAAAAAAAGAAAAATACTATTGAAACCAAATCTGAAGTTTGATATAAATGGAGTAAAGATAATTTCTGGGGCTAAATCATTAATGTTACAGTGAGTCGATAAAAAGATTCCTTCCATCAACTATCAGGGGTGTATTATAGATACCTTGAATGAATATGAAATAGTATTAGTAAGTATTCTGATGAATGTTATTTAATATCTATGTCTAATTTTCAAAATGAATCGTTTTAAACCCTGATTAATGCCATCAAATGTAACCATGACAAAAATATATGATAGGTTTCCTGTCTTCATTGAGATTCTCTTGATAATAATAAGTGCATCACTATAGAGCTTGAAGTAAAAAATTCATTTGCAGTCAAATTTAGGAATAAGATGAAAAATTGTTAAAGTCAAACAATAGATGAAATTGCATTATAATATCATTACTGTCCTGTTAATTCTTCAGGCATGGAAATGTAATATTTTATATTTACCTATCAATATTTTACAATACTACAAAATTGAAAAGTTCAAAACACTTCAAAATATTAATGAAAATCTATGAAATTATATCTTGCTTTCCCAATACTGGAAATACGTAATTGTATCACAAGAATTTTCTACGACATACAAAAAATATAATTAGAATCAAAACCACGGAGAATTTATTTGAAATAAGTATTGAATGAAATAATATATCATTTAAAACATTTTAAATCATATTGTTTGTTTACATTTCCATGTAAATGATAAATAACTATAATGGAGCAGTATCCTAACTAGATGCATGAATTTTGATTATCACATTGAGAAAGATACTGCCAAATGATGAATAAATTGATTATGGCATCAATGAAAATATTTACAGTGGATCCAGACTACAAAGTAATAAAGGATTTGATAATTCAGATGGAAATTTATGGCAAAGTCTGGGAAAAGAGAATCAATCCGAAAAAATATTGATGGAACATCAGCGCGAATTGTATTTAGGACAGCAATAAAAGTTCTTTAACAAAAGCTTTTGTCGGCTGTTGTAAGATATTGAAACAAATGAAGCATCAGTCAACACAAGTCTAACCCTATAAGATATGCATATGCATTTCTACTACAACTTAAGTTAGTATATCATGTTGTACAACCTTATGGAGTCTTGGACACATTTCCTACACAAGGAATCATCAGCACTATAGCTTGTCTTTGGTAAAAGATCTATATGTCTTGTATTTAAGAGGTATTAGAATTTTAGGAATATGGTAATGCAGATGAGTAATGGACAATCTTATAAGCCAATGCGATTTCTTTACAAATTTTACAAAACATTGCCAATTTCTGGTAAAATATTTCCTATACTTAGAGTTAAACTAGTGTAATTTATTATGAAAATGCCCCAATTTTAAGTTTTACAGTCATTCTGGGAAAATCACACTTTCAAGAAGGAATAAAAGTGATAGGATTAATAATAAATGATTGTTTAAAATGACATCAACTCCTGTTAGACAATTCCAATAAATCAACACACGCGATAAACACTGTATGGATGTTTATATAGGGGAAAACAGATCAAAATATAAACGTTTGACTGAATACACACATCACTCAACACAAAAACCGAAACAAGTGCACCACTTTGTAAAAACAACAATCACGAAAAGACTAAAAACTCATACTTGCAATCATATATTTCGAAATTATTTATATGAATATTAATTTCATATTTTGCATATTTGCATGATGGAAATCCTTTTTTTATTGATTAGAAACTGCATATCTACAATGAGGTAATAGTTTTCACACCTGATTGTAATGTTTAGCAACTGAAATATGATAAAACAGAATTAGCATCAGTTTCTCGATCTTTCAAAAATCCTGATTCAAAAATAAGTTCAAAACTCAGTTCCAAATTTAAACAAGAACAGTTAAACGAATAAAAATCTTATTGAAAGGTATTGAAAGCTGGAGGTGAGATTAACAAATTGTGAATCAACTTGTGTTTGCATTCCTCAATTGATATATAACTACTGCCCATGTTTATATCAAAGTTCATTGCAAGTCTTCTGAATTTTTTAATCTACAACATCAGTGAATTATTTTGTCAAAAGGTAATTCTTAAAACTTCTTTTTTATTTCCAAAATTTAAATAATTTTTAATTTTAGTAATATTTTTGAATATCCTTTAAAAAGCAGCGCAGTAATTAAAACATCCAAAACATTTCCATATTTCTTGACATTTCAGGAAATTTATTATAATAATTGCTACAATAAGAAATTATAAACAACAAACTTCACACTTTGTTATAAATAGAAGTCCAATAATTAATGTGACCATGGTCCACTACAAAGGTATGATATCACATATTCATGCATAAAATGATAAAATTAACATACAACACTAACTCTCAGAAACATTATAGAATCACAATCTAAAGAGAGGGGAGTGTATATCATTAAAGCTTGTTCATTCTAGTCATTTCCCCTTGAACTCGGAGTTTGCACTAATTCAAACCAACTGTCTCTTGTGTTATGTAACATTTCAGAGCATAATAGTAATAATTATATTTTTGATGTGCTTTCCTCTTAAAAATTTTACATCCCTGTGAAGGGACAATACATGAGATAACCTTGAAACAAATGAGCATAGGTTTATTTGAAGTGCACACAATTTTACACATTTTCACATTTACGCTAAACAAATGCACAAACTTGTGTATATCAATTTATTTGTCACAAATTCAAATATCTAATACATGTATACCAGAAATGTCCCTTTATAAAATCTTCCACAATTGCTCATTTTCATTTGCAGTTTTTTTTCCAAAATAAACAGTGTATTTTCCATCATTTAATTATTGTTTTATAGATTAGAGTTTAATAAATATATATGTATATATATATTGACATGATCAGTGAAATGTCTACTCCATTAATTTTTAGTCTACTAACAAATCATTTGGAAGATAAATTATCTTAAATTTACTCCCGATCTTCAATATCATATAATACCAAAATGTGACATTTATATTTTTGTAAGTGACAATGTTCTTAAATGAAATTTTTCTTGAAAATGACTTAACATATATGACAGTATGAATCCAAATAGACTCTTGATATTTCACAAAACAATAAGTCAAATAATTTCATTTCTATATACCCTGCATAAGGAAATATGAAGAAAAAGACTGATAGTAAATTTGTTCTAAGAAATGAAAACTAAATATGAATTATGAGAAACTAAATATGTACAATGTACAATCATTCTTCAAACTTAAAAAAAATATTTTGGCAATCTATTTAAATAACACACATCAACACTTTACAAGATGACCTGTGGAATGTGTACATGAATCACATGCACAGCATTTGTAACAGCCGTAAACACAGAATTAATCACAAAGAGTAACATGAGATTTGAATCAGATTCACATCATGCAAATGTGAATGAGCTTCACATAGAACGTTGATTTGAATGTAGTGAATCTGATTTACACATACCGACATGAGAATCGAAAAAATGTGAATCAGGAAAATAAAATCTATGAAATGTGAACTGTATTCACATGAGTGAACAATGTGACACTTATTCACATGTTAGTACTGCGAGTGTGAAATTATCAAACTGAGTCAAATTTACAAGTAACAAAAACATATATCATCGCTTCACATAATCTCTGTGAATCCTAGTCGAGAGTGATTATGTGAATCACCAGTTCTTTACTATCCACAAATTTCATCTTGCACACTGGCAGTTTTTTCCAACTTTTTTTTCCACGTTTGTGTGTCTCTGTGTAGTTGTAAGTCACAGCCTTTGTGTAACATGTCTGCTTCACTTTCCTGTTAAAAAACAAAATGGGATTAGATGATATCATATAACTATATCAGACAGCATTGATTGTTAACCATTGTCAAAATATCAGACAATTTTAACTGATAGACAATATCACTACATCAAAGATTTTAACTGAAAGACAAGGTCATTGTATCAGACAATATTAACTGATAGACAGTGTCATTTTATCAGTTGATATTGACTGATGGACAATGTAATTTTATAAGACAATATTTACCGGTAGACAATGTCATCAAATCACACGATATTCACTGAAAGACAATGTCGTCTTTCTCTACCAAACACAGCTTCTATTTATACATGTCTGAATCACTGCAAACACATTTTATTAATTTTGCCAGACTTCAATGAGAATAGCTGTTTCAAGTGTCACACTGGCTTATGAAAATTTCTAATAAATATGAAACATTCAAACAAATTTCAATACCCGATTTAAAATTTAAAATAAACATGAAACAAATCATACAGAACTGATCTTGATATACCACCATCCCTGGAGTAGTTACCTCTGTGTACACATTTTATGATTCAGCGCATGATCAGGGATGATCAGGGATGATCAGTCCATACCTTACACATCCCAATATGAGTGTCTATACAGCACTTGTCAGTAAGACAACCCACCACCAAATTATATACAGCCGAGACATGCTAACTTTAATGACATTCACAGCACAAAATACATGGCCTGGTATGGAAACTTACCTGTCTTCACCCCAGTGGCAAGCTGAGATGAGCCCACATTTGCCACAGCTCCGGCTGCCGCCTTCTGTTTTAGTAAAGTCCAATCAAATATATAATCATACTGGTAGTTCAGTGTTCTAAACAAAATCCTGAACAGTTGTCGCAGGTACATGTAATCTGGAGCTTCCTCAAACCGCAGTCCTCGACAGTAGTTCAGGTACATGGCAAATTCAGCTGGAAAACCCTGCAAGTGTACAAGGCTATGATATGTAGACACAGGTTTCAGAAGGAAATTTCCATTGCAATATTTTATCAAAATTACTGATATACTTTGTTTTCAATATCTGATAGTATAGTGTAAACTACTTATTATCATGTTCCATTTGTAAGAAGGAAATGTGATATTAAGCAAAACATGACATTAACTGACGTGACATTAAGTGGTTTCAACTGTATTCCTTAATTCCATCTCATGCAACTGCCTCATTGTTTTTCATCATACATTTTACATACGATCTTAACTTACTTTATGTACAAACAAAATCATCCTTCTTAACAGTGCTTTCCATGAAGTGTAAAATCAAATAGTTGGGATATTCTGATTTTTGAAAAGGGAGAGGAATGTTCAAATTTTGAAAGGTAAATTGATCAATGGAAAGGAGATCAATAAGAAATTATAACAAAATTAAATCCCTCATCATTGATGAACAAGTACTGTATGTTTTTCACTGAATTTAATCAAAATGAAAACTTCTACTCACCTTGCATAAAACTTCAACAGGTGTTGACATCTTCTTTTCACTAATTTTTTCATATTTCTGTTTCTTTGTGTTGGCCTTGAAGATTTAAAATAAAAATAGGAAAGGTCTATAATGTTCTGACAACCTATGCACTATCAATTAATTAGTCAATAAATTCATCAGAAATTCTGGGGGGAAAATCAACATTCAATACCAGGTAACATGCTTGGGTGACTTTGGGTTTTGTTTTTCCCCTGATATTATTTTGTAGAAAATACATGAAATTGTTGTAAATAATAAAACTCTGTACAATTTGAGTATATCCTGTGTAAATCCTCAAAGCAACCCTGATAAAGCTTATTAAGGCAATGTGTAGGATGGTGTGTAGGTACATACAACTCATCTGATACACAATAAAGGGTGTTTTGTGCTGTAGATGTCAATGTCTCAAACTGTAGGAGACCCACAATTCTGTTAACTTTTACATCTGAACTAATTTCAAATTTACACCTACTTTCTTTCTGATCATGAACCCATGAAACACAAATTCTTCTGAGGTGTTTTCACCTTGTAAAAATTTAGATCAAAGACTGTTTACAAATAAAGTCAATGATATTGAAGAAGACCGGCTGATGATTTGTTTTACAAACATGTGCAGTAATTTAGTGTCTCATGCCTAGAACAGAGATTTATCTCTGTTAAGATATGAAGTCATTATAGTGGTGATACTAAATAGCTTTAGGGATGGGACAGGACGGGACAGCCATGGCCATGAGTGGTATCCTAAATTACTTTCAAATGAAACTGTTTTCAATACAGAGACAATTCTAACTCAAAAACACACAAAATCGTAATTATGATGATAAATACAAAATGTAATATCATAATTACCTTTATACGTCATTCACAATATCTCTCATACCAGACAAACCACATAAGTACAGTTTAAACTAAACTGAATAGAGACAACAGACGTTACTTCATATGAGAAAAAAAACACTGTATGTATTGCCATATAGGAGAAATGGGAGAATGGAAGAAAGAAGAAGAGGAAAAAAATCCAGAAAAATAAAAGAATGAAACAATAAGGAAATAAACACTACAAGCATGTCAGGGCAGGAAGACTGCAAAATGTTGTATGATTACCAAGGAAGTAACATAATTATTACCGAAGAGAGTCTACATTTAAAACTTGTGTAATCTTCATAATCTATATCAGGTTTAGGAAATATCAGTTGAAAAATAATAAAAATGAAAATAATCAGCATAATCTGGTTATGCATGTTAAACCTACTGAATCCAGTCCTCCATTCATTAAGGAAAATTTGTTTAAATAGAATTATTTTTACCATATGAAATATATCTTTGAACCACATGGTTTTCTGTTATTGCCATGACAACAGAGATTTTAGCTCTGATACAGCATTCAATCAGAAGCTGTACTTCATTAACTATCCAATTTCAAATTTCAATATCATCACCAAAACCAAATAACATTGTTTGTTTGTTGATTGGGAATATAACTGCTGGTGCATTTAATAACAATTCAAAACTTGCCCAAAAATTACAGACCTCATTGCATACTTGTAACTTATGCACGATTGTCTCCCTTCCTCTATTACAGACATTACAAATAGGAGTGTTTGAGAGAGGTCTTTTAAGCTAGTTGTCAGAATATAGAGTAAAACTTTAACTTTTGTAGCCAACAAAGTGTAGAATTTTGAGATGACCAAAAACCTTTATATTTTAGCCTTCCTCAACCATTTCAATAGAACGGAGATAATCAAGTTGAACATTAGATTTTTGGCTTTAAACCTATTAGTATTATACCATTATGGAATTACCATTATATTTTCCTAACATATGGTATATGTCCAATGTTTCAAAACATTAAATAACGCAAAGCATAAGAAGTTTAATTTTAATTATATAGCCCCATTTTCAGCTTGAAATTTAGAAAAAATAATCAAATACAATAATTTCAACTCCACAACACAAAACAAAATGTGACCCCTCACCTTTAACCCTTGCCAAGGAAGACTTGACCTGTTGAAATACATTAGAACATATCCAAGGGATTCCATGTCGTCTCGGCGACTCTGCTCAATGCCAAGATGTGCATTTATGCTAGCATAACGGGCTGTGCCCGTGAGATTCTTGTCCTCTCTATAGGGAATGTGTTGACGGGTACGACTGTCACGATATTTCTTTGCCAAACCGAAGTCTATTAGAAACACCTGGAATTTACGTGAAATTGTATGGTTAAATTTCTTCTGTCTTGCTGAGGTGCAAACTCAAATCAAAATAAAAAGTGGCAGGATATATGAACATGCCAAAGCAGGGGAAGAATGACCTCAAATTTGTTGTCAAGAATTTCTATATTTCACCTTTTTCTTTGGTGGATTAAAATTACTAAAAATAAATACTGATACAAAGAAAATTAAATCAAAAGAGAAAACTATATTCTGTTTAATGATTTCTGAGCAAAATACAATCTTTTACATAAAGATTATGGTAAAATGGAAGTTAAATTAATTAGAACAACAAATATTACCACAGAAGTTTCTTGATACTAAAGTGGGTACCATTCCCTACACGTATAATATGACTGTCAACATTTGCTTACCTTATTACAGTGACGGCCTATACCCATCAGAAAGTTATCTGGTTTGATGTCCCTGTGTATGAAGTTTTTATTGTGGACAAACTCAATCCTGTTTATCATCTGAAAACAAAGAAATCCAGATAAGATTAATGCATACAGGGATTTCCTCTTATGGGAAGATATTATTATACTTTATCAGTTAATATGAAAATGATGTTGAATCACGACACTAAAACAATAATGTTAGCGGCTGATAGCAGCAAGGACTTGGCAAAAACAAACTGCCAACTCCAGTAATATCTATACATACTACGGCCCCTGGGATTGAGAATTTGAATAAAGTTCCAGTACAACAAATGCAGTGATTTTTTTGACACAAACATCTGAGTTCTGGACTGGTTTTACCATGGGACTCACTCAAATTCTAAAACAAACTCTTTACATCTTAGCATTGGGACTCCAGCAAAATTTTGGATTGGTATTCTGGACTCGTCACAAAAAAAGCTACAAAATTTATTGTAATATGTAGGTTTTGTTTGTACAAGCTTTAGAGGTTTTTAAAGTCAAAAGACAAATATCATCAGTGTTTTTCATTTGTATTTTAAAGACATTATTCCAGATAATATAACTAACTTCATCATATGAAAGAAATACAATGTAATTATAAAACTATAATCGAAATAAAAACTGTAACCAGATTCTTAATGTAACCATGTTAAAAAATAGTCACAATATACCACTCAGCTAGAATATTGAGAAATCTTCAGTTGAGCGCCTGACTAGTAAACTGGAGGTCTCAGGTTCAAATCTTTGCAGAGGCATTGAAATAAATAATGACCTATGTCCTATACTCATACAAATTTTATGGGATTTACAGAATTTCTGGAAATACTTATATTTTACATCGCAGGGCCAATTGTTTAAGCAATAAAATTTTAAAAAGATGATACATCGAAGATTGATCACTGTATATGCGATGAAAAGGAAACAGATACAATTTACTTTAAATATTTATAGGCGATTTCGGCCAATGTAAACATGTATGCTAGAATGACAATGACAAAAAAGACCTGTATAGAGGGGCTAGGGAAGATCACATGTCTTGAGTTACCAACAGGAAGGAGAAATCACATCCCAATCACTGTAACTGGAGATGGGAGTAAGGGGAGATATATAATGATCATTTTACACCAAGACTTTTGATAAAAACATGTAGAAGGAATTAACTCAATATTACCTGGTACATTTCAAAGTCAACAATATTACTAAATTCATCACTGAAAGATCATGCCTGCTAGCACATAGGTAGCAGATTTATTGCACACATACTTGTAGCTCATCAGGAAAAACATTTTATCATTTTTGTTACTCATATCACAATATTGAAATTCAAACCTGGCAAGTCAGTGTTATATATATAAAGTACCTCAATGTACAAATATTGCTTTTGTCATTATGGGTATATCATTTATGCCATCAATCAATTCATTTATTTATCTATAGCAGCCAATTTCATTTGGCTTTAAAAAATCTTTATATGATATACTTGTATTCATCAATATATTTACTTCCACAGTAGTTAGTAAGTGCACTGAACATCAAAGACAGTCTGTAGCTTATGTGTAGGAAACACATTTACCTGCTAAGCAATTTACTGTAAATCCATTTGGATAGATATGAAGTTGCCGCAATGAAATAGGGTACATCTTTTTTCATGTTGTAATACCTTAGACTCAAGATCAGTACATCTTGATTGCAATTGGATGTAAATACATTATTTGAAGTTTTCAAAAATTGATACAAATATAACATAAAACCTACCTGGTCTGCTAGCATCAGAACTGTCTTCATACTAAATTTCCGAGAGCAGAAATTAAAAAGGTCCTCCAGACTTGGCCCTAGCAGGTCCATTATTAGTATATTGTAATTTTGCTCTGATCCCCACCATCTGGAAATTAAAATGAGATTATAATTAAACACAGCTACATATGATTATTCAACAAGTAAACAAAATGTTACAATTTCTTCTTATCAAATACCTGAAAGTCTTGAGAAAAAATGAAAACCAATTATCAACAAAGAATGACCACAAATTCCACATAAGACATTCAGTGATTTTTTTGGAGCAAATATCTGTGTCCTGGACTTGTGATTCTCCTGTGGAAATTGATTGTAATGTCATCAATTGAAAATAGCACCCTAACATAGCTGCCTTTGTTTGATTTTGACCTCTCCAACTTTACTGTAAAAACTGTTAAAACGTATCTTTTCTGAGTTCTGTTATAAAAAGATTACACGGCTCCTAAATTAACAAGAGGCCTAACAGTCACCAGAGGTAAGCAATATCAAATATAAAATAGGGTTAAGTGGCTTTCAAGTGTCAAAAGACATTGTGACATTAACGATAATAAGCCTGAAGTAATGTGTGTTTTAATCCCTTTGGAGTCAGTCTGTCAGTATATGCATACCATCAAAACTGTCATTCTTCACTAATAATTCTTACCAAGTTATTATCCTGAAAAATTCTAAACAAACTGAAGTTAAATTTCCCCCTTTCCCCAGGGAGAAATGTGGGAACCTGGGGTCATGAAATTCATAATTTTGCCTATACATCTAAAGACCTTTTCATTAATGTTGAGTGTTGAGAAACAGATTTTTGAAATTTTAGTAAATTTTGACCCCTTATAGCCCTGCCTATTAGCCCCTGGGGGTCAGCCAGGAGCAATATGTGCAAGGTGTCATCCTTTGCTAATAATTCTAACCATGACTGAAATACTTCCAATGGAAATTTAACAAATTATGATCAAAAATCTATTAATCCTATATAAACTATAGTAAACCCCCAACCCCTCTTCCTCTTCACGGAGAAATGTGAAACCCTGCGGTCATGAAATTCACAAATGGTTAAGCACCTTCAGGCCATCCTATCCCTGAAATGTATTTGATTCTACCATATATGGGTATTGAAAAGAAGATTTCTTAATTTGAGGCACAGACACATGATACCGAGCAAAGGGTAATCAACTTTGCAATAACACTTTGTCTCAGGTGACCTAAAAACTTGTAAGAATTGTGACAAAAAATTTGTGCAATAAAGATTTTTTTAATATGTATTTTATAGTTATTAGTTATTCATCCCATCAGATATATATATATTTATATATGGCAGGTAAAGTTTTATTTTACAATCTTTCAATTGAAAATTAATCTCAAATATGCCAATCTATTCTCAATATCAGTAAATCATACAAATTAATAAAAAATATGAAAACGTGTTCACAATCAACCTACATAATTTTTAACAAGCAAATATACAAATAACATTAACAATAAGTCCATCTCAGTGGGTAACAAGTCCATCAATGTCTAGAGAACCATTCCATAAAAACATCAACAAATAGTATTCTTTTGTCCAGAAATAAGCTAAGTCACACTTTGAGCCAAAGTTATATATATGTATTTACCGGTAGTTAGTCTTGGCTGGCTAGCACCTCGGCTTATTAATGGATTAGCATTATAAAACAAACAGTCATTGATTTGTCTGTTAACCTATGCATAAAAATATGGTTTTAACTCAGAATTCACTACAGGTAAGTAAATATGGATTCTTAAAACAAAACATAAAGCTTTCTTCCACAATTTGAAATGGGTGTAACCAAAGGCATGCTGATATAAAACCTGTCATATCTTCATAGAGTGATAACTTATAAACTCTTTGGTTAATCCCCTGCTTTGCAGCCAGTCATTTGTCAGAGTCAGGTAAAACTGTTCACTGTTCATACCAGTGTGGCCCAGGATCAAGGATGTGAGTGGGGTGTATACTTTAGGTCTGGAAACAGCGGGAGGTTGAATTATATAACTATGTAGACAACATGATAGGAGGCTGGAGTGCTATTATTTATACATGAAATAGGTCATATATTTGTCCTGTATCTACTGGGCTTTTTTACTCTCTCCCATCGCTTCCTATTTTTCTCTCCTACTCATTGTGGTCCGCTGAAAGGCCGTAATAGTGGACATCAAATTTGTTAAATAAACCAATCAATAATTTATTTACAACTTAATGCCAAAAACCATAGGAGGTAGAGGGGGACACGGTGGTTACAATACAAATATCCTCACATTTAAGTCTGTGGGCTGATCTGCTGGAAGAATGTAATAATGGAGTTAAAAACATGCTGTATAGATATGAAGTAAGGTTTAGTGAGAAATTGGAGTTGGGGGTGGGGTTCTTGTAGCATAGTGGGATATTGAAGAGGGGTTTGCAGCAATTGCTTCGTTGGGTTTTGTGGAATTTTGAAATTTGTTTCCTTGCTCACTGAATTGACTGGAAGGGAAAATAAGGAAACTGGGTCCTGATCAAATGTGCTACCTGATTTATAGGTTACATTTTCTATTAACAATCTTAATCTGATGAATGAAATTTGATTTCTATTTGAAAATCTGGTTCTTCAAATGGGAATAACAGAAAAGTTTTTATTTCTTTACACACTAATTCATGACAAGACTTGTACTTTGCCATTTTACTTCTACTACTTAGTGTGATGTTGAACGAGATAAGTAAAAATCTACCTAGATATTCTATTGTTGAAGGATTTAAAAGGCCTTGTGTAGGAGGTGTGCACATGTTATCTCTTAGATCATGGAATTATACCACCAATATCTGTGGTAAACAATCAACACATACCCTACATAAATGAATGGCTCAATATCTCTGTGTAGTCTTTTGAATTTGATGAAACATTGTATTTCTTTCAATGCTGTTACAATATACACATATGTTTTGGGTTGTACCTATTAAGTTATAAATGCAGTCCTTCGTTTAAACTCACCTTATATGAGGAATTCCCACACCACCTTGTAAAATTTTATACAGTTTACTTTCGTACAACAACTGTGGGTGTTTAGCTTTCGTCGATTCCAATTTGACAGCAACCTCCTGATATATATATATAAACAAAAAAAACGAACATGTAACTAATTGACAACGAACAGGTGCCCGTTATCTACCCATATATACCTGTATGAGAAAATTATAATGACAAGTTCGCCATTGAAGGATTAAATACTGTAAAATAAAAAGCCAACTATCGCTAAATATGGATACAACTGATTTTATCTGTCAATGAAATACATATATATGATAATCCAAATAAATAAAATATGTTCGATATTGGCCATGTTGAATCTTGTTAGGAGTACGTATGTGATCTAGAACGACTACATTGTAACAAAATATGTGACGGGTTATTATAGTTCGTATGTATGCTATTGTTTAACACAAACGGGGTCAAACACAAACAAAGAATGCGATATACACATACTAACAACGTACCTCTCCGTTTGATTGGTGAATGGCAAGATATATATCCCCGAATGATCCACTTCCGATTTTCCTGACCAGACGGTATTTATTCTGACCTACCGTAAATTCGGACGTCTTAGAACTCAGGGCACTCGCCATTTTCGCCATCTTTCTTAATGTTTTGGTTTGTAATTAAGAATAGACTTCTACATTTTTCCTAATCCATGTCTCTCCCTTCTTCTGGTCCGATCATGACGAGTCTCCCATAACACAAAGCCCACTGAGGCATTGTGGGAAATATGTACCAGCTGATTTGGACTTCTGTTGCTATGGGTGACTTCCTGTTAAGACACCGGTCAGGCAGAAATTGCCCCCCAATAACACGCTGGCTATATGTTTTAATTAATCATGATATTGTTTACTGATTAATAACAACGGTCATCAATAGAACAGTAACACGATGATTTAACCATACTGTATATCTCAACAACACGTCTGATTACAGGTCGGTTCGTCTCGTGCTAATTAGTGAACTTCCTTTCAATTAATACAAGCACCAGCCAATTACTGCTGTTAAAGGTTGTAATTGAAAGAAAAAGTCAGAAAGTAAAATTAAGTATAACATTTTTATTCGTATGGATAATTTTGTCCTTTTGTTTATATTTCTTATTTTTACATTAACATGAAGTAGACGAACTTTGATCACCAATGATTTTATTGTAATACAGCCATTTAATATAAATATCGTTTACCCTTACACAATTATAATGTAACTTACACGACCGAACTTTTGCGGTTCTTTTACACAACAAAAGAACACTTGCATTATTGAATACGATTAGTATGTTTTTAATTTTTATTTGTCAGTGTCACGATGTACCACGACATCATCATCACACCAGTGTTTCATCATCATCATCATCATCATCATCATCACACCAATGCACTTTAATTGCCATTAAAGTATATTAAGAGTTCTAAAATGATAATAAAAAGAGATTATCACACCAGTATGACAACATTTTAGAGGAAAGTCCCTACAGTAACAATGTCCCACATAAATCAAAACATGAGTTGTATGGACACAATATGTCTAGTCAATGTAGCGAGCACGGATAAATCAAATATGTAATACAGTATAACCTCGTTATCTCGAACTCGTTTAACTCCAAGACCCTGTTTAATTCAAATCATTTCACGGTTTGTTTTTCAGTCAACATCATATTTTCATGTTTATTGTATAAATACCTGTCACGTGCAGTATATTAATCATTTGTAATTTTATCTACGGAGAAGAGTTCATAAGTTGCTAGAACTTATCTCTGCTTCATTTATCTGCTACTGATAGAAATATGTTTGAATCATCTGAGCACAACTCATATTTCCGACGTTTGTCTACGCCACCCCAATATGCCATATTTACCACTCATCATCATTAAGTTTACCTTTATCCTTGATAAAGGTACTAATTGCATTACGCCCCAGGGCAAACCTCGGCAGCAGGTATTTTTTTTATATCTCCCGCTCCCCATCTTATCAGAAATGACATGAAGGGTCAATTTCCAAATTCCATTATTGTTACATTGTTTTAATTATTTAAGTAACCCATGAATTATCAAGCGGTGCATTTTCCTTGCCAATCAAACATGATCTAACAGACATTTAGGTTTCAGATTCAAAATTATGAACAGACGTTTTGCCCAGGGGCATATTACATAGGTGTAGTTGGTGCTTATCTAGTGTTAGCTTTTGTGTTTGTTCAATGAGCCGTCAAGACATTCTATTTGTTATTTATCGGAGACGCACTCACTACACAATACATGCTGTCTCAGAACTGACCAGAGTTAGTTTGTCGTAGAGTGAAAAGGGAATCTTATTTTCGTAACAAAAATAATGCTAATAAATTATCATGACGAATCATAAAAGCTACATTTGTCAAACGGAAAATTATCGAGATTTTAAGTGTCATGGATTTACAAATTACTTTCGCCAATAAAGGGTAGTAATTCAGTTGTGAATAGCTCAAACATACGTTTTGTTTGAAAAAAAATCTAAAGTTAACAGAAAGTATTTTTTACAAAAGTTGGCGCGATCAATTTGAAAATTAAGATTTGTGTTATACTGTTTATTATGAAAAGATTAATTATGAACTTTAGGAGAAAAATGGTAATCAAACAGAGTAAAGCCATTTAACTCTGTTTGACACGGTATTTCAATTCAATATATTCCATAATACAATCATCGTATAGAAAATATCAATTCATATGTTATAATTTGCACGCTTCGTGACAATCGTAATAATTAGATATCAAAATAGATATAACTTGCATGCATTTTCTAGCATCTGAAACAACTAGGGAAAGTAGGAAAAACACAGTCTCAAATCCCTCTATTATACGTTTCTGATTTACCTGATATAGTTAACTTTTAAGACTTTGCTAAAAGAAGATTTAGCTATGTTAGCATGCTAGTATCGCATCTAGTACATCGTATGTCAGTACATTGGCATTGTAAAACATCACGGACTTTACTTTAAAAAAGTAAGAACACGGATTGATGATACAATAACCAAGGAGATGAATTGCGTAATAACATTGACTTATTGACTGCTATTTATCCAGGTAAGTCACAAATCTTATTGAGAAATAAAATGTACGAGTTAAATGGATTCAAGATTTGGTCAATACTATGTATTTGTATTGGATAGAAAAATTGCCTCAGTAGAGAAAAAAAATGTAGTTTTTAAAAAATGCGATGGTTAATTAATTTCTAATCATTGTCCTTCTTTGCCTTGATGTAATGAGTTAGTTTATATATATAGTTAACAGTAGATGTTGAAGATCCCATCCGATTCGAATCCTTGATCAAGAGTTTTCAATTGTTAATCTTTAAATTTCAGTTGGTACAGTAATAGTCGATTGTACTGTTTGCAGTTTAATTTATTTGTTTTAAACCGAATTCAGGATTTTTGTCAATGAGCCCCTGATCAAATCAGATGATTTCTTCGTATATTGACTGTATTAATGTGTGAAACTATATAGGACATAGTGATAGACGATGAGAAAGTAGCCCATGAAAGAGAGGACTATAGTTCAGACCTGTCCACGTAAACGACATGGGTTTTCAGTTTTACTGGCGCATCCTTCGAAATAACTGACCATACACACCCATATAGTAAAACGTGGTGTTTTTGTTCAACAGATAATGTTTAACTGAAATTTAACACTCTGATTTTTATAGTTATCATTGAAGGTGGTAAATTTTGTTTGTGATTTTGAACATGACTGGCCCCATTCTGTGGGTTCTCGTGCCTACGATTCGATTAGCGCCAAGGGGACGTCACCCAAGATATCCCGTAGTGATAGCAGCATATGATCGATCCCTGCATTCGAATTTACTTAATTCGAACACTCGGTTATCTCAAAGTTTTCCCATGCTCCCGCGGAATTCGAAATGGAGAGGTTCAACTGAAATTATTTTCTATGAGTTGTAATAAGAATTAAATATTTACAAAAGGTTTTGAAATGGTAACCTTGCTTCTCATCAGAGAAAACAAAAGATCTTAACGAATAAGTTGGATATTAGATAAAGAAAAAATCTAAAGTGAGTTTCATCTTCAATTTCGTATCTATCTCATAGTTCACACATTGGTATTTAAGTACATACCAAAGTATCTACGCAGTTTTGACGTATATACATCTTACTGTACAAGAAATGATATGTTTTATTTTTAAGTCAATGATCTTAGGCTATAGAATTAAACAAATCAATCTGGTGTGTAAAAAATCATGTTTATATAATGATGCATTTCGGAGATTTTCAAAAATATTTCTTGATTCTTGATTGAGGATATCTGGGATATCTTATGCCCGTTGTTTATAATAACAAGACATCTTTGCTTTGACACATGCTACCATAAAAAAACCTCAATATACAGTCTTCAGTTTTCTTAAGTTAAACAGCTAATATCTAACAAGAAAAATCCCGCAGTTCCAAGGAAAAGACAAATTTCAAAATCTTAACACATGACAGATATATCCAAAGTCCCTGACCTCATAGCTGTTGGATAATGCAAGCTTTTATTAAGAGTTATCTCCCTTAGCACGTTATACGTTATCTCTGATGTGTGACTTGTCGCCAACTCGCATGACTTCATTGGATGATGACCATTCTTATTTTTAAGGTGTATTTACAAATTTCATTTGTTCGATCTAATGTAGTCAAAATTATGTCCAATTAGAACGTAGAACATCATTTGAATACAAACAGATGTACAGATACCTATACAATAGTCTTGAAAATACTTGGATGACCCTCTGAAGTATTTTTCACAAAAAATCATTTAACTCTGTCGAATCTCTTAACAAATGTATTTTGTTCAATAAACGTTCAGTTTCAGTGTATTGTGGTCCCAGTGGGGTTTCAGAACATGGACCCAATCCAAGTTGATTAAAAGTTCCAATTCTTCTTTTGGCCTATTCACAAAACAAAATATAAACTAATTTGAACATACTTAATCAGAGACTGCAGATATGGCAAGCACCAGACTCCGCTGTATACTATGAGCATATACTTCTAAATCATATAGATTTTCGATGTGGTTTTCTCACAATTAGATGCACCATATGCATGGGTGCTCAAAGGTTAGTTAGAGTTCACTGATGGGCGAATGAAAAAAAATCACACGTAGATTAAAAACAGAATGTACACAGCAGTATATACAGTAATAAGTGTCATTTTTCTGTGGTGGTCATTAGATTAACTCAGACCAAACTTTGACCAATCGACCACGGCCGCGCGAAAAAATATTTATGTGACGTCACGATATCTCCCATCATGCATTTTAATTTCTTTCTGCAATAGGAAGCTGTGTCGTCTGCGCGGGTAGGTTCTCGAATTATTTAATGTTTATTTGAATGCTGTTTAGTTTCTATTGTGCTCAGTTTCCTTTCGCGTATTGTTCATGTTACAGTTTGACACTGGGTTAGCATTTTACCGATATCAGATACGTAGCACTGCCCGATTGATCTACATTTGACAGTGACTATCGTTTGTAAATTGATTTCATTTCACTGTTAGTACACTGTCATTTTCTTGTATTTTTGTTTGCTTTTTGCTTTGTCGATGTTCAAGTTTGTATTTGCTAGTTCTGGGCATTGACGTTTATAACGCACGTCTGTTTTCTGGACGCCTCTAAACTAGCCGCCATCTTCAGACCTCGATTGAATAGTGGTCAACTGTTTTACTTTAGCGCCA